CCTCCTTTCGTCATGTCCTACCTTGGACCCGGGGCATTGTCCAACTTCACTGCCCCATATCTGCCCCATATCTATCGATCATCCGGCTTGAAGTGCTGATTGTGGTCGCGCTAATAACACCTCACCAATGCTGCTGATGGTCAAGCAAATTCATAATTCAATTGCTATCTATTCATCGAGAATTCAATGCTCCGAGGACTGCCTTCTATCCTCTATCCCTGCTTTCATGAAAGATTATCGTCGTCAGTACCACCAATAACTAAGATGCAAGAGTTCCCTTCATAAGCCAACTCCCTACCCTCGTCGTACAACCAAGGAAGGCGCCGGTGCTATGGAACTAATCAGACATTAGAACATTACCAATCCGAACCCAAAACTCCTCGTCATTCCCAATTACTCATTAGTCCCTTTACGGGAACATGAAGCCGTCGCCGTCCAGTCTCAACTGACTGTAATCGGTGTAGAGTTCCAGCGCTCTCTCGAGCTCCAAGTCTCTCTTCTTCATCTTGGGGACCACGGCCCTCTTGCTGATCGTCTCGTCTCTCTTGGCATTGCCATTTGAGCTATCGATGCAATGGCTCTTGTCACCCCACTTGCTGTCCGCCGCAGCCTTCCAAATCGCCGAGGCGTCTAGCGTCATCTCCGCCGTGTAGAAGATCCTGCAGTCGGCCGGCTCGTAGATGAACTGAAGCGGCGTTCCAGTCTCATCGTCCTTCCTGATGCCGTCGCGGACGTTGACGTTGGAAGTGCTGGCCGCCCGGTTGAACGGCGTGTAAGATGCATAGGTATTCTGGTACGAGGAGTTGTACTTCTCCTTCTCTTCGTCGGTCGCATATTTGAAAGCTGTCTGCACCCACACCTGAAGGGCAGCCCAGCCAAAGTTGTTGGTGCCTTTGGTACCACCGACAGCTTGGATCTGGCCGTACTGCGGACGGCCACCAAGCGCAATGCTCGTCACGTTAGCCTGCTGGCGCATGAGTTCGTAGAAGATTGTGCAGGTGGAGGCGCAGTAGCCATCAAAAAGCATAACGACGTCGGGCGACTCGAATGGCTGTGTGGTGTAGTTGGTACGGTTGCCAAAGCCGGTGACTTCAATGCCGCCGCTGTTCAGAAGGTTCAACGGATCGGACAAGTTCCACCGAATAATGGACGAAAACTCATCACCGTTGTACTTGTGCGGGCCGTACTTCTCAGCCCAGGAAGAAAATGGCTTGTAATCAGCGTTAGTGTCCGTCCGGTAGTTGAAGGCACTTGAGACAATGTCTGCCATCGTATAGTTTTCCTCGACAATACTAAGCTCTCTGGGGAAGCCTTCGGAGAGCTGAGAGAATTTCTGTCCAAGCAGGTCCAGCGTCTCGTGGGCCCGGAAACGGCTGCCACCATACGGAAGGATAGAGGGGAAAAGTTGCTTGAACAAGTCATAACCTTGCAGAATGGTTCCACCTCCATTGGCACTGAGGTCGATGATGAGCTTCTTCTTGCCAGCAGCCTTTGCCATGGCCAAGAACTTCGTACCGACTTCTTGGAACGACTTCTCGGCGCTGCTTAGACTGACGAAGGACGGTACGGTCAGAACGGCGACATCCGAGTAATCCTCTCCTTCCAGGTAGTAACCGGCAATGTAGTTATTCCTCTGATAGACGACCGGCTCGGGGTACCCAGGGGCAGCCGTCGGGCGACTGTTAGCTGTAGTGGTCGCTGCTACATCAGCGCCAGTAACATCATTTCCAGCAGGCGCCGCAACATCTTGCTTAGCGGCATTCGCGGCGGCCGCGACGGCCGCAGATGCAGTGCTGCCCTCGTAGTAGAAGTAGCGTTTAGCCAGCGCGGTACCGTTCTCAACACCTCTGAAGGAGACGAGAGACCTTGCAAAGTTTTCGTAAGTCTTGGTCGTGCCATTAGCAAATTCGAATTTGGTTTCGGCGCCAGGGTATGCCCATCTGCCGCGTCCACCGCCGGTGAAGGTGCCAGTGGCACTTCCAGTCGAGCCGAGCTGAATCTGGGCCAGTTCGTAAAAAACGTTGTTGTAAAGGGCATCGGGGTCTTGGAGAGAGCCGAAACGGCTCCAGTTTTCAAGATAAGAAGTGACCTCCTCACCATTGATTTTCACAATAGCCGAAGGAATGAAGGTCGAATCGGGTCCTGCGGCCCGCAGAACATCCGGGTATGCAAAGATTGCAGGCAACTTCTGGCCATCCTCAGACACGGAGACGAGTGGAACAGTCCTTCCCCAAGTGAAGATGGAACCGACCGAGTCGGGGACGTAGACGAAATGTCCATCATGAGGGGTCTGGAACAGTCTGTACACCGCCCAGCCGAATTCGTACTCGCCGGTGAAGGTGTCGTTGTTGACCATTTCCTCAAGGTCTGCCACGTTCTGCCATACATCCACTGCCGGCTGGACCTTCGCGACGTAGTCGGCCGGAGGGTTCTTCAGGTAGGAGGTAGTACTCTGCCACGTGATGTAGGGCTTGACTGAATCCAGAAGCTCAAGGGCCGCAGTCTTGTTCAAGGGAACACTGGTGAGACACTCGTAGGCTATGCCGGCAGGAATCGTAGGAGTCGAAGTCGCAGGACCATTGAGGATCATGGAGCTCACGGAAGAGCATGCGCTGGCGGCAGTGGTGGTAACATCGGCTTTGCTAGGTGGGGGATCAATTGGAGAGGCGGCCGCAATGGCAGTCAGCGTCGAGGACGCCAGGAAAAGAGACGAAAGCATAGTAAAGGACTACACTGAAGAAAGAAAAGAAGGTACGGGGAATCGTACTCTTGCAGACGGATGAGAAAGGTAAGAGCGGCGACAAGGCGAGGGGCGCCTTGAAGATAAATGAGAGAGAGTGTGGAGACTGTCGAAGTCTACTAGTGAGCGGCCTGTCAAGCGATGTTAGCGGAGGCCGGAGCAAGCCCGCAATGAGCAGACAAACGCCCTGAGCCCGGCGGCACGGGCGACTGCGTTGTTTGGAGGGTTGGTTGATCTGCAGTGATACCCTTGCCCGCAGCAAGTGTGGTACCGACCTCCTGGCGAAAACAGCAGAGCGAAATGAAGGTCGAATGCGCAGCGGCAGCGTGTCAGTCTGTGGTATCAGTAGATGTGGAGAGAACGGAAAATAAATGGCTGGGAGGCGGCGACGTCACAGCGATTGGCGCCTGCCGGGGAGGCGTTCTCTCCCCGGCCGTGCGAAAGGGAAGCCACTGGATGGAGGCTGTCCGACGAGTTCTTGGCAGGAGCAGTGGGTGATCGAGGTGGTGCCAGGGTAGGCCTGGCTCGTCTGTCAGGCCGCCTAGCCTCTTGGCGCCCCCGCCCGAGCCTTCGGAGGATGGCTGGTGCTGGTGGAGCCGCTGCTTAATGCCACTCCACCACGATGACCTCAAGTAAGGAAACTTGCACAAGTCCTTCAATCCATCCGCCTTCAAGCGTTCATCCCCCGGCCGGGCAAATCCCCCACCATCCATCTCCACTTCACTCACTCACTTGATCACTCATTCATTCACTGATCACGCTTACTCGCACCCGCTCTCACTCTCACTCTCTTCCCTCTCTCCTCTAGCCGCCGGTCATGCAGGAGGTAACGCATGATGCTGCACAACCGCCGCCGCATGCGTCGCACGGCCGGTAGCCGCCTCCGGGACCTGCAGCAAGTGCGACCGCGCTACCGAAAAAGGTCTCCCGCGAACAAAGGGATGGGTGCCGTTCCCCGCTTCTCAAATAATAAAAGCCATTTGCGCAACGCCCTCACGCGCCTGCAATCTTCCACGAGTCCTCCGGGCAACCTCCCTTTCGCGCTGACCCGAGTGTGACCGTAACAGAGCATTCTTAGCATCGCTGCTCTCAACCAAGCCCCAACAAGCCCCAGAGCTCGTGCGACGACTGCCAAACAATGAGGCTACTAATAATATCAGCCCTAAATCATATTCCTTCATACAGTATCGTCCCACGTGATCATGAGCAACTGGATGTAACCGCTCACGCGTACAACCCAAGAATGCCAAACATCCTGCAACATCGGCTTGAAACTGACCCATTTTAGGAACCACTTTCCAGAACAGTAGTTTGCCTTTGACTAACTACATCTACACACGTGGCTTCTTCGCTTGCACCCGTGGCTGTGTGCGTATTAGAGACGGCTAGAAATTAAATCTTTGTGACCACGCACGCTACGGTTTCACTCACGATATTTCAAGTTCCGGGCAGTGATAAGAGCAAAAATAACTTTTTGTGTGGACAGATATGTAGTAGCCGCCAAAAACCAAAACCCGCAACAACAGCCAAACCATTGCATTCAAAAAAGTGCGGCATTGCCCCCGTGCAAACCCAATTTAAGATCGTTGACATCCACAATGGCTGTGCTTACCGCTCGGAAATTAGACCAAGAGGCGGCGCAGTTCAGTGTCCGGTACCCTCAATTCTCCCGCTTGAATATACTCCCACTCGACAGTGATACGTCAATGACTATACCAGAACGAAAGAGATCAACACCAATTTCGCAACCGAGTGTTACCATGGACCCCGACTGCAGCATACATGGTTACCCGTACTTTCTGAGCTTCGTCCAGCCAGCTGAACTCTCAGATATTCTCTACCCTTCAACCCTCTTGCTTGGAGACCATTGATGCCGTCTTCTAAGTTGCTAGTTCGGGCGCCGCATGTCCGATTCGCCCTCTGCCCTCCGTTCCAGGAAGAATTTTGTCTGTCTAAGTAGAAAGGCAGAACTCGTGTATTGTTTGCTTATTGAAGCAGTGTTTGTTCCAGCCACGTTGGATCGTTGGCGCCTTCGGAGATCGAGAAAGCGCGGTGGACATAGAGAAAAATGCGAACCATGTTTTTGCCTCCATGGATATAGTCCACGTATAAGCTGAAGAATGTATAGCAGTTAGGAGTCTCGCAAGATGATCTCAGATGTTTTGACCCAGGCCTTGCTTCAAAGTCCTTATCGTAAAGGACATAGTTGTCGTAGGGCTGCGTCAACTTGAAAAGATTTGGCACACTAGAAAGAGAATGCGGACATATCTGTATGTTCAGTCTAGCCAGAACGTTGTGTAACGGGCCCATGGCTACAATTTGGTCTCTCAGGGTTTTGAAGAGTAGATACTGATGGGTTATGCCATACCAGTACTCTTCAGATGCAACTCTTGTAAGCCATGGTTTCCGTTCTCTCAATCTGTCCGAATGCTCCGGCGCGCTGCAAATCGGGCGTCCACGTTGACCATTTTGGGCCATTCTCTTTGTTATGTTCTCCATCTCGGTGAAGGTCAGGCTTTTGTGGTCACAGGCTCTTAATACCTTCGTCCTGCCTATACAGTTGCGGGCTTCCGGTGGTTTGGACAACTCTTCCGGCGAGAAAAAGTTGGTAGGGTGCTCCTTCCGGCAGCCAGAACATCCCTTCAGATCTTTATTGTGCCACAACCTGCGCTCACTTGCACAGTCCCGGGCGAATTTATCGTTCTTTAGGTAGTTCAAAAACCTTTTCGAGGACCTCTGGTTGGCCTCCCTGGCGGTCGAGGCGCCAATGATAAGGCGGAATCTCCGCGAAGATGCCTGCAATGACAAGGTACTTGAGCCGGTGAGGTTGGCACCTACCAGAAGAAGTATTTCTGGCGGTAAGCGATAAAGGCCAGATTGCTCCATGTTGTGTTTAGTGGCAGAAACAGGTTGTTGTTGACAAAACTCCTCTCTGTATCTTCGAGCTGCTGCTCGCCTCTTGCTGGTAATGTCTCTTTTGTGTTGTACCACCGCTATCTCTCCAATGTAGTGTTGCATCTTTGCAATCCTAGGAATTGGTGTCGATAGTGAGAATTTATGTTCTGGAAGAAAGCGAAAGTTTGTTTGACGTTCTTCGTAAATTAAATAGTAACTTCTTTTAGGCGATGAAAAGGTTGTTCTACCATGGCAAGGATTTGTGTAGTGGGCAAGATGAATCTGACGACTCCGCGAAAATATAGAATCGAAGGTCCGTGGAGCTTGGTATTTATAGGATAACCGTGGACAGTCATTCTGAACATATCTATTCCATGGTACAGCATCTTGTACAGAATTTTGGTTGCGAGATGTAAACCGCGGAACAAACACGCCATGGCGGTCGACATGGGGTTGGCTTTGGAAAAACGGTTGCCCCGATGAATTCTAGCAAGAAGAAAAATCATACTTACAGAATATTGAGATTGTAAGCTCTCGTGAAGCCATTTATATGTAGTCACAAATCGGCCACGACAATAATTATGTAAGCGCCCTACTTACCTTTTGTCACCATACCATCGACTTTGTGCTTGGGATGTCAGCCAGCTGGCTTCTCTACAGCACGGGGGTGTCAACTGTCGAGAGCGTTGTGCTGGAAGACGGGCGCGAACTCCGTTCCGAGAAGACTCGCAACAGGCGCCTAGTCCAGCAAGCTTGTCAAACTAAACGGGGTGATGGAGGCGCAGGCAGTCGGCATAGAATACATCCAGCTGACGGCTGAAAAGTATGAAGCGTACAAGGACAATGCTTGCCATACGAACCTCGCTACAGGCGTGAACGTTTTCACGCCTATTGGCAGGCTACTCAAGGTGTTGAGACGCTCCGGCGGCATGTGCAACTCTATCACGCTCCCGCATCCAGACGGAGAGGTCGAGGAAGAGTATCGTCCGTCGTATCTGCGCACAGTGGTAGACGACGGCGTGGAGCAATATCTTTCGCTTGAGATAGAGGCAGGCATTAGGGACGAACTGAGAGAAATAGCGCCGGATTTTGCGGAAAGACCATTTGCGAAAACGAAATACTGCTGGCTTAAACAGACGACAGACGTCGAGTTCCTGATCTGTCAGAATCCGAGATACGAAGGGTTCCAGATAGCGACGGGCGGATCGTTGCATGCATGAAAGTTCTTGTCGTTGCTTGGGGACTTCGTAGTGGATTCGATGACTGGCGGTATGAACGAGGAGCTTGTGAAGAAATGGTCGTGGGAGACCGAAATTGGAGCTGAGATGGGTAAGTTCGGGTTCATGAGGAAAGGCCAACCTATCGAGCTCAGTGATGTTGTCTCAAAGACACGGAGCTGAGAGGTGTTAAAAAATTTATATCGTTATATATTTCTCAGAATGACGGCGTTACAGAGTAAAGCAGGAAAGAACAAGTTTGAATAAAGTAAGGAAAGAATCGATAATGCAAATATGATCGAAAGGCAGCTGATCAAATTGTCGCGGCCTCCTCCATTGTCCGAACTCGCAGAAAAGGTAACTGCCACTCAGACAGAGGTTAATCAAACCTTAGAAAGCACATTCAACGGCCGCACAGAGAACTATTCATACCCTTTCAAAGAAGCTATTTTCAACCACATAAAATCTGTTCGTAAAGACACAGATCGGCTACGACTAAAGATTCTCTCATTTCGCATCTGGTGTGAGCAATATAATCTATGCAATGAAATCATCTTTCATCAAAGCATCAGTGGTTTAGTGGTAAAATCCATCGTTGCCATCGATGGGCCCCGCGTTCGATTCGCGGCTGATGCATGATACAGACTCCTAGTTCCGCTAGGAAGCGTTTAATTTTCCACATTTTTTTTTTTTGCTTTTTAGCCCCTGGCGTTTCGAAAGTGGCCTGCGCTAGCGCAGGGTGGAGCTCGGAGCTCTCAAACCAATTTTTTTGCATCCCTGTCGGCATTCTCGGGAGCATTTCGGGACGTGATGAGCGGAGGAAAGTCTGCGTGTGCCAGAGAAAAGGAACTTAGTGGATGAGATTGTTGAAGTCATGGTGGAGGGACGTAGGATCATGTGTTGTTTCACCAATGGGACTGGAGCGGACCACCGAGTGTATTGGGGAAGCGTTTATAAAGCTGTCAACAAGATTCGAATGCAGCTAGAAATGTATCGCAGCCGCATAGATGGCTTCAAGTATAGCCAGAAAACTGTGCCTGAGAAGGGGGTGAACAGACCCATATCCAGACGGTGGTGAAGTAGTAGCAGTGGGTTTGAATGGCTTCATCAAAATTCCAGACCTAAGGTCTCGATGGCATATCGCTGCTGAACAACTATCTACTCTGCACGCTTACAATTTTTTTGATGACCACCGGATGCAATATACACACGCGCTCGCTCGCTCGTTCACCTAACAAAACTAAACAAAATAAACAGTGACTGAACCTGTAATCCCATGTCTCTTACCATCAACTTTTTTTTCCCGCTCCCGCGCTTGCACACATCCAAGAGCAATTGGCCGCAGCCTTGTGGCTCTGGCACATTTACCTACCTACAGCTCATCCTCGCCCGCAACCCACAGCGGCGCCGTCCCATTCACAGCACCAGGCGCGTGTTCCTCGCGCTGCTGCATAGCCGCATGATACTGTTGCCACGCCCGTCAGTCAGCCACTTTAAGATGAACCAGGAATGTAATCACCGAGAACCACTCACCTTAAACCCAAAGTTCAAGCACAACGCGATGATCAAGCCCAAACACACCACAATCGGGCCCCAGATGTTGTCGAAGTCGCGTCCACTGCGCAGCTGAATCAGCCTCGAGCGGTGCATGTACATCGTGTAACCCCACACGCCCGCGAAGGCCGCAAGGCCCGTATACGCGAGTGCGAGCGCGCGGGCGATGCTGTTATGCTCTCCCGCGGCGTTGTACAGCGCGAGGGACAGCGAGGCCATCAGCACCGACACGTGCTGCCACTTGATGAAGGTACGCTGGTTGGCGAGCCAGACCTTGGCCTCGACACGCACGGGGCCTTGGTCCTTGATCCATTGGCCGGGATCACGCACGCCGGGCGGGAGCTGCGCCGAGCGCGCCCGGTGCCGCTGCGCGTACTTCGAGTAAGAGAAGCTCGGGAATAGCGAGCGCAGGCCCGCAGTTGTCGTCGTGTTGGATTCGCGGAAGCCACCGTCGCCGTTGGCACCCCGATCGCCTTGCGCTCCGTCGTCGTCCGAGTCGGCTTCTTCCACTACGGCTTCTGTGCCCGTAGGTTGGCTGGCCGCGGCGCGAGAGGAGAGGCTGGCCATGTCGGCGACGGCTTGGCTGGGTCGCTTGCCCTTGGCATCTGCATTGGACGGCGAGCCGACCGGCGAGCTGATGGCTGGCTTGAAGTGAAGCGGACTTGAGCGTGGGCCGAACAGCGAGCCCACAACCATTTCATCCTGCGCGGCTTTGGCTTTGCGTTCTTGCTCCTCTTCGAAGGCTTTGTGAGGATCGCGGCGGATGTCCGTCTCCAGCTCGGCGAGCCAGAAGGGGTACGTGTTGACGACATCTTCGAAGAGCCGGGCCACGCCGTGCACGAACTTAGAGAAACGCGGCGCTTCCTTTACCAAGTGCGAGCTCATCAAATCATTCACCCACTCGTACTGCTTCCTGCCCTTAATCTTGATTTCGAGCAAAGCAAACGGGAAGCGGTTGATCTCTCCCTTGCGGATAGACTTGAAGGGATATTCCATCTGTGCATCGTCAATGTCCCGGCGGTGCCAGTCCTTGGGGTCGCGGCACGGCCGGTCCTGGTCAATAGCATCCTCTCGGATGAGGGCCAGGTCAGTGTCGAGCGAGATACGGACCCTGTCGTCACCAGGGATTTGGAATGCGGTGCGGGTGTAGTTGGCTCTCAGCACAGGCTGGAGCTTCCTCTCTTTGATGAACGATTGGATCTCATCAACGCTCTTTTGGAAGCTCTTGACCTTGTCACTGTCTTCGCCTATGGTCCTCTTGATCTTGTCGATACTCTTCTCCATCTTGTAGTCGCCCTTGATGAACGACTGAATGTACTTTTCTTTGATCGGGAACCGCGTCTCTTCGCTGGCATCTCCGTCCTTGATAACCTTCTTCTCCAGCAGTATCTCTGGCTTCTCAGCCAATTGTCCATACCACCGAAGGCGAAGAGAAGAAGCGTCCGGCTCATGGCCGACCTTGTCCGTGTACAGAGAGAACTTGGGGTTGTCAAAGTATATCGAGGTGATGGTAGGATCGACTTGGTTGCCTTCAGCAACCTTGGAAGTCTGAGGGTTGTAGACAAGAACGGGCAGACGGCGGAGAATGACAGTCTTGACCTCGAGCAGGTTCTCTGGGTGCACCCAGACTGTCACATGTTAGCGTGAACGCGCTAAGAACGCGGGGGCCAAGAATGTTCCAATGCCTACATTTGTGCGACGTGAAGTCCTCGCCGCCAGTCTGGCTGTCGGAGAACGACATGGAACGTTTGTCTTTGCCATCCAGGTTCTGCCTCACGAAAGAGTACATGGCCGACAGCCTAATGAGCAACGGCGAGTAGTCTTCCTTGTTGAATGGCAGCGCCGCCAGGCGGACCTGGAGCAGCGGACGGACGCGATAGGCATGGCCACGCTTCCGGTCATGCTTCTTCGTAGCCTTGAGGAAGCCAGTGTAATTGATACGGCTGTAGCGCTCCAGCTCGCTGACCTCCTTGGTTATCCTGTCCAGCTCTTTTAGCACTTCGCGCAGCGTCTGCTCTCTCTGCTCGTGCGAAAGCTCCGGTTCTTTTCCCTTATTGCTCGCCACCGCCTCGGCATACGATGAGGGTTCGCCGCCGTCGCCGTCGTTGCCGTCATCGCTCCGTGCCGTGACCGTCAATGGCTCTAGCTTGGCCTCGCACCCGGACGTGCGGTCGCGCAGGTCCTGGTACGTTTGGACCTGGAAATCGTGGACCTTCTCGAGCTGGACGTTGACGAGCTCCTCGACAAAGCGGCCTTCGTCCTCCTCGGTCCACTCGTCGTCGACATCCTCGTCAGCGCCTTGGTCCGAGCCACCCTCGCGCAGCAGCTGTTTGAGCTTATCGTAGTCGATGTACTTGTCCTGCCATGGGGGGTAAACAGAGCGCTGCAAGGTACGTCCGAAGCGCATGGTGCCAATGGACGGTCGAAGGTAGGACAGAAGGCGTACAGGAACGTGGTGGGAGGCCGGTCAATTGGTTTTGCGTTTACGACGAATGGGATGGTGAGGCATGCGAGAGAGAGAGAGAGCCTGTTAGGTAGCGCGTCGGCCACACGTGGGTGCCATCTGGCACCGGCCAACGCTTGTCACATCCGGCCGCATCGCCGCCATGCCGCTCAGAGACAACTTGACCGAACGATCTGCGCACTGCTCTTCGCCTGTCCGGACGCCTCTCTTTTTGGTGCTTTCACGCTATCATCTTAGGTCGCAAGGGCCAGCCCAACGCGAGTCAGCCGCGTGGGGTTGGCCCGATGACGCAGGACATCATTCCATCCATTCGCATTCGCATTGCCCAACGGGTCACTCGTACCTAGTTACCGTCCAAAGAAGCAACCCCGACGCCTCGCTACCTATTAACCAAAGCATTTTCGCGACATCAATACACAGTATCCTTCGCGCTCATCCCCAGTCCCTCGCTCGCCGCCGCCAGCCTGGCGCACAGCGACAAAAACACGACCGTTTCCGTGGCAGCATAGTAATTGAGCGTGTCGAGCAGAATTCGCAGGTGCTTAGTGAAGTTGTCTTCGTACTTTTGCAGCAGGTCGACCATCTTGTTCAACTTGGCCGGGTCGTACGTCATGCTGCTGCGTTCCCGCGTCGAGGATGAGGGAGCATTGGTGGCCGACGTGGCCAAGTCCTCGTCAGCAGAGATGAGGTATCGGGATAACGAGTTGGTGTAGTTGGCGAACATTGTGCAGGTGTTGAGAATCTTGGAGTTGATCTACATGACGGTGATCGAGTTAGCTTACTGCCATACAAAAACACACATTAATACGTACCTTCAGCAGCTTAGAGTTGGTAAGCATGCACTCCTTCAGACACGTCGCCAAGAAATCAACATGGTCCTGCATGAGTTCGTCGACTGTCCTCTTCACCTGCGCCTCGCCTCCCGTCTCCTCTTGATCAGGAGTATCAGTACCCGCGTTGAGTCTGGCAATCATCGACTGCCAGTTGGGCTCTATGACCTCGGCCGTGCTGTAGTACAGCAGTTGTTGAACGAATACAAGCATGCGAGCCCGCAGCGTCCAGGCTTTGCGCTTCCAGATTTCGATCTTGGGGTTTGAGCTGCGGTGCTTCCAGCTGCGAACCTTGCTGTGGTCCGCCCAGCTACCTACGAGTAAGGTTTCGAGATGGCGAAGTGACAGAAGGTAGCGGAAGAGGAGTTGGTAACGAGTAAGCGTGACACGGCTGACAACAAGCGAAAGAGGGAAGGGGACCGCGTAATCGAGAACAAGTGCGTCAAACCCGATGATGTCTTTGTCGTCGGTAATGGTGGCAGATTGGGCGGCGGGAGTGTAGCTTGAGAAACTGCCGGCAGCGGCGTCCTGATCGAGGCCGGTCACAGTGACAATCTTCATCAGCCAATTGGTCAGACCTATTTCGTTCATCTGGACCTTGACATCTTCCTTGTACGGATCCTCTGCTGCTACGCTGCCCGGTTGTCGTAGCACGATATCAAGTAGCGACTGGAGCTTGCCAATATTGACAGCTTTAGCGGGCTTCTTGAGCTCAGATGTACCAAGCTCGAGGAAATAACTGAAAAAGTCGGAGCGGTCCAGGAAGAAGTAGTGCTTCAGAGAACGCAACCTTGCCGGAAGAGCGTGGGTAGTCAAGAGTAGATCCAGTAGGGAAGAGTTGGCATAGGCGTACGCGTTGTTGACGTTCTCCAAAAATCGTGGGTCGTCGAAGCTGGTGGGCACATCCTGAACCGTTTTGCTGACGTCGACACCACCGCATTCACGGACAACGTTCAGGTATTTGCCTGCAAGAAGAACCTTGTCCTTTACGGCCTCCAGCTGCGGTGGAACAAGATTGTCTCGAATGGTGTAACGCTTCTCCCAATACTCATCGGTGTAGTCCTGGTCCAGCCTTTCCCGCTTGATGCTCTTTTGCTCTTTAATCAAGAATTCCGCATGAGGGTCCTTGATACCTCCATGGTGCAGCCACTCGTTCAGCATAGTCATGTACGGTTTGCTTGCTTCGCGCAGTAGAGTCGTGAGTAGTATCCTCGCGTTAGGGTCTCCAGACATTGATGCCAATCTCCTCGATATTAGGCCAAGTACACTTCCACCCTTGCATACTCTCTTTCCACTCATTGGGCCTTGACCGAAGCTACCGCCTTCTCGCAGAGACTCGAGGATGTCTTCAATGTTATCCGTCTCGTCCAAATCTTCCTCTTTTTCATCCTCAAGAAGCCCGTTCGACTTAAGCAGCTCCAGACCCATATTATATAATTGGAATAGCATGTGACTCGTTGGTTTAGTATGCAGATTCAGCACATGAAGTGTGAATGTCGAATTTGTCAACATTTGGTGCTCAAGCTGAGCCATGAGTATTAGGTAGTCCTTCAGAAGCTTGCGAACAACAGCGCATAACGCATGGTTGACCGCGCCGTACTCGTCCCTGCTTTGCACCTCGATGAAAGCTTCCAGGGCCGAATAGTGCGTGGCCATTTTGAGCATGGAGGTTGTCAGATCGCGCAAGCTAGGATCCAGTCCAGACGATATGCGGAAAGTAGGCCCAAGCAACCGATCCTTCTCCTCGGAAGGGTTATAGGATGCATCGAATCGGATGTACTGGCCCTCAAAGCCCATAAAAGCAAACAACAAGTCTTCAATGATTGCCGTCTCTTGGGACTCAAGCGATAGCTGGTTTAGTGGCAAGGGCTGAAGTTCGGCTGGTGCTGATGATGCGAGTGGGGGAATCGAGATTCTTGAGGCGAGCGGAGCGGTGGTATACGGGACGAGCGAAGCTTCAGGCTTCCATGCTGCTTCACGGTACGTTAGCAGTTGAGCGCACCGGTCGCATAACCCGCCATACCTCGCTGTTCCTTCTCCTTGTCTTCCGCGGTGCTTGAAGCGCCCAAGCTGCTGGTCTTCGACTTTACTTCCTCTCTGCTCCTCCTAGCATTTGTGCGGTTTTCGCTCGAGTGCTTCAGCGGGTTGCGCTTGACTGTTACCGTCTCCTTGGTCAAGGTACTGCTCCTCTCGGTGCGCCGCTCACGTTCGCTCGAGGACTGTTTCCGGGAGTGCGATCCTTGATCGCGCGCAGTGGATGGCCGGGGCCGGGAGCCACTTGGGTTCCTTTCACCGTTCGGGTAGTACTTGGGGTTCTGGCGCGACGATGACATAGCTGCGATGCTGGACGTCCATGTGGTGGGTGAGCTTGTGGCTCCTCGGCGGAGAGTTGTGTTGTTGCAATGTTGTTGTTGCGCTGGGTTGCATCGCGGGGAAAACAGCTGCCCGAACGCGTCCACTCGGTGATGAACGTGTCGAGGCTTGACTGTGGCGGTGCGACAGCCTCAACGCCTCCAAGTCCGGGATCAACAATCAACGCACCAAATATTAAATAAACATTGCAACTGACTCCAGATAATTTGGCTATTATTTTTTACTATTTTGCTCACCAGTTATGTAGGGTGGACAAATAGCCGAAACACTCATGAAAGGCTCATAGCTCGCAAACCCGTTAATTCAATTTTGTCTCCACGGAGCATGGAAGCTACCTCGCATGCTGCTTTATGTAAATGCCCATGACAATGGACTAACCTCGTTCCTAAAGCAATTCTGAAGCTACCTCGCTAACTTGTATCCTTCAGAGCGAAACCAGCACATCATCTACCTGTTACGGAGTCTCGGATCCGCTAGAACCAGATCCCCTCCGCTCTGTTTGCCCCTTGCACCCATGGACCTGTTAGCAGCTTGGCCATCTTGTGTCTGTGCATTTGCAATCATTGGTGCTTGCGGTGCCATTCCTCCAGCCCAAGTGGGACCAGCCATGTGAGGATTAGGTACGTAACGCGACCTCGGAGGAGTAGTGATGGTTCTCTCGTCGACGGGACTGCTAGCAGCGGGCATAGTCGACAGGGATTTTTGTAGATTTTGCATCTGCAAGGGAGACTGTTGCAGGGTTGGGCTGTCGAGAACAGTGCTCCTGGAACCACCGTGTTGTTTTCTTGGACCGAAGCTCTTTCGCTTCTCAATTCCCAGAAGCTCATCCACCATTTTCCTGGCCTTTGCGGCGTCGGTGGGATCCAGAGGCCGCAGAAGCTGGTCTTTGTAGTCTTCCACCTTTTGCTGATACATGGTTGTAGCCTGGTCTATTCCGAGGACAGCGTCGTAGACGGCTTGCACTTCTGGTTCATATGGTGCTTCATCTGGCTGTGTGTGGTTGATCGAAACACGGCCGAAATCTGTTGGTGTGAGGGGGCGATACAGTTTGCCAGGAGGCGTCGGCGGGATACCGGGGTTCTCGCCCGGGCCAGTAGAATGTGGATAAATGTCAATGCAGTGGGAGTATGCTTTTTTATTATCAGAACGTAGGGCCGTTGTGTTTTGGACTTCATGGGAATTGGAAGGTGCGGATGCCTTGCGCGCATCACGAGCTTCGAGGGCACGAAGAGCGCCAGAGTAGTAAACATCACTAAGAAGCAGCATGTAAGCGGAACCTTTCCCTCAGGTGCACGACAAACAGGTTAAGATAGATTTACCAAGTGGCATTGTAATGGTCCCGTAAGCTCTCAATGATCAAGAGGAGTTCCTTATTACGGCCGGTAACTGTTGCCATGTTCTTCATGTTCGCTACTAATTTACTAGATAGAAGTACCGTGCCGTCAGTGAGAAAGTTCAGCGAGAGAGTATCGTACGAGGAAGAACATACCCAGTTAAGGGAACGATATGCATGTTCTCATACTGGCCCTATTGAGCATCAATACTTTTGGTTTTGTCAAACAAGATAGCAGAACTCCTACCGCGCCAGGTGATTCTTGCTGCTGTTCCGCCATACTATCAGGCGCCAAGTCGTCAGAATCCCGTGTTTAGACAAGAGCTTGGGCCGGAGGTAGAGCTGGTATTTAAGTTCCTTATCGTAATTAAAGCGACATCAAACGGACGTCGGCCGTTTGTGATGTAGAGAGATTGGTCGGCGCTTCTTTTGTGCTAGCCTCCGAATTGGGGCAGAGCATGCGCTCAAACAGCCAGTACGGGAATGTGTGCCTGTGTGTATGTATGGGAGTGTGGTGTTGAAGGGTTTGTAAGGTCCTGGCAAAATCTAGGCAGAAACCGACAGAGGGACTAACACGAAGAAAGGGAAGGAGACATGAAGTGAACTTCACTTCACGCAATACCTAATGACTCGCGTTTCAGACCCCTGTAAACACTAGGCCCCGTGTCCGGGGGTTTGTTAAACTGCATCGCTATCGCTCTTCCGTGCCCAGTCACTCAAGGGCCTTGCCGCTTCCAGCTACGTTATTCGGCTACACGGATGCGAGATTCGTTCACTGACTGAAGGCGAGACAATCGCAGTCGAACTATGCTTATACCTGGACTTTTGTGTAATGGTCACCCCATACACTCAGGATTGGTTACATCGTTTGAGCTGGTTAGCTTCTTCCGACTGTTCAAAAGGTGTTCTATAGGTGTGGCTAGGTTGATTTTGCGTGGCCTTATTCGCTGACATATTTACTTCTTTGTGTCGACTTTCGCTTTCTTGCGTACGGAATCTGCAGAAGCCAGCATCCTCGATGTCTTACATGGCACATCTCGTTTCGCGGTGAAGGACGTTATCAACGTTCGGCTACATACAGAAGTTCGTTTGAAACCTGTAGGTCTGTCGCGTCACAGGCCGTTGGGCCAACGCGGGAATCTTATCTGCGGGCAGATCTAATCTGATCCATCTAACCCTCCATCTGATAAACCTCGATCGAGGACTGACATCACGAGTGGTGCGAGGACCTGCAAGCGGTGCGTCATGGAATCCTTCATCATGTTACCGGGGTAGCAGGTAGAGTATATAGCCGTCTCCTTGTTAGGAATATCATCAATCAATCACTACTACCATTTCCAACCCCTCATCTTTCAACCCCACAATGCAAGCTCTCAAGAACACAATCGCGGAGAACCTCACCGGGGGCCACTCGCTGGCCCCTGAGCAGTCCCAGTTCTCTCTTGAAGAGGTGCCTGACCTTTCTGGCAAGGTGGCCGTGGTCACCGGAGGCTCCGAGGGCATAGGCTACGGCATTACGCACACACTGCTTTCCAAGAACATCTCCAAGCTCTTCATCATCTCCATGTCCAAGGATATTGTGGATGACGCCATTGACGCCATCCGGCAAGAGATGGGCCCGGAAGCAGCAAACAAAGTCACGTGGATGCAGTGCGATCTGAGTGACTGGAAGGCCACTGGCGAGACGGCCTTCAAGATTGCAAACGACACGGACAGGCTGGATATCCTGATCTGCAATGCTGCGCGCGGCATCATGACGGCGCAGAAGGCGCCCACGAACGGCATCGACCTGCACATGGCGGCCAACCACATGGGCCACGATGTGCTGATTTCGCATCTGCTGCCGCTGCTGAAGAAGACGGCCGACGCCGGCGACATTGTCCGCATCGTCCAGATAGCGTCAAACGCCCATCAGCTGGCGCCCAAGGAGACGAAATTCGAGTCGATCGAGGAGCTCAACAAGGACTACGGCCCCAACGCGCAGTACGGCCGCTCGAAGCTTGCCGCGATCCTGTACATGCGGTACCTGGCGGACCACTTGCGGCAGTCGCACCCTAAGATCCTGGTCAACGCGACGCATCCGGGCATCGTCGACACGCGGCAGACAAACGTGCACATCCACGAGGCGTTCCCGCTGGGCGGCTACGGCATGAGCCTGGCCATGAAGCCGTTTAAGAAGACGCAGTTCGAGGGCGCCGTCAGCACCATGTTTGCAGCCACGGCGACGGAGAAGACCGGGCAGTACATTTGCCCGCCCGCCATCGTGGAACCGGGAAGCGAGGCGTCGCAGGACAAGGAACTGGGTCAGCAGTTGATGAAGTTGACGAGAGAAGTCATCAAGGAGAAGACGCAGAGCGCCAGCGCGGAGAAGGGATGCCCGTTCAAGGATACCTGAGCTGGATGTAGCCGGGGATTGGGACAAAAAAGTTAATGACTTGATGTATATTTGACAAGAAATAACAAACTCGATATAATGTATGAGCTGAAGTTTTGTTGTCGGTTTGACCGTGATTTGTGTAATGCATCGATGCGCAAACGACAGTCGAGCACAGCAAAAGATGAAGGTCATCATAGGTCGGTGCTCGCGCCTCGGCCCCGCCGCTCTCCGCGTCCGCGCTCCGCACTCCCACCACTCCGGCCGGCGCAGCGCCCTAACCGCACAACCACCAAGCGGCGGCACATCAAGCACCACCCCCGGGCGTCCATCAATCCAGCACACACACACACACACACACACACACACACACACACACATATATATACACACCCACACGCAGCATGCAACTAACGGCACTAACGCTGGCGCTCAGCGCGCTGGCCAGCGCGGCCAACCTCACGCTCACGGTCCCCGCAACGCCACAGCTGCCGCACCCACACCTGCTACCGCCCTCGACGCACGCGACGCTGCACAGCAGCGGGCAAGCACTGCACGCGCCGCTGACGCGCGCCAACACGTTCGCGTTCCGCGACGTGCCCGCGGGCAGCTACCTGCTCTCGGTGCACAGCCGGGACGCGGTGTTCGAGAACCTGCGCGTCGACGTCGGCGCCGAGCAGGACGACGTCGTGGCCGTGTGGCAGACGTTCCGCGGCAACGAGTGGGACAACCGCGGCGAGAAGCGCGGTGAGGGCCGCGGGAGATGCGAGGCTGAGGTGCGCGCGCTTCTGCCTAAGGAGTATTACCAGGTTCGCCAGGGCTGTGAGTGCTTGCTTCCTTTGATCGTTGCCGCATTGTGCATGCCTCGCTGACATATCTCCATCCGCGCAGTCTCGCCCCTCTCCTTCCTCAAGAACCCCATGATCCTCATGGGCCTCTTCTCCATGGCCCTCATCTTCGGAATGCCGTACCTCATGGACAACAGTACGCACACACCCCCAACTCATCTCAAGAATAACAACCCCACTAACCCCCTCCTCCCCAATCAACAGTGGACGAAGAGACGCGCGCCGAGTTCGAAGAAATGCAAAAGAGCAGTCCCCTCGCCTCGCGCGCCAACCCGGCGGCCCAGCTGCAGAACTTCGACCTCGCGTCCTGGATGGCCGGGAAGACGGATGCCGCGCAAGGGGGTGGCAGCGGTGGCGGAAGTGCGCGCAAGCGCGGCTAGAGAGCTGGGTTTGGGGGAAGTGGCGATAGGGGCGATAGAAGAGGACGTTGGCGTCGGGTTATGGCTGCCGTGGTGGTGGTGCGCTGCTGCGGGAGGGGGATGTAGTTACGAAAAGGAATATATGTTTTATGCCATTCATCTGTTGAGCTTGACAACGGTGCCCTTTCCAGGCCTTACACTGCTAACCTATACATACATGTACACAGCTAGAACGTCCAAAACAGTCATCATAAAACATAACTTCAATACCAAATCTACGTACATGTACAAGCCAAGCGTACACACATTGCCAATGCAGAGTATAGAGCCCTCCTCTTCACCCCCCGTAATCAATACACACACCATCCCACCCTTAAAACTCCTTCCTCAAAACATCCTTGCAAGCCGCAATCTCGCGCTCAAACCCCTCAATCTTGGCCTGGCTCGCCATCATCTTATTCAGCAGCCAGCGCACCCTAGGCGTGACCTCGGCCGGCTGCTTCGGCAGCTCCGCCAACAGCTTCAGCTCATTCTCGTACTTGTCGATATCGGCGCTCTCGAGCTTGCTCTGCTCCTTGAGGATGGCGAGGTCGAGGCGCGCGCGGAGGACGCGGTCTTCGGCGAGGCGGCGGAACGCGGGCTGGTAGACGGGCTTGCCGGGCTTGATGCTGTGCGGGCGGCCGGCCGACGTCACGATTGTGATCAGCTCCGCCTGCTCGAGCGCCTGCAGCACCTTTTCCCCGCCCGCCTTGAACGTGTCGTTCAGCAGCACCGCGTGGTAGCGCAGCGTCTCAGCCGCCGCCAGCTGCTTGATGAGCAGCCACGCCTGCTCCGGCGTCCATCGCCGGTTCGTCTCGTCTTGCCCGAACAGGTACATCTTCTGGATCTCGGATGCTGACTGGTTGATGATCTCGGCCACGGCCTTCTTCGGCGTCTCGCCCGTCTTGATGCGCCGCGCGAAGAACTCCAGGTCCGTCAGGCGCCCGCCCAGGGCCGTGATGCAGTCGTCGAGCTCGATGAGATCTTCGCGCCGCTGAGACGGCGTCAGGTGCTTCTGGTTGGGGTCGGCCTTGTCGGCGTCGGCCTCGTCCTCGGCGTCAATGTGGCTGATGACGTAGCGCTTGGCGACCTCGGGCGTGCAGTCGCTGAGAGAGATGTGGCGGAAGACGCGGTCGGGGAGAGCCTTGCTCAGCGACTTGGTAAAGGAGAAGTCATTGGTGAGGAAGATAATGTGCGCGAGGTTTGCCGTCGTGAGACCGGCAGCCCAGTCGGAGATCTTCTCGTAGACAACGTCGCCATCCGAGCTCTTGTGAAGGAAGTTGTCGACCACGACCACGGGCCTTCGCTCAGGGTGCACCTCGAGCCACTCGTCGTCGCTGAGATGGGCGTCCTTGTCGTCCTTCTTGCGGTTGTCCAGAGCTATCGACTTGAGGGCCGTCGCGGTGTTGTTCAGAATCTTTGCCAGCTGAGTTTCGACGGTTTCTGAGAATCCAGCCTTGACGCCGGTTGCGCCTTGGGCTGCCAGATCGAGCATACCGCTGATGCTGTGCATCCATGAGAACACGGGCCGGTAGCCTACCTGCGCAGCCGTCGCAGCAATCGTAGCGCTGTCGCCGCGGGCCTCCTGGATGGGCTTGCAGTCGATTACTAACTTATGCTTCTGATACATGAGCGCTTGGTCAACAACTAATTCCTTCTTTCCAGAGCCGCGGGGCCCTTGGACGATGATAAACGTGTCGGCGGTATCCATAAGCCAAGTCCGAATCTGCTCGATGTTGTCCTTGCGGTCATCCCACACGACATCCATACCGGCATCGTCGTCGTCATCGCGGCGGAAAGACAGGATATCCATAGTCTGAGCCTTGAACCACTGGTAGATCTTGTTGTGGCCTAAACTGAGAGACTTGGTGATGTGCGCCTTGACGAAGAAAGTCCGGATGGGATCGAAGACAGCCACAGTGAAAGCACCGATGATGGCAATAAGAACGGGAATGAGGATCCTGGGGTGGCCAAATATCCAATCGCGGAAATAGCGCGCCTTGACCTTGGGTTCGTACGTCAGGCGCAACATGGTGCCGGCGACGCCACCGCCCTGTGCTTCAGAAACCTTGATACCGTGCAGACAGTTCTTGGCCATGATGGCCTTTTGAACCATGGTGAAGTCCAAGTTAGCATACCGGGGAACGATCTTCGAGTCCTGGGGCTGGGCGGCAATGTCCTTGAGCTTGCCATAGGGCCGGAAGAAGCTATACAGCTGCTCGGGCGACAACTCAGCGGGCTCGGTGCCCGGCGCAGCAGGGAGGAACTCGACCTTAAGACGGGAACTGGGGAGACGATACAAGTCCTCGACCCACGGGCGGCCGCGGACGAGGCGCGCGCGCATGCGCTGGAAGGGATTCCACCAGGGCTTGATGCGGACGGTCTTCAAGTGGTTTCTGATTTCGGTTTCAATGCTGGACGAGTCGATGGCGGGGTCGTGCCGGATCTTGACAAAGGCGCCGCCCTCCTTGAGGCGGGGCAGCACCTCTTCGATGGAGATTTGCGCCTTGTTCACGATCGGACATCTGTGCAGGATGTGCACGGGATCGGCGGCGGCGATGGTCGGCCTTTTCAGCCGCTTCATCAGCTCGGGAATCCGCTTCTCGGCCTGGAAGGGCAGACGCAGCAGCCATTGGAGCTTCAGGGGAAAGACATCTGGCGGCTGTCAATACAATGGCAACGGCGATGGCGATGCTGCTGAGACTCACTGTCGAAGAACAAAACAGCTTCATTCTTCGCCGAGACGCTGATGTGGCCGCTCTTGTTCTCGCCGGCCTCGAGGGTTGATTTTGCGTGGCGCGTGGCGGACGAGGCTATATGTCGCCTTGCTATGACGCCAGCGCCGCCGACGCGCAGCGGCTGCAGGCCGAACTTTGTGATGCCGTGCATTGCAAGGCAGAGCTCAAAGCATCGTGAGGGAAGAAATGGAGAGATGGAAAAGGGAAAGAGAGAGAGAGAAGAAAGAAAGAAAAAGGAAAAAAAGGCCACGGGCAACGAGGAATCTTGGATGTCGAACAGCTCACGGGCGGCGATCGCGGGTGGATCTCGTTGCCTCAGGTGGGTGGACCCGTAAATTGAGATTCCCCGGACGACACACGGCCCATCACCTTATCCACGCCAACGAACTCTCTCAACACACACACAAACACACACCACCCACCCGCAACTACAATGTCCTCACGGTAAAAAAGCAACGCCCCAACTTATTTTTGTCCCGTCACCACCTCAATCTAACACTTTCGTCCGTCTCGCCGCGCAGCTTCTCCTCGCAGCTGCACCAGCGCGACGCCCGCTCCGCCCTCTTCTCCCCCTACGACCAGCGCAAAGCCTCGCCCTCACCCTCGCCCTCGGCGCGCCGCAGCCCCGGTGGTGGCGGCGGCTACGGCTTCGCGCCGGGGCCCGCCTTCGCCGCCTACCCCAGCAACGGCGGCAGCGCCTCGACCGCCGCGGCCCCGGGCCCCGCCTTCCGCAGCGCGACGCCCAACGCGCGCGGCCAGTACAGCGACGCGGTGCTGAGCGAGCTCGAGAGCCAGAACGACGAGCAGATGGAGGGAATGAGCGCCAAGGTGCGCATGCTCAAGGATGTGAGTTGAGTTGCGCTGCGCTGCGCTGGGGAAGACACGAGACACACACACACAGAGAGAAAGAGAATGCTGACGTATGCGTGTGTGTGTGGGGACAGATCACCCTCGCCATCGGCGACGAGATCCGCGACTCGACCGCCTTTGCCGAGAAGATGAACGACTCGTTCGACAGCACGCGCGTGCGCCTGCGCGGCACCATGAACCGCATGCTGCGCATGGCCGAGCGCACCGGCGTCGGCTGGAAGGTGTGGCTGGCCTTTTTCGCCGCCGTCGTCGTGCTTTTCTGGTACGTCTGGCTGTTCTAGCCCGGTGTCGTTGTTGTGTGTGTGTGTGCTTTTTCTTTCATACATGGATGGGGGAGGGAGGCTTGGGTGCGTGCCGTGCCGTCGTCATCTCCGCGGGCGGGGCGAGCGGCCGGGCTTGTGCGGACAAAGACGGATGGGACTGGAAGGGACTGGTGGGGCTTGTCGCCTGCTATGACAGGCCAACCAGGCGATCGCAAACAGTGCGTGCAAGTATTATATACACACACACACGCACGCACAGCATGGCGTTTGGGGGCAGCATATCACGGTTGTTAATACCTTGTTACTAGAACGGGGGGAGCAGGCCAGGTAAGAGAAAAGGGCGTGTGCCGCTTAAAGTAATGTCTTGTCTTGTTTGAATCTCATCATGTACCGCCAATTTCCATGGCCATGGCATTTCTGCAACCGCTGGCCTCATGAATGCCTGTTGTCCTGTTCCAACCACCCATCCATCCACCCATCCAACGCCACGCTAAACACCACACAAGCAAAAACCCAGCACTCACAACACACAAGACCTCACCTCCTCCCCGCACCCCTCCTCACCGGCGGCTGCATCCACGACGGACTATCCCTCGCAAGCCCCCGCCCCCGCGCCTGCCCCTGCCCCCTCCCCGCCGCAGGGCTATTATCCCCCGCCCCGAGCAGCAGCGACGAAGACGACGCATCCACCAGCAGCAGCGAGCTCTGGTCCTCGCTCAGCAGGCTGGCGCGCGACGCCCGTTGCCCCCGCCCCTGCCCCTGCCCCTGCCCATGCCCATAGGGCCGCCGATGCAGGGTCAGCGCGCTGATGCCGCTGCCACTGCCACCGTTATTGTTGTTGTTGTTGTTGCCACCACGCGCGGACGCCGCCGCCGCAGCAGCAGCAAACAGGTTGCCTGCGCGCCGCGCGCCGGGCCCGCTGACGAAGGGGTTGAGTTCGTTTCGCCCGCCACCCGTAGCACCAGCAGCAGGGCTAAACAGGCCGCCCGAGCCCGCCGCGGCGCTCAGTCTTGCGGCCGCGCTGCTGAGGCGGCTGGACCGGCGCCTGGATGGTGCACCAGCACCAAGACTAGGAGCAGCACCAACGCCCACGCCCGCGCGGCCAAAGCTCGCGAAGCTGCCGCTCAGGCGCCCACTGTGTGAGAGGGACGAGAGCTCGAGGTCCGCGGCGGTAGAGTCGTCTTCCAGCTCCGTGTCCGTGTGCTCGTACTCCCCTGGCTCCGGGGCGTCGGCGTCGAGCAAGTCGGTGGACTCGTCGAGGAGGTCGCGCTCGTCCTGGAGGTCGCCGGCGAGTTCGGCCTCTGCGCGCGCGACGACCCAGGCGGCCGAGGCGGCTTCGGCCGCGTCGTGTTGCTGTTGTTGCTGGTGGTGCTGGTGAAGTTGGTTGTGCTGGTTGTGGTTTTGGTAGTGGTGCAGGTGTTGATGTTGATGCTGTTGTTGTAGCAGGCGGTGCTGGCCCGGCCGTGGCGAGTGCTGGTGCGCGTCGTTTTCGTCGTTTTCGTCGGGCCCGAGCAGCGAGGCGTCGGCGTAGATGCTTTCTTCGTTGAACGTGACGTCGGCGGTGGGCGAGGCGGCAGCCGAGACGGAGGCGGGCGAGGAGACATCTTCGATGTCGTCGTCGTCGGAGGCTTCTTCTTCTTCTTCTTCTTCGTCTTCGTCATCGTCATCATCTTCTTCTTGCTCTTCCTCTTCGGAGCCACTGCCGCCGCCGAGACTGCCCTCGGGCACGTCGGCGTCGAGGTCGCCTTCAACCGAGCCAGAGACGCCTTCTTCGTCCTCGGCCTCTGAGCTCGCGGCCCCCAGACTCCCCTCGGGGACATCGGCGTCCAGATCCTCGACCTCGCTCTCCACCTCATCATCATCATCATCATCATCATCAAACGTCTCATCCTCGGCCTCATTCTCCCGATCGTCATCCAAATCCGGGACATCAGCGTCCAGATCGACGGCACCCTCTCCCTCTTCCTCCTCCGCCATGCCGCGCTCAATCATTTCGCGGCGCCGGCGCTCCTCCTCCTCCTGCTCCTGCGCGCTCGCCAGCTCCATGAGCGCCTGCTCGCGCCGCGCCAGCGCCTCCTGCTCCTCGCGCTCGGCGGCCTCGTCCATGGCGGCCTGGAACGTCTTGGCCACGCCCGGCGGCCGGATCCACCCTGCCCCGAAGCGGCGCACGTTGAGCTTGCGCTGCTCGATGGTGTTTTCGTCGTGCGCGAGCGCCGCCAGCGCCGAGCCACCGCCGCCGCTGCGGCGTCCGCTCCCCATGCTCGCGTTGCGCCCCCCTAGTGCGTCATGTTGCTGCTGCTGTTGTAGTAGTTGTTGTTGTTGCTGGTCCGAGGCCGGCGAGGGCGGGCGCAGGCGCGCTTGCGCCGCTGTCGACTGCCATATGGTGTGGTCCTGCGGGGCCCGCGGGCGTTAGTCAATCGTTGTTAAGTGGTGTGTGTGTGTGGGGCGGGGCTCACGTCGCGTGGGATTATGAGCGGCAGCGACAGCATTTTGGGTGGGATGTTTATTTACGAATCGATGCGGCGTTGGGTTGGTTGGCCGATGCACGGGCTGGGCTGGTGCTGGCTGGCGGGCGGCGGATCTGCCCGAGCAGCGGGTGATGGATGAGGCTCCGCGCTCGTTTCGCCCTCGCCCAACCCAACCTCCAACAGCCCACAGTCCACAGCCAAGCATTCTGGCGCCCATCCCAAACCCAGGCCCAGGCCCAGCCCAGCCCCCGCCCGCCATAGCCAAAGAATCTCGCCATGCCCACTCGCTCCCTTGCACGCCCCACCTCCTCGGAGTGCTACCTATACCGGGCCGCGTCCGCCCAGCATGCCTGTCGTGCCTGTTCCCGCGTGTGTGCTGCATGTGCACCAGCAGCCTAAATGTAGTAGTTACTGTATTTTTTGATAGCGAGAGCGAGCGTTATCTTTGCCTGCATTCCGTGCCTTCTTCTTCTTCTTCTAGCTTCTGCCTGCCTGCCTGCCTGCCTGCTCCTCGCGTCCTTCCTGCCTGCCTCCTGCTGCCAGCCACTGCGCCTTCTGCTTCTACTAAGAAATAAATGGCCGCGCGCTTCCTCTGACCCGTCGACGCATCACCCACCGCCCACCACCACACGATGCGCCTCCCCACGCATCCCTCACTCTCGCTCCTCCCACCACCTCTGCTCGTCCTACTCCAAGCGGCTCTCGTCCTCCTCCTCGCGAGACCCCTCCACGCCCTCCCCCAATACAACTACGACGCCGAAGGCGCCTTTGCCTCGCGCCTGTCCGCCCTCCTCACGCCCACGGCGCCAGCTCTCGCGGCTTTTCCCGCACGCACCCCGACGACCGCATCCGACATCGCGCTGCGCTCCTGGACCGGCGGCGGGGCGTCGCCTGCGTTTGCCTTGCTCGTGTCTGACGCGGGGGAGCACGTGAGCGAGCGGGCGAAGGCCGAGAAGGGCCTGTTTGACGAGCAAGGAAAGGAGGATGCGGACGACGACGAAAGGAAATTGCACCACCACCACCTGAATGCCGACGACGGGGAGGAGGCCCGAGAGGGAAAGGCCCTCCTCGTCTTCCTCGACGATGGCCATGTCGACGCCGACGCCAACGCCGACACCGACACCACTGCCACTATCACCACGACGCGCAACGTCGCCATGCCTCTCCCTACCGCCCCGTCTCTCACCCAGTCCCACCGCCACGACCAGCAGGTTCTAGACCGGTGATTGGGGCACCGCTGTTAACGGTTCTTGGAAGAAGACCCTCAGTGGGGTCAAGACGCTGCTTAATTGGTTTGATTAGCGTGGCTGCTTGGGCAGTTCTGCAGCTGTGTTTTTTTCTTGTGTTTGGTTGGTCGTAGCTCTTTGTGTGTGTTTTTCTTCCTCAATCAACATCATTCTTCGTCTTCTCCTTCCGATTCAGCCTTTGAATAGCCTTGCGCCATGCCACGCCGAGAAGAAGAGCCGTGTTCGACATGTCTCTGACCGCACGTCTACGAAGCGTCTCGCGCCGTGCCAATGCTCGCCATCCGGGACGCACCTGCCGACAACAAGCCACTCCTAGACCGCTCGAGCCAGACTTCAACCGTGCAACCAGCTCAACACGGCTTCCTCTCCGAGCCATCATCATGCATCAGGCAGCCGCCACTTAGCACCATCTCCCTATTAGTCCGAGTCCGAATCAGACGCCTCCTCGTCCTCCTTCTGCCGCTTCGCCAAAATCTCCTTCCACTGCTCTGCAAACTCGCGCAACGAGCCCTCGCCGCCCCGGCTCGCGTCCACGACGTCGCGCGGCAGCTTGTGCGCCGAGTACTGCGGCGTCGCGAAGCCGTAGGCCTCGGGGTCGTCTTTGCGCACGAGTCGCAGCTCGGGCGCCCATAGCTCGGCGTCAACGTCGTCGTCGTCGTCGTCTTCGCTATCTGAGGGGGTCTCGGTGTCGGATCCGGAGTCTTCGCCATCTTGCGCGGGGCTGTCGGCGGCGCTCGAGGCACCCCCACCCGACGCCGCCGCCATGCCACTGCCGCTGGGCCGCAGCGGAATGCGCACCGTCTTCTCGGGTTTTTCGCTCTTCTGCTCCCACCGGTCGGGCCCGTCCATGGTCAGCAGCTCCAGCCAGCTCCACAGCAGCGGGTCGGTCCTCTGTGCCCAGGGATTGACGTCGATGAGCCAGACCTTGTCGTGCGGCGGCGGGACGTACACGTCGAAGACGAAGTTGGGGTCCGGGAAGGAGTCGCGCATCTTGTCGTCGAAAAAGGACTGGATGCGCGAGCGCAGGCGCGTCGACATGTTGTCCTGGAAGAGGAAGTCGAAGTGGTTGAGGTCGCGCTGGCAGAGGGCCAGGAGGCGGCGGTTGCGCACGAAGCAGCGGAACTCGAGCGAGGGGTTGAGCTGGACGTATTTGCGCAGGACTAGGTAGTACGGAATCTCTTTTGCGGTGGAGCCGGCACCAGCCTCGGCGTCCTCGCAGTCGTCGAGCGCGTGCTCCAGGTCGTGCGTCACAAAGTCGGAGCTCTTGAGCAGCAGGTACACGTCGTTGGCGCTGCGGCATTCCATGCTGTTGGTCGCGTTGATCCACGTCGCGTCCTTGGGCGCGCTCCAGTTCAGCTTGGGCACCACCTTGCCGCCCAGCTCCGCGATGGTGGTTTGCACGGCCTGGTGCACATCGCGCCACTCGGCCGAAGGGTCGGCGCCGGCCTCGTCGTCGCTGTCGTCCGCGGCGGCGTCGGGGTTCTCGGTCGCGCTGAAGATGCCGCTGTCGTCGTCCGAGGAGTAGTCGCCCTGGCGCGGCTCGTCGGCGTCGGGCGGGAGCACGATGCCGTCGGCGCGCAGGTAGGCCAAGAAGGCCGCGCTGAGAGGCACGAGGCGCGCTTTGGGGGTGACGGTGCGGTAGCTGTGGTGGCGCGGCGGGGCGCGATTGGTCAGTTTGTGCTTGCTTGCTTTTTCCTTTTCTTCATCTTTATCTTCGTTTTGTCGTTCTTTGTTTGCTTGCTGAGCAGAGAGGGTGGGATGAAGGTGGGGCAAAAGCGTCTGCTTACCGCGGCTGCCACGCGTGGTACGAGCAGTTGAGGATGTGCTGCGCGGTCAGCGGCGGGAAGGGCAGCCGGTCGAGCGGGGCGTCGGTCGCGCCCACGGGCACTTCGATCTGCTCGGTGATCTCGGGCATTGCGGGCTGTTTGTTTCTTTTTTTATGTTGGAGTCACTGCTGTGGAAGCGTCGTCGTAAAAAGTGAGTCGCGCACGAGAGCATGAATCGTGTGCGCTCGTTGCTTGACTCGCTCCGTTCTCGCCAACATAGTAACGTCTGCCACCGCGAACCGAGATCCACCGTCTCGCGAGACAGGGGGCGACACAAGCAGTCCCTATAGAGTACTTCTTGTCTAGTTCTAAGCCCGAACTTACCCTATCGACCAAAGAGATCGCGATATAACGCGACGTCGGTTACTACGAACCGAGACCTACCGTCTAGGGAGACGGGGGACGATACAAGCAGTCCCTATAGAGTACTCCTTACCTAACTCTCAGCCCGAGTCTTGGATATGGGTGAAAAGCTCTTAGAGCACATACAGACTCTATACACCTCAACTTGGTCTCTTCTTCTACTCCGTACGAGTAGCACCATCTCGCTTCACGGTGGCTCTCGCTTCATAGTAACGGACGTTATTACTACGTAGCCTTTCTTCGTCAGCCTAATACAGTTAATGTGATAGATGATATCATAAACCACATACCCTTCATGAGTTCTTAAATAGCTTCATGCCTACCTAGTTTCTAGAGTTGACAATCAAATTTCAGAGCATTTCGATCTGCCCTATATCTGTATAGGGTTGACAAAATGAAGTAATAACACTCACACAAAGCATACACAGGCAAGTTGAGCAAATTTATCATTGCATTACTCTCGTTCTCGCTCTAGCTACTTAGCAGTAACCCAGCTGGTTGACGTGCTTTTTCTTCCTACTTCCGCCTGTCCCTCGTCTTCTTTTCCCGTCCGAAGTGACTGTGGCCGAGGGAAGCGGTAGGCACGCACGGCGCCAAAGAGCCAAGAGAGAACAAGAAAGCATCGATCGGTGCCGCAAGCAAGTGAGCGAGTGGTGATGAAACCAAAGCATCGAACGTCTTTCCTCTCCCTGTCTTCCCCTTTGCAATCCCTTGGCCTGCCCACCTGTCCGTTCGTCCAGTGTCGTTATCGTACAAGCGTTTGAGGCCTTTATCATCCTCATTTTAACTCCTTGCACTTGTTCGCCAACCATGAAATGAGAAGAAAAAAGAAGAAAGCAGAAAATGAAGAAGATCTCGCACCGTCATCGTCTATCGTTACGCTGTACAATTGGCCATGTAGGGGTATCGCAAAGAGGAGGCGTCGTAATCATCGTCAAGAGCGCGATGAGTACTAGCAACTTCATCATCTCGTCGTGAGCAGTTGCGGCGCTCAAGCAGCATCGGTGATGAGCTCGGTGGGGGCACCCTCGGCACCGCTCATCAACTCGTAGGGCGGACGCTTGACAATACCACCCGTAACAGGCAGCTGGGAGCCAACGCCGGTGAGGAAGGCGTCGACCTCGCGCGCGGCCATGCGGCCTTCGTTGATACCCCAGACGATGAGCGACTGGCCGCGGCGGCAGTCGCCTGCCGCGAAGACGCCGGACACGTTCGTGGCGTACTTGCCTGGGGGTGTCTTGACGTTCTTGCGGGCGTCGCGCTCAATTTCGCCGCCGATGGCGCGGTCCTCAGGACCCAAGAAACCCATGGACAGCAGGACCATGTCGGCAGGGAAGAACTCCTCCGAGTTCTCAACCTGCTTCATATCCCAGCCGCCCGTGGCGGACTTCGTCCACTCAACACGGACCGTGTTGATGCCCTTGACGTTGCCGTTGCCGTCGTCGACAAAGTCCTTGGACATAACGCAGTACTCGCGAGGGTCCTTGCCCATGTGCGTCTTGACCTCCGAGTGGCCGTAGTCAACACGATAGATGCGAGGCCATTGCGGCCAGGGGTTGTCACGAGCGCGTTCAGCTGGGGGCTGAGGCAGAAGTTCGAAGTTGGCGACGGACTTGGCACCGTGACGGACCGAGGTGCCGATGCAGTCGTTACCAGTATCACCACCGCCAATGACAACGACGTGCTTGTCCTTGGCGGAAAGGTACTCTCCATCAGAAAGGTTGGAGTCGAGGAGAGACTTGGTGTTCTTGTGCAAGAACTCCATGGCGAAGTGGATGCCCTGAAGGTTGCGGTTGGGAATAGGCAGGTCGCGAGCAACGGTGGCACCAGTGGCGAGGATAACCGCATCGTTCTCGCCGCGCAGGGAGTCAATAGTGATATCTCCCTCGCCAACGTGGACACCGGTAACGAAGTTGATGCCCTCAGCCGCCATGAAGTCGACACGGCGCTGAACAACCTTCTTGTCGAGCTTCATGTTAGGAATGCCGTACATGAGCAGACCACCGATGCGGTCAGCACGCTCATACACGGTCACTGTGTGGCCAGCCTTGTTCAACTGGTCGGCGGCAGCGAGACCGGCGGGACCGGAGCCGATAATGGCAATCTTCTTGTCGCTGCGGAACTTCGGAGGAGAAGGAACCATCCAGCCCATCTCAAATCCGCGGTCAATGATGGCACACTCGATGGATTTGATACCGACCGGGTCCTCGTTGATACCAAGGACACAGGCGCCCTCGCAAGGAGCCGGGCAGACACGACCGGTGAACTCGGGGAAGTTGTTAGTCATGAGCAGACGGCGCAGGGCATCTTGCCACTGATTTTGGAACACTAATTCGTTCCATTTGGGGATGATGTTGGAGATGGGACAACCAGTGTCAGACTGGCAGAAAGGAACACCGCAGTCCATGCAACGAGCGGTCTGGTACTTGAGCTCATCCTCGTTGAGACGCTGAGACAGCTCCTGCCAATCGCGCGTACGGGTCTTAGGGTTGCGGTACTTCTCGGAGCGGCGCTGGTACATCTTGAAGCCGCGAGTCTTGTCGAGCACCAAAGCGGACCTCTTCTTCTCGGCCTTGGCATCACCAACACTCTCCTCAATGTCCAGAAGGTCGCTCTTCTTCTTTTCCTTCTCATCCTTCTCGTGCTGCTTCTTCTTGGTCTCTTCATGTGCGGCACGGACAGGGTTGCCAGGAAGAATGGGAAGAGGGTATTCCTTCTTCTTGGCCTCGGCAGCCTTCGCAGCCGTCTCCTGCATGACACGCTTGTAGTCGATGGGAAGAACCTTGACAAAACGAGGGAGGGCGCGGGTGAAGTCGAGCAGAATGCGGGCAGCAAGCTCAGAGCCGGTGTAGTGGTGGTGATCCTCGATGAGACCGCGGAGGAAGGCAATTTCGGTGGGATCCTCGACACTGCAAAGTTCAACCATCTCCTGGTTGACCTTGCCCTCAAAGTCGTGATGCATGTCCAAAACATACGCGATACCACCGGACATACCAGCAGCAAAGTTACGGCCAGTCGAGCCGAGAACCAGAATACGACCGCCAGTCATGTACTCGCAACCATGGTCACCAACGCCTTCAACGACGGCCGTAACACCGGAGTTACGGACGGCGAAACGCTCGGCAGCGACACCACGGAAGAAGCACGTACCGCGAGTAGCACCATACAAGCAGACATTACCGATGATAACGTTCTCCTCAGCCTTGTAGACCGCCGACCTAGGCGGGTAGATGATGAGGCGACCACCAGAAAGACCCTTTCCGACGTAGTCGTTTGCATCACCCTCAAGCTCAAGAGTGACACCTGGCGCACAGTAGGCACCGAAGGACTGACCCGCAGAACCACGGATGTTGACATGGACAGTGTCTTGGGGAAGGCCAGCCTCACCGTACCTCTTAGAGATCTGATAGGCCAGCGTGGCACCCAGAGCGCGATCAGTGTTGATAACGTCGCACTCAATGCGAGTCGGCAAGCCCTTCTCGAGAGCCAACTCGGACTCAGAAATGAGCTTGTTATCCAAACGAACGTGCAGACGGTGGTCTTGCTTGCGAACGTTGTAGGTAGCGACACCAGGACGCAGGGTGTGAGCCGGAGTCAGGATCAAGGACAAGTCAATGTTCTCCGTCTTGGAAGTGCGGAGGTCATCGCGGACGTGAAGAACATCGCAGCGGCCGACCATTTCGTTGATCGTGCGGAAACCAAGCTTAGCCATGATGGCACGAAGCTCATTGGCGACGTAGTAGAAGAAGTTGATGACATGCTCGGGCGTGCCAGTGAACTTCTTCCTAAGCTCAGGGTCCTGAGTAGCGATACCGACAGGGCAGGTGTTCAAGTGACACTTCCTCATCATGATACAGCCCATGGCGATCAGAGGGGTAGTAGCGAAACCCCACTCCTCAGCGCCCAGCAGAGTCGCGATGGCAATGTCACGACCGGTACGAATCTGACCATCAGTCTGGACAATGACACGGCCACGGAGGTCGTTTAGAACCAGGGTCTGGTGGGTCTCGGCAAGACCCAACTCCCAAGGTAGACCGGCGTACTTGATACCAGTCCAACGAGAAGCACCAGTGCCACCATCGTGACCAGAGATCAGAATGTGGTCAGCCTTGGCCTTAGCGACACCCGAGGCAACGATACCAACACCAGTCTCAGAGACAAGCTTGACGGAGACGCGAGCCCTGGGGTTGGAGCACTTGAGGTCATAGATGAGCTGCTTCAGGTCCTCAATCGAGTAGATATCGTGATGAGGAGGAGGCGAGATTAGACCGACGCCAGGAGTAGAGTGGCGGGTCTTAGCAATAGATGGCGAAACCTTGTGGCCTGGAAGCTCACCACCTTCACCGGGCTTGGCGCCTTGAGCCATCTTGATTTGAAGCTCATCGGCATCGGCAAGATAGTGGCTCGTGACACCGAAACGGCCGGAGGCAATCTGCTTGATGGCCGACCTCATGGTATCACCGTTCTCCATACGAAGACTGCGCTCAGGGTCCTCACCGCCCTCGCCGGTGTTAGACTTACCGCCGAGACGGTTCATGGCAACGGCAAGGGTAGAATGAGACTCCATGGAGATAGAGCCATAAGACATGGCACCAGTGACGCAGCGCCTGACGATCTCGGTCCAGGGCTCGACTTGCTCAATGGGGACAGGAGTGCACTCCTCGAAGTTGAAGTCAAGAAGACCACGGAGCGTGCAATCCTTGATACGCTCATACTCGGTCTTGGAGTAAGCCTCGTAGGACTTGTCGTTCTTGGTGCGGACAGCATCCTGCACGTTGGCAATGGCGGTCGGGTCGTTGACGTGCGACTCGCCACCATCTCTCCAGTGATACTCGCCAGTCTCGGCCAAGCCAGGAACTTCGACGATGCTGCGGCTGGGGTAACCCTTCTCATGCAGGGCAAAAGCGTCCTGAGCGATGGTTTCGAAAGTCATACCCTTAATGCGGGTGGCAGTGCCGGTGAAGCAGCGGTCAACTACTGTGTCATCGATACCGAGGGCTTCGAAAATCTGTGCACCCTTGTACGACTGAAGAGTCGAGATACCCATCTTCGACATGACCTTCAGGATACCACCGTCGCAAGAGTGCTTGTAGTTGTCGATGAGCTGCTTAGGCTCAATCTTCTTGCGAATGAGCTTCTCGCGGTGCATCTTGAGAATGCACTCCATAGCGAGGTACGGGCAGATGGCATCAGCACCGTAACCGACGAGGACGCACATGTGGTGGACCTCACGCGCCTCGGCAGTCTCGACGACGAGAGCAGCTTGCGACCTCCACCTGTTCCTGACGAGATGGTGGTGGACCATGCCGGTGGCCAACAGAGCGGAGACCGGAACACGGTCCGCAGAAACAGCGCGGTCGGACAGAATGATGACGCTGTTATCATTGTTGATGGCATCCGTAGCAGCATCGCAGATGCGGTCAAGAGCGTTAATGTAACCCTGGACTCCTTCACTCTTAGGGAAAGTGATATCGACGACCTTGCTGGACCAGTTGGAGTAGGCTCCCTGAATGCCCTTCAGAGCGTTAAACTCCTCGATGGACAGGACGGGAGAGGGTAGGAGGAGACGGTGGCACTGAGTCTCATCCATTTCCAGCAAGTTGCCCTGAGGTCCAACGTAGGCTTCCAGGGACATGACGACAGCCTCACGGATAGGATCAATGGGCGGGTTTGTGACCTGTGCGAAAAGCTGACGGAAGTACTCATACAGCAAGCGAGGCTGCCGAGCCAGACAGGCCAGCGGTGCATCGTTGCCCATGGAACCCAGAGCTTCCTTGGAGTCTGCGGCCATAGGGCCAAGAATCAGGCTGACCTGCTCCAAAGAGTAACCGAAAGCCTTCAAGCGGGGATCCTCCTGTACGCGGGTCTCAGTAATGGTGTGAGAGAGGTCCTGGCCCTTCTCAGTCAAGGTCTTGTAGACACCGTCCATGGTGAGCAAGTGCTTCTGGATCCAGTCCCGGAAGTCGTGCCTGTTTGCGACAGTTTGCTTAAGCTCACTGTCATCGACGATACGGCCAGCGACTGTGTCAACGAGAAGCATCCTGCCGGGCTGCAGTCTGCCTTTCTGGATGACCCGTTCCGGATCGATGTTGATAGTGCCAACCTCGGACGCGCAGATGATGCGGTCATCATCCGTCACGTAGTATCTGCAAGGACGCAGGCCGTTACGGTCAAGGTTGGCACCGCAGTACCTGCCATCGGCGAAGGTGAAGAGAGCGGGGCCATCCCAAGGCTCCATCATACAACCAGCCCACTCATAGAACGCCTGCTTGGCAGGGTCCATGGCTTGGTTGCCTTGCCATGCCTCGGGGACCATGAGCATGACAGCCTCGGGAAGAGAAAGAACACCGTTGATGACCAGAAGTTCCAGGACGTTATCGAATGCCGCAGAGTCGGAGCCACCATCCTCGATGATGGGATAAAGCAGCTCCAGCTCATCACCGAAGAGGTCCGATCTGAGGTTACCCTCACGAGCACGCATCCAGTTCTTGTTACCGCGCAGAGTGTTGATTTCACCGTTGTGAGCAGCCCATCTCAGAGGCTGTGCACGATCCCAACTCGGGAAAGTGTTTGTGGAGAAACGCGAGTGTACAAGGGCAAAATGTCCCTCGTAATCGACGTTGACCAGATCGAAGTAGTATTCGTAGACCTGAGAGGGCGAGAGCTGGCCCTTGTAGACAATGTTCTTGTTGCTGAGAGAGCAGAGGTAGAACCAGTTGTGAAGACCGATAACATGCGTAGCTCTCTTGCGCAGCACGTACAGCTGTCTCTCGAACCATGCCTCATCGAACTCCTGCGAGTAGGTCTCCTTCGGCACGTTTTCAGTGCCGTACGCCTCCTTCGCGACAACGAAAGGTTGCAAGATGATGGGCTCTCTGGAAAGAGCAGCAGGACCAAGCAGCGTAGAGTCCTTAGGCACCTCTCGCCATCCAAGCACCCGCAGCCCCAGAGAGTCCGTGATTTCCTCAAACGTCGCAATAGTCTCCTTCAGTACCTCCGTGTCCGGCTTGAAGAAGAGATTACCAGCCGCATACTGGCCTTGGGGAGGCAACTTAATGCCTTGGTCCCTTTCAAAGTTCTTCACGAAGAACTTGTGGGGAATAGAGGTCATGACACCGGCACCATCACCATCTCTGGCGTCCGAACCAACAGCACCACGGTGGGTCATGTTGCACAGAAGGCTCCGGGCTATAACAATCTCTAATCAGTCACATAGCTCGCCATATATAAAAGGGTGAAGTTCCTACCATCGCTGACAATCTTGTGGCTTGCATTGCCCTTAATGTTGCTACGGGATCGTCAGTTTGTAAGTCCAGCAGGTGAGTGTCGCGTGCCAAGGTCACTTACGCAGCAAAGCCGACACCACAGGCATCCTTCTCCAGTTCAGGGTCGTAGAGACCCTGCTTGACTGGCAGCGTGCCTGCCCATGACTTGTTCTCGGGCGTGTTCTGGTACTCGTACACGCTGGGCGCGTATTGTTCTTCCTCAATCTGACTGTCGCATTGATTTACATCTTCGGCAAACGAGACCCGACCCATAGCTTCGGCGAGAGGCCGAATCGCGTAAGGATGTGGAGGGTGTACCGAAGCTTGCGTCGAGTAAGAGGTTGGTTCGCGGTGTCGCGTAGTAGTGTTACCGTCTGAGGATTGGCTGTCAGTGAGGCCGCGGGGAAGATTTTTTGGGTGGCGCGGTGTGGGTTGAGGAAAAGTGAGAAGGCAGGAAGAGTCGGCGACAAAGGTTGGCAATGGTCGGCCTGAAGAATGGCTGGGCACGGCGTTGTGTGAAAGTATGGGAAAAGGCAAAAAGCCAGTCGTCGCAGTCTACAAGCGGCGATCTCCACGAGCGATGATGTAGTGAAGGCTTTTTGCGCTGCTCGACAAGGGCAGTGTTTGATAAGGGCTTTGGCGAATCACAGAGCCGCGTGGGTGCACGGAACGGGAGAGTGGATTGGACGGACTCACGGGCTGGAATGTAGGTACTTTGGGGCAGTTGCGGGGCGAGAAGAGGGCCTGCGCAACGCTACCAGACGTGGGTGGAATTGTAGAGGTGAAAGGCGGGGAGCTGGGCGGAGGCAGGAGTAGGTAGGTAGCAAGAGAGAGCAAGAGGACCACAGCGATGGCGGAGGGAGAGGCAACTTATGAAGGCCGGCACCGCGGGCTCAGGTCTGACCTCAAGGTGGGGAACACGCTAGAGCCAGATTACCATTGCCATCTTTTTCATTGGCACGCACTCTGGGCATTCGTGCCAATTGCAATGGGCTTTTTCGTTTTTCGCAGCTCCTACGCAAACGACGCGCCTGAGGTGCGCTGCGGCCGTTGATCATGCCCGCCTCAAGGCCATGCAGCAGCACCAACTCACACTTTCTTCTGACAGCTGTGCCATGCGCTTGCTGCCAGACGCGCTCCGCCATCGCAGTCGGTGCATGTTGCGATGCGCCTGCGGTGAAAAATTCCCTGCTACCCCACGGTCGACGCACGCCGGCACCCAGGGCGGCGGATGCAGCCTGTACTTTTGCGCGCGCGCTGATTCGCCCGCGCGCGGCTCGATGACGGTTTGGGCCTCGTCCAAGCTTCGCGATGGCGCACATCCACCCGCGCCTCCCATGCACCTTCCACGTTGCCGCGCCCTCGATTGGCCCCTCGACTTTCCCTTGGGGTAATTCGGCCTCGTCATCCCAGGCCCTGTCCTTATCGTCCACGACATCTCTGCACCGTAGCCGCAACCGGAATGGACCTTCAACCCTCCCCAAAGTCCCCGCTGCGAGGCCTGCTCATCCTCTGATCGAAAGCGGGCATCTCCTCCCGTGCCCGCTGCGTGTTCATTCCCACCTCGCCGAACCCACCCGCGGACCCGTCCGACAGGGCCCGGGCGGATACGGAAGTTGTATACGTAGTACCGCCAGACGTCCTGCTCATTTCCAATCTGAGTCACCGCCAGCGAACCGCCTGGGTTCATCCTCACCGATATCGCTCGCGTCTCCAGACCTGGTCTTTTGATCAGGCTATGGCAATATTCCCTAAGCAACCAATGGTTGCCTAGCCGTGCCCTCAGGGTCCGACTAAAAATGCTGCTAAATACGCACACATACCGCCGGGTTTCTGTTGAGCATCCGGATCCGACGCGCTGCACACCGTTGCTAATGTGCGTGACGCTGGGATCGGTTTCAGGTCTCGTCATACGGATACTGAAGCCTTGTCTGCCTTGGGGACACAGCGCTGCGGGCACCAGCCGACGAAGCCGGATAATCTTATCGCAAATGGCCAGGGCTCTCGGTGGCTATCCAGCCACCACGTACCACGTGCCGGCACTTTCACCTCTGTCACCACCGTCGAATCCCGTGCTGGGAGCGTTCCTCTGATCCGATTCTCTTTGCCTCGGAGGTCGAAGCGCTCTGCCGATTATTGACGAGGGTTTGAAGATGACAAAGAGACGCAGTTGCCAGCCTTGGACCTTTCGAAGGTCATAGCGCCCAGATTGGAGCAGGCATCCTACGAAGTAATCCTCATCCGCTTATCCCCGTACTAAGCCCTACCAAATACCCACCTCGACCGCTTCCTTCGAAAGAGGAATGACGGAGTGGTGAGGGTGAAATAGCATGCCCTACGGCACAGTTTCCCAGGCAAACATCACGCAAAGGTACTGTGTAATACATTATCACGATAGCAAGGGATGAGAGAAGCGGCTGAACTGAATCTCATAAATTTTCCGCATTTGGTGCCAACTGCCTAGTCAATCGAGGCACGGTCGACAGATTTACAGAGAACTGTTGCTGCAGCAATCATTTTGCATGTGAATTCTCCGTCCTCGTTGCCAAGCCCCACGCTCCGCCCGGCTCCGGAACAACTTAGCGGGGCGGAGCGGGCATCCGGGCATCGCCGGACGATACTTTGGAGCTCTCCCCAGCCAGACAGCATCATCGAAAAGATCACGGGCCGTGTCACTCATAACAGTGTGGTGTTTAAAGACCTTATCCTAGCGAAAGGAAATCTTGACCTAGCTTCTCCCTCCCAAAGCCCGGCGATGCCTATAACCAAGCTTACTGCGCGTGACGCGTCAGTGAGATTAGGGAAGGCTGTAGAACCACAGTTTCAGCGGTCGGTTCGGTGGACCGCTTTAGTTTAATTCTACTAGGTAACATATTCGCGTCTGAAGTCGCTCACAACCTCAAGAGTTTGGCTTCTCAGCGCAGTGATGCTTTCGATCCTATTATCGGTCAATAAGCCACTCCAGAGGGGAAGGAGAGAAGAAATAGAGCTGTCACGAACTCTACTATATAGTTTTGGGCCAACGACATCAGGCATCTTGCTCGAATGCAGAGCATGAATTTTGAAGAGCAGACCAGGCGCAAACACACCAAACGTAAGGATAGCTAGTGAGGTTGGATGACTTGTTGAGAGTGGTTGTAGTGGAGACTCCATAAGTGGGGTCTATCGTGAAAGATTCCTTCAGCATTTAGAGCTCAAGTATTTTCTAGAGCGGATCAAACAGCGTTTGGAATGCCAAACTGAAGTCAAAGTAACACTGGCACAGAACAGTGACTTAAACGTGCTCAAGCCTCACATATCCACAATGAGAACATCTTTGGCTGAACATTCTGTCATTATAATGTCCGTCACCATCCAGTGAGAAAGACCTTCAACATATAATCTTTAGAGATCGTGTATATCCTCAACTAAGTATTCGCTCTAACTTTGAGAATCCGATGACACTGTCTCAATACCTCAATCACTCTAATGAAAGGGTACAAGAAATTCCTATAGACTACTACTTGTCTGGGTATAATCGAGCAACCCTTGGAATGCATTCAACCTACCCATACTTCTACTGGACTTGGTTTTCACTCAGTATAAGCGGGGTTATCTCGCTAGGCGGTGAATCTTTCTTGACGGTGATGGAATTTATGCAAAGCATCCATCATGGAGTTGTTGCTCTTTCCGTGAAATTCTGTGAAAGCAGAAGTCAAAGCTGCCAGTCTAGCCAATCATTTCATTTGATTCACTGCAGGGAAAGACAATCAGAGTTTGAAAGTAGCATTGTCAACTTAATGCTCATCTAAAGCATGCCCGCCATTCATTTCCACGCCGAAGTTCCATCTCCGTACGTGAGTTTTTGGTATATGTTTTCCTCCGTCCATGATTCGTGAAGAGTTGATCACCGCCTATGATGCATTTGCAACCCAAATCGCTCCCATTTACTCCAATGCCAAAAACGCAGCTCGTAAAGGAAGCAGAGCTCGTCGTCCGATAGGAACGAAACCAAGGAACCCTAGGAGGACAAGTCAGCACCGGAAGGATTGGCAGACAGGCCGCGTGTGCATCCACGAAGCGGCCATGCGCCGGTGAGGACGCGCATCGCAGTGGCGTTCTTTCAACGCGAACCTTTACTCCTGCATATCCATAGCAACCTCGGGGTCCTGGAAGTCCTCGTCGTCATCCTCATCATAATCCTCGTTTCCGGCCTCCTCGTTGGCCTTGGCGAAGTCGATGGTCTTGCCGCGCGTGCGCCGTCCACCTTCAATGATGTTGTCCGTGTCGATCTCCTCCATGTTGTCCTCGTCGGCTTCCTCGACTAAGCGTATGGTCAGCGAAAAACGTCATCGGGCGCAGGGGAAAAAGTTGAGCGCGAGGGGCGCATACCATCGGGAACCTGGGTGAACGTCAGCCGCTGCGTTGTCGCAAACATGAGATTCGAAAGTGACGTACCTCTTGCTCCGCGCCAGACTCCTCGTCAGAGCTGTCCTCCTCACCCATGCTGACATCCGCCGGCACCTGGTCCTGGGCCTTGCCCTTGCCCTTCTCGATAGTGGCTTCGCCGCCGGCCATCTTGGTGTCGGTGTTTTGGGTGACGCCTTGTCCGCTCATTTTGCCGGTGTTGTGTGCTTGTGGTCTGGTTTGGAAAGTGTCGGTGATCGAGGGGCAGCAACAAAAGTAAAGTATGCGGGGAGCAATTCGGTGTTTGTTTGGGAGATGGAGGGGAGTTTGAAGAGGCTCGCTAGAATGGTCGTGTAGACAGCGCGCTTCCGAACAATCACCACGGCAATGGCGGGCGCTAGCGAGTGATGTGCCAAAATTTCACTAACCGGCAACCCGATGCTGAGTACCTACGTCCGATTGCTTGAAAACTGCAAACCTATCGCCCAGCTCAACAAGCTTTGTTTTCTCGGCGTAATGTCATCCCCGCCAAACAAAGTAGAGCACGGGCGGATGATCAGAACGGGTGGAGCTTGAAGGCATCCATGTGGCCTGAGCACGCTCACCAGCTGTCGTATAGTCACGCTCGTGAAAGCTGCAAACGAGCAGGCGTGAAACTCAAACCATAGTCACAAGGGGCAGCTGAGAACACTTGCCCTGGTAGGTATAAAAACCACGCAGCTGAATCATAAGTTAGCAGCGCGAACACTGCGATTCTTCAACCTCATACCAAGAAACACAACTGTTGCAGCAAAGACCATTCGATCGTTCAAGATGTCCCAGCCCAACAAGCAAGACAAGCCCAGCCGTTCGGACAACAATGACGATGAGATGAAGGGGATGAGCAAATACCAAATTGTCAAGGAAGGTTGGGGAAACAGACCGAACTTCCAGGCTTCCTACGGTCTGAAGAGTAAGCAGTCCGAGATATCATTTATGATGTTCGTTGCTAAGAAACAACCCCCCTAGTGACACCAGAAGATATTGAGGAAGGCAACCGCATCCTCGAAACTTTCCAGGAGCTAGATGACGCGAAGACCAATTCGGAGCAGAACCAGCAGGGCAAGACTGGGAAGAATGCTTGATTCTACATCAGCGGTTTTTCTGTTCGCTGGAGGCCTTACTTAGACAATGCCTCAGGTTCAATCCAGACGGGCAAAGCGACAAATTGATGCTCTTGAATTGAAATGTGTATTAGTTTTGTAGTCAATTCTGATATGAAATGCATGCTAGTTAACGTCCGTCACCGTGAAGCAAGATGTTGATACTTGTATAAAGTAGGAAAATACCCAGTTAAGGTGTGTAAATTAGTCTGTGTGTCCTCTAAGAGCTTTTTACCTATACCCAGGACTCGGGTTGGGAACTAGGCAAGGAGTACTCTGCAGAGACTGCTTATACCGTCCCCTGTCTCGTTATACGGCGGTCCCCAGCGGCATCCCACCGGGACTTGCCGTCCAATGACATGACCTTATTTCTAAGATAAATTAAGATAAGAGATTTACGACTCATTTGTATTCTACGTAGGAGTTCAATCTACACATAGGAGCAGATCAATTCACGAAATAATGTTTTCGCGATCTAAATAATAGTCAATGGCATTTTTATATAGTGGCAATGAGCTTTGGACTCGAAGTGACTTGAAACACAAAAAAAAAAGAAGAGCATTGTTGGCTAGTTGCCACATTGATTGAGCCTCTAGCTGCACTTGATTGTAAAAAGCACGTAGTACTTCAATTGTATGGGCCAATTAAAGCTACAATGTTAAACCAGAGCGAGCGAAATAACAGGAGCTGTTCGATTACATCATGGAGTTTTAGCTCATGGTTAAGGGCGTCGGCAGTGGAGGTCAATGGTCGCGCGGCTTCGGAGGTCTTGCGTGCACCCCGAGCATCCTGGCGCGAATCAACCTCGCCGCCAGCCGAAAAAAAGTATATCGCGACAACCTCCGATATTGACAATCTTTTTCCATCCGCATTTTCTCTCTTTCCTTTGCAGCACGATACCCCTCCGCGCTCCCACGGTTCATTCCATCTCTTGCGACAATGTCTCCGCCTTCGCCCAAGGATGCCGCCAACACGGCTGGCAACGTCCTCTCCGGTTCCTCGAAGGAATTCAAGAAGGAATCCACTTCGGCCAGACTGTTGGGAGCAGGTATGTTTACCATCTTCTTCTGAGGCTGAGTTAAACTGACATCTGCAGGAACTGCTGGTATTGCTGAGCTGACCGTCTTCCACCCTGTGAGTTAAAGCTCATTCCCACTTGCGCGCGCGGCGCTGACGCGATATACCAGGTCGACACCACGGCAAAGCGGTTGATGAGCAATCATGGCAAGGTCCGTATCGCTCCAATTACGCGATCGAGCGTAGAAGATTGACACTGGACACAGATCACGTCTGCTTCGCAGCTCAATTCGGTTGTCTTCAGGGAAAAGGCCTCTGCCGGTGTCGGCGCCCGTTTCTTCTCGCTGTTCCCTGGTCTCGGATACGCGGCCGCTTACAAGGTCCGTTGGCATGGGGAATATACATATACATTGAATCGCAGGACTGATATCTGTCTAGGTCCTGCAACGTGTGTACAAGTACGGTGGTCAGCCGTTCGTTCGCGACTACCTGGCGAAGAACCACGGCGACTCGTTCGACCGCACTTTCGGCAAGGGTACCGGCAAGGCTATCATGCATGCTACCGCCGGCAGGTGAGTATTGCGTCTTCAGGTTTGGTACGAGCAGAGGCTGACAGCGATTAGCTTGATCGGTATTGGTGAGATTGTCATCCTCCCGCTCGATGTCCTCAAGATCAAGCGTCAGACCAACCCCGAGGCTTTCCGTGGTCGTGGTGTTCTGCGCATCGTCAAGGACGAGGGCTTCGGTCTCTACCGCGGCTGGGGCTGGACTGCTGCCCGCAACGCGCCCGGTTCCTTCGCTGTAAGTCTTGGCTGTCACTGGTGAAGCTGTTTATCTGTAACTAACTGTGTCACAGCTCTTCGGTGGTTCTGCTTTCGCCAAGGAATACATCTACAAGTTGACCGACTACAACAAGGCCACCTGGGGTCAGAACTTTGTCGCTTCCATCGCCGGTGCTAGCGCTTCGCTCATTGTTTCCGCTCCTCTCGACGTCATCAAGACCCGTATCCAGAACCGCAACTTCGACAACCCCGAGACGGGCTTCCGGATCGTTTCCAACATGGTCAAGAACGAGGGCATGACCAGCTTCTTCAAGGGTCTTACGCCGAAGCTTCTGATGACGGGCCCCAAGCTGGTCTTCTCGTTCTGGCTTGCGCAGACGCTCATCCCGATATTCAACAACGTTCTCTAAGTCACGGTTTGTACGAAGGGAGCAAAAAAACGTGTATGGTGTTATGGGATATGTAAATGTGGGCGCTTTTCCGTTTAGCATGGCAGCTTAGACCATGGCGGACATGAGCATTTGGAAACGACTTTCTCTGTAATTTAGTACGTAGCGGCATAGAGCAAAAGACTACTCATCTCTCTGTTGCATGCCCTGGGCACCTATGGAGCGAGGCTTGGCACGATGACCTCACGCAGCCGCGCAATCACGCCCCTAAGACGCAAGCGAGGCGAGGGCCTCGGCCTTGGATGCGCCTCTTGCGTGCGTGTTTGGTTAAGACACTGTTGCCGTCCCGGTGCCCTCAGTTGTGAAACACAGACCGCATGTTGCGTTCAGCGACGACTTAGGGAGGGATCACGTGCCGACATTGTACCGGGGGGCTCAACCTAACGCTGTAAAGGCGCCCTGGAGCGACATCCAGCGTTCACACGCCCGCCCTTGAACCCGCTGCTTCACTTTTGACCGCCCACTCCACTCTCTCTCCTTTAACCCCGCCGGCTGCTCCGCACTTATACACTTTCGCAACCACCACACAAACCCACAAACAACCTGCCGGCAAGATGAACCCTGAGTAGTACGTAACCCCATGGTATCTCCGCCGCTGTGCGCGCCTTTGTCGCCGCAGACTGCGTGCCTCGAGCTATATCGCCGGAAGCAACCGATAGCTAACCCTTCCGCCTGTAGAGTCTTGAGTCGCCGTTCCCTCCGATGCTGATACTACCGACCCGCCTCCAGATCTCACCTCACCGTACTCGGCCAAAGCTAACTGCGCCTTGCGACTAGATACGACTACCTCTTCAAGCTTCTGCTCATCGGTGATTCCGGTGTCGGAAAGTCTTGTTTGCTTCTTCGTTTCGCCGACGACACCTATACCGAGAGCTACATCTCGACCATCGGTGTCGATTTCGTACGTCCACGCGCACTTCCCCCCCCCCCCCCATCTGCGACGGCGCTGACAACCCCATAGAAGATCCGCACCATCGAGCTGGATGGTAAGACCGTTAAGCTCCAGATCGTACGTCATGTTCGAAACCCCCGCTAGATTACGCTAGGCTGACTGGAGGACACAGTGGGACACTGCGGGTCAGGAGCGCTTCCGTACGATCACCTCTTCCTACTACCGTGGCGCTCACGGCATTTGCGTCGTCTACGATGTCACCGACATGGACTCGTTCAACAACGTCAAGCAGTGGCTGCAGGAGATTGACCGTTACGCCACCGAGGGTGTGAACAAGTTGCTCGTCGGTAACAAGTCCGATATGGCGGACAAGAAGGTCGTTGAGTACACGGTCGCCAAGGTAAGTTTCATGGGGAACGTTTTGGATTGCTGAGCTGGATATTCACGGATCATACAGGAGTTCGCCGACAGCCTCGGCATCCCCTTCCTTGAGACTTCGGCCAAGAACGCCTCCAACGTCGAGCAGGCTTTCTTGACGATGGCCCGCCAGATCAAGGAGCGCATGGGCACGACCACGGTCAACAACAAGCCCACGGTTCCCATCGGCCAGGGCCAGGGTGTGCAGTCGGGCTCCGCTGGCGGCTGCTGTTAGAGGATTTGTCGACGAGGTCATTACGATTTGCGGAGCCGGTCGTGCATTTGATGACTGGCCTCGCAGCCCACATACAGCTGCTCATCATGTTTCGACAGCGTCTTTTTGCATGGTAGATGGCGGGCAGTCCTTTGGATGCGCACTGGGGTTCAGGGTCACCGATAATATGGCAATGCGCACACCCTCTGCGGTTTGAGAGGCGGACAGTCAGATTGCGAAGGAGGGCAGCCATGGTGAATACGGGTCACGGCGATCATGGTGTGCGAGTTGTCTATTCCCTTTTCAACGATTTTCCTGCGGTTTTATGGCAGTCGTGCGGGTTTCTTGCTTGTTAATGCAATACTCACTTCGTATCTCCCGTGCCCTTTGTTTCGTGCGGGCGCTGCGCCACAGCGGTACCTCGGCTGGCGTCCCCAAGTTTGAAGGAAGGAGGAGGACCTAGTCGGAGCCGGAGGAGCTAAGCCGCGTGATGACTGCAGGTGATGGCAACGCGTGAGATCGATCGAGAGGAGTGATGTGTGCAGCGTGCTGCGCCGTCAGCACAAGGGCAAGGACGCACAGCCACCGCGGCGCATTCGGGCTGCAATGGATTGGACCCTTCGGTAGTTGCATCATTGTTCCCAGCAAGATAAATGAGGCCCTCCGCTCACGCTCGACGGACATCCCTGCTGCCACTTCATCCGCTACGACACCTGGCGCCGCATTCTTCTATCTAGCTTGCTTCTTTGGTTTTCCCTTTCCCTTGTCACAAGCGCGCGACTCCAACCCTGCAGTCATGGCGGGCTCACCACCGCTGTCTCCAGATGCGGGCCCAACCGACCCTCATATTCCCAAGCTCCCCTCCGGGTGGATAGCACAGTGGGATAGCTCGTCAGTCGCCCGTCCATTCGCTCCAACCCCGCTTTGTCTCGGCCGCTTTGCTCGCCCGCGATCTCGCGCTGCCTCTCTCTACCCCGCTGACCATCCAATTTACCCAGTTCGCGCAAGTACTACTACGTCCAGATCAGCACCGGCGTGTCGCAATGGGATATGCCGACGAGCGAAGCCCCCGCGGGGCCGACGAAGCGGAACGAGTCGCAGATGCTGGGGCCCGAGTCGAGAGGTGAAGCCGTGCCGCAGAACGTCGAGGCCAACATGGCATATGCGCAGGACGGGAAGGCCGATGAGTACAGCAGCGACAGGGGCCTTGGTGTAAGCACCTGATGTCTACACGGGCCGGTGGCCATGGAAGAGTGCGAGGATTGCTGCTAACCAACGGCGTCCAGAGCACGGCTCTGCACTTGCTGGCAGGTCAGCAACAAGGGAAGCAGTCGTCGGGTCTCGGTGGGCTTGCATCCTCCTTCTTGGGAGGCGGCCATGGTAGTAGTTCACAGGGCCAGTCGAGCGGACACGGCGGCAGCGCGGGCCTCGTAGGACAGCTCGCCAGCGGATTGCTGGGCGGAAACAAGCCCCACGGTCAGCAATCGCAGCAGGCGCAGCAGAGCTCGCACCAGTCGAGTGGACTCGGCAGCATGCTAGGTGGTATACTGGGTGGAAGCCATGGCTCAGTATGTTCTAAGGCTTGCCGTTTGCCACAATCACATTGCTAACGAAACTCAAGCACGGTCAGCAGAACCACGGGCAGCAGAACCACGGGCAGCAAAACTACGGCTACTCTTCTAGCAATTCGTCAGGAGGAGCCTACACTGGCAGCGCGCCGCCGGCGGCATATCAGCCAACGGGCCAACACGGCTCAGCATCCACGACTTCGTTAGGCCAACAATACGCCGGTCAGCCAACATACAGCTCTTACTCCAGCCCCAGCCAGCAACACGGTCAGTTTTCTGCACCCCAGCACTCGTCGTCTTTCGGGCAACCGCAGCAGCACGGCTCCCCCTACGGAGGACCGCAGCACACGCCCTCGTTCGGCCAACAGGGGCAAGCCGACTTCCCACCCCCGCCAACCCAGCACCAGGGGGGCTACGGCTCCGTTGCGCAACACCACGGCGGCGCACCCCACGAGCAGTCCGGATACTTCAACCAAGGCCAGGGCCAAGCCCACGGCTACGGCCAAAGCAACTATGCCGGCGCGAACACTTTCCCACCGCCGCCACCTTCGGCCCAGGCACCCGGAGGTTACACCCCCTCGCCCATAAGCCCTCACGGAGCTCATGGAGCCCCCGTTCCGCAGGAATTGTATGGCGACGCGCCGTCGTACAATGCATACGACGCCCAAGGCCACGCGCCCACCAGTGGATACCAAGCGTACGGACAGCATCAGCCCGGCCTTGGCTCGGGCCATGGCCAGGGCCATAACCAGGGCCATAATCAGGGCCAAGGTCAGGTTCAGGGCCAGCACGGTGCACCCCATTATACCGGTGCTGCTGCCCCTCCCCAGCCGGGTTGGTAGTGGAGCGTAGCATCAAGGCGTGCGTGTACGGACAATAGGGTTAGGAAGTGGAGGGCTGTACGATCAAGCGTAGCTAAATTGGCTTATGAAAGTCATGAACATAAACATAGTGGCAGGATTAGAAGTGGGGGTTCTCAGCACCTCAAAGGTGGAGTGGCTTTTTCTCAGTTTTGCCATGATCTTGTCCTTGGGACTTTTTTCGGCACGAAAATTATCTGGTCGAAGGAACTATTTTTTCCTTGATTCCCACCAGAGGGATAGAAAGGTGGTGCCGTCGGCCCGTCGCTCACGCGGCCTATAATCAATCATCGTCCTCCATGAGTTCCGCCAGCTCCCGCTCCTCGTCCTCCGTCATCAAGCTCTCCTTCTTGCCCTCCTTCTCCTCAGGGGCGTCGGCTCCCTCGCGCGCCCGCTCCGCCTCCTCCTTGGCGCGCTTCAGATCCGGGCCCTTGAGGCTCCAGCGCCTCACGGTAGCATCAATGCTCACGCTAACGAGCAGCTGCTGCGGCTCCAGCAGCACCAAGCCCGTGACCTCCTCGAAGTGGCCGGAGAAGGTGTGGAAGAGCTTGCCCTCGGCCTTGTCCCACACGCGGACCTCCTCGTCGCGGCAAGCCGTGGCGACCCAGCCGCCGGCCTCGTCGACGGCGACGGCGCGCACAAAGTCCGGGTGCGCGAGGCTCGTGTCGGCGGCCCAGGCGCGCGTCCGCGACAGGCACTTTGCGCTGCGGTCGGCCGAGGCGGTCCACAGGTCGTCGGCGGCGTCGAAGGCCAGCGCGTCGACGGACGTCTCGTGCGCCGTGAGGGGCTTGACCTCCGCCTCTGCTCCCTCCCTTTCACCTTCTCCCCCCGCGCTGCCGACACCGACTTGCTTCCCCCCGGAGCGGGTGAGGCGCCACGCGCGGATCTCGCGGTCGCTGCCCGCGCTCACCAGTGAGACGGCGGGGTCCGCGCGGCTGAGGCGCGTGCTATGGCTGGCGGGGTCGATGGCAAGCGCGAGCACGGCGCGCGGATGCGCCTTCGGCAGCTTGTAGAGCAGGGCCGCGTCGCGGACGTCCCAGACGCAGAGGGCGCCGTCGGCGCCGCCCGAGACGAGCACGTCGCGCCCGCCGAGCGAGAAGACGAGGACTGTCTTTACGAAGTCGCTGTGCCCACCCACGCTCAGCTGCTTGCGGTCTTGTTGCGGCGCGTCCAGCGACCACGACCAGATCGTCTTGTCCCAGCAGCCCGCGAGCACGCGCCGCTCTTTCAGCGAGACGGCGACCGAGGTGACGGGCGCGGTGGGGCCGGTGAAGCTTGCGAAGATTTCACTCGTCTGCAGTTGGGCGTGTCCCTTGTCAGCTACTGCGCTGTTCTACTCTCCGAGTGAGTGTGCAGGGGTAATGGTAGTTGTGGTTGTAGCGGTGCGGAAGGTCGTGGAGCGGGCTCGTACAGACTTCAAGCGCGACTCTCCGCACGTTGCCCGCCGACTCGGCTACGTACACGCGGCCGTCATCCTCCGGGTCGGCAACGACGGCCAGGAGCTTCGAGGAGAGCTTGATGGGGTTGCCCGCGGCGTTCTTGGCCTTCTCCGCTTTGCGCGCCGACTCGGAGAGAGCGGACCTGGAGGGTTGGGTTGACGGGTCAGTATTTTGTGTTTCCCATTGTGACGGGAACGAGTGATTTTGGAGCTACGCACGAGGTCTGGAAGAAATGGCCTGGGTCTACGGATCGTGACATGGTTTGCGCGGCTTGGTCGATGATGTCTGGCGGAGGTTGCGGCGAAGGCGGAGCGGATGACTGCCCCTCGGTGGGGTCGCGTCTGAGCGCGGGAACGTGGTCACGGGACTATTCGTGTGTGTTTAATGTCCAAAAACTTCCTTATCTCGAATAGCAGCTGCTAGTTACTACGGTCCGAGGGGGAGATATTATTACTCATATCCCCACGGTAAGTAATGCCCTGTAGAACTGAAAGCATATCAAGTCGCTCCAAACTTAAATATCATCATACTTATAAAAGCATATAGGTGGTATCTTCAAATAGTTCTCCATTAACCATTCTGTATATGGATCTAGAGGCCGCACGCGTGGTCGGTGATTTTGTTTACGAGGTGCAGCAGTACCTTCCGAAAACCTAGAGGCCCCGCTCGTGGTTAGATGTCTTTCTCACGAGGGGCATGTAAACTGTGACGATATCGAAAGCATTCGTATGCCTTAAAATGTTCTGTAAATCATAGGAAAAGGTAAAAACACCTTGAAAACGCCCCTTTAATCCCGGGGGTATCCTGCTAATAACCAGTCCATCCATTCCCATCCGATCCGCCCCCATCCAGCAAAACCAATGTTGAGCAGTGCATATTCATACTGTTTACCAGGCATACCCCTCATTGCCGGGAATATCGTCTTCTCCGTTCCAATCCTCATCGCCGCTAACCTCGGAATCAAGGAAATCGTTCTCGTTGAACTGCTCCTCTCTCGGGCGTAGGTTGTCGATACGGATGTCGACGACCTCACACATGCCTTGGATGTGTTTCTCTTTAATGTTTCTCCAATGTTTTTCGTCAACGTTGCCTTCCTCCGAGGTTTCATGCTCATCGCTATTATCATCGGAGGTTGCAGCCCGTCTCCTAGGTCGGAGGTGGCGAGCGGGTCCGGAATCACCATCATCGTCCGTGTTGTGAGCCGCTCTCGCGTCCTTTGGCGTGATTTGAACGTGGCTGAGTCTCTTCGCCGATTTTGGTCGATCGCCCGATTCTGGCGTAATTGGCAAGAAAGAATCTTTCCACATCCTAAAGCGCTTGCCCGACATAAGGTTTGGGTCTGGAGATGTAGACTTTCTAAGGAAAACCCTTTGCAGTCTGCCAATCCATTGATCCCTGAAACCAGCACGGTCTCGCCATCCAATGTTGAGGATTGCTTTGAGCACTAATCTGCGCAAGTCAGGGAGCTCATCTGCTGAGTCCAGCAGAGAAGCAAAGAACGACTCAGCTGCACCTGATGTCCACTTCCTGAGCTGTACCATTTCAAGTGTTTGCAACGTCGTAGGCCAACGAGGGGTCTCCTCTTCTTTCAACAGATCCACATACTTCGGATCTGAATCGCGAAAAGACGCGTGGGAGTCGTAGTAGTTGAGATCCATCCTGAGCACCTCAAGCCGAGGGCAAGCTCTTCTTAGGTCGGGGAGGAAAGAAATATCCAGACTTTGGTTATGATTAAGAACCAGTTCTTTCATATGACTTCCATGGCTAACCAGAAACGACTGAAGGATTTCTGACGTAACATTGTGACAATTAGTGATCGTGAGGCTCTCGAGACCTTCTTTGAGTAATGGAAGAAACTCGGCATCGAGGATCTGGCAGGATTCAAAGCTCAAACTCTTGAGACGCGAAAGAAGGACAAGATTGTCGGCGAGTATTTGCCGGCTAGTGCGCTCGCCTTCAACAAGCGTCTCTGGCTTCGGCGAGTAGTTCAGTAGACTGACATGTTCAAGACGTTGGAAAGCGTCCAACTGGTGGATACTGCCCATCCAAAGGTGAGTTTGGTCCGCAGAACAGAGATTGGAATTCCAGGTCCATGCTTTCAAGCGAATGCTGCTTTCTTGTAAAGCTGCAAATAAAGACTGGCTGTAATGCCACCTTCCAGACCTACTATATGGGCGAAACGGAGGCCGGTCTTGCGGGTGGACAATGGACAACTCTGTGAGTTGTGGTACGTGTGGTATTAAATCTGCCAGCTCGAACTGACCTTTGCCGGGATAAGTATAAGCAAGGGTCCTGATCACATCGAACTCCAATCGTCGAATCTTAACGTTATAGTTGATAACCCGAGCACTGGCTGTATCTGCGAGGAGCTCCGTAAGTTTATGGGGTTTGTCGATGGAAACCAATGGCGGCGAACGGTATAGTGCCGTCAATGCCGGTTCAACAAAAGTTTTGCATATCCGCGCAGCTTGGAGAAGCCATGCAATGGTCGACGTGGCATTGAAGTCGTCATCGTGCAGGGGGTAGCAAGCGTAGGTGAAGATTTGCAGCAAAACCTCATATGGCAGGCTTGCCCAAGGCGGTATCACGCCATCGCTTTCCAAAGGTATAGGGGCTTTTGCCTGTGGAGACTTGCCTTCAATGTCTGGTCGGTAAAATGTCAGCTATGCACGTTGCAAGACAGCAAAGTTGCCTACGCTTCGCCCTTCTCGCTCGAGGGTGTCCGATCCGTTTTGCTGTGGATCTTGTGATTCTTCGAGGAAGACGGGTACGTTTACCCCTGCGTTTTGCAGCCCGATCCTCTTCGGAGGTTTGCGCATCACTGTGGTCCTCAGAGCTGACCTCTTCAATGGTGGGCGCTGGCTCACGCCGCAGCCGTGCCGCCGTTTGCGAGCTTTGCATCCGGGATGCCGTAGCTCGCCTGGGCCTTAGCGGTCGCGATCCTTCTTGCACGGATTCACCGTTGTCGTCGCCATCGTCCCGAAGTTCTAGCAGTGTGTCCGAGCTAGGCAGTTGGTATGATGTGGGGGGAAGGCGCCGGAGTTTGGTTGCGACTTCGGGACTGGCGGACAGCAAGCCATGGCTGCCCCTACGGCGTGGCGAAGGTGGCGGACCGTCGCTTTCCGTGTCTTCTGCAGGATCCTCGTCGGAGCTGGGTTCTTTGTAGGAAGTGGCCTTGTGCGGGCGCGCCGTGCTCCTTCGAGGTTGGGGAAGCGAATCCTGTGGGGGGTTGAGGCGTTTCCGCTTGCGCGCACTGCTGGCGGGTGTTGGGCGAACGGGGGAGAGGGCTAAGACATCCTCATCGTCGTCGTCGTCAGAGCTGGGTTCGCGATAGGAAATGCGCCTCCGGATGCGACTGGCGCGGGAGGCGGCGGTAGCCATGGCTGATGGATCCGAGAGTTGCACAAGGCAAGCGGGCCAGTCACAGCAGCAGGGAGGGGGCCCAATGGAGGGTGGAGCGGTGCGAGGCTGGCAACGGGAAGAGGACGGAGAAGGTGGAAGGGGAGTGGTGAGCGCGGCGGTCATGACGACGGCGAGCCCTATCGATTAAGTGTTTGACCGAGAAAAGACCGGCTGGGGGAAGGAAGCAAGAGAGGCCCTCCCAGACAAGCAGCAGCAGCCATTGTAAACGACTTCCTCAGCCTGCAGGGCATAGGTAGAGAGAGAGAGAGCGCGTTTGCTGCTGCGTCGAGCCGCAGTCACCTTGCGCCTCCCGCCCGTGCCTCCAGTGTCACCTACAACAAAGACGGGCAAAACATCGCGTTTGCTCTCCCTCTCTCCCTCTCTCTCTCTCTCTTTCCTCCGCGAAGCCTACGCGCACCTACCACTACTTCCGCGCCTTGCCGAGGACCGCCCATTCTTCCTCCTCTGCTTCGTAGTTGTTGGGGTATGCGGGCGCATTAACAGTCCTCACCGCCCTCCATTCCTCACCCACTATTCCTTCTAGCTTGCTTCTTCACGCGTCATGCGTCTAGTCAGCTTAAAGTCACAAGCTCTCTTGTCACCTTGTTTCTCATTAGGCCGCGTGGGAGCGGTCGTGCTTTGTCGCGCTGAGCACACATCGGGAGCATGGTGAACGCAGCCGAGTCCAAGAAATATATCGGCAACGCGGCCTTGTACCTGGACCTTGAAAGGTCCAGAAACCGGACTTTTCTTAGACGAAACGTCACCCAAGTGCTCGAGAGCCACAAAAGAGCGCTAGATGCCCCAGAGACCGACGCCCTGGACAGCAGCATGTGGAATGACTATGGCAACAATCACGCATGGGAATTTCCAACCAGAGAGGCCTTGGATCTTCTGGCTCGGCGTAGCCAACCCTTGCTGAAAATAGACATCAAATCCCTTCTGCCCACCAAACCGGACCAAGCCAATCAAGACCATCCGGAACTGGCTTCCAATCTGTTCACAGCCGAATGCCGGATCGACTTCAAAATCTGGACGATCGGAGAAGAAAGAAACGTCAAGGACGTCCTGGTTGTCGATTCACGTCGCGCGACGTTGCAAGCCCGGCGGACTGAACAGGGACACAAGGTTTTTTTCGATGTCTCGATGGAAGAGCCACTCGTTATCAAGTTGGAAAAACTGCTCGTCAACGTTCCCAGAGGCCCTAATGAGTCTGGGTTCAAGAAAACTGTAGCCTCCTCATATACGCTGGCATTCGTGTTCTCTTTTCCAACCCCAGAAGACGCAGCGGTGGTTGTTCCCATCCTGAACGGCCAGGGACATGAGCTTCCCAAAAACCTGGCCCTACTTCAAGTACGCACAAAAGGGCGATGGTTGCCAAAATGCCCTCCCGGTCCCTTCCGCTTAAGTCGAATAACGAATAAAGAAGTCAAGGAGCTGGATTACTCGGTTAATGCAGAGATTGGTTGGCAAACCAGCACAGAGACGCGATTACAAACATATAACCGCGTACTGCGCAGTGCAAGAGCGACCAGGGAGCCGCAAATAACGCCGTCTGCCTCGACAGTTCGGCAGTCTGGCAATAAGAAAGTCCAACTCACATATCTCTTCAAGGGTCCACTTAGAGCAAAATCACTCTCGCTAGAAGGGTGCCTATGCATTTTCTGTCACAGACGAGATTTCCATACGTTAGAGAGGCTCAATCACCACATAAAAGCTGAGCACGATATGCTGAGATGCAAGTTCGAAAACGAAGGAAATACTCGCCGCGATGGTAATATCGTAAATGTCAGCATTGAAGTCAGTATTTCCGACCGCTATAGCGATGCACGAGCCAGTAACAACGTCGCCGATGCACGCGACATCGACTGGATTGCCCCTAAAAAACCATTCAACATGGCTCGTTATCTTGCGGGAGACGAATCCTGGGTAGCGGAGGGGCAGGGAAGCAAACGAAAATCGCATGCTTCAAGGACCCCGGCCGTAGCAGCGGCTCTAAATAGGGTGCAGCCAAAGAGGCCATCAGAAGTCTTAGATCTGCCAGAGCCTAAGCGCAAAAAGTACAAGGTACCAAAAGCCAACGGGAGAGTGCGCTTTTTCAGGACCGACTCCAAGCGCATGTTGGAAGAAGGCGAATATCTCAGTGAGAGCGACGACGACACTAATGAGGCCTGGCTCAAACTACGATGTAACCAAGCCACACAGCAAGTCGACGCGAACGTGTCGCAGAAAACCTTCATGATGACATGGGGCGATCATATGCTGGATGAGCAGCTCTCGGGCGACATACACCTTGGAGATGCCGTAGTACGGTTTGTGCGCAAACATCTTCCCACTCTCCAACGGCCAGACCAAAGTCGAGAGTTTACAAAGAAGATGGAGGAATTGCGCGAAGACGGGATCATCTCACAAGAAGTTTTTGACGCTTGCAAAGATGCCCTTGTGCACGGGTTGAAGCCTATTGCGCTAGATCCCGAGTTAGCCCCCAGGTCGAACCATGTCTGCACAGCTCTCAGAGAGAGTAGCACCAGGGCGAACCTAATGTCATCTTCAAGGACACACAAAGCCCAGAGTGGATCACACGTTGGCGTTGGTGTGAATGAGAATGGGGAGAAGAGTGCCTCCGGACGAAGGTCACACTCGCTAGCTACAGATGAAGTACTAGGCGAAGAGACGACGGCACAAGACAGAGATGGTGACATTGAGATGATGGATGAGCCAAGACACGAAAGGAGTATCACCAAGCCACCTCTGTGGGAGGAGGCGGCTGAGGAGCCTGCGGTAGCCATACAGACTGGATGCACATGTGGAAAGGTCGTTGAGGACAATCGCACAGCCATCTGCTGCACTAGCCTGGTAAGTTTCCTTAGAGATGGCAATATCCACTTTTGCTGACTGGTTCTATCAACAGGATTGTCGGCGCCAGGAATTCCACCTGAAGTGCATACAACTTGATCGAAGGGTGCCTGGTTGGAAATGCCCCGATTGCCGATAAGGATGGATTTTGGGCTTGACTTGATCAAATACTAATAGTAGCATGACAATCTTCTTAAATTCTTGCTCTTTCCCCGAATTAGTTACCCGCCCTGGACTAGGCAGCCGGAACAAAGAGGTCGACTACTAGTTACGCAGGGCACTGAGCAGCATAGATAGGGCGTTTAGGTGTAACTACTCGGTAGTGCTGGTGGGGCTGCAGTCGGACCAGCAGCATTTCTACCAAGGAATTTGTGTATCTCGGAAGTACAAGCCGTGCCAGAGTAGCTAGTAACATGCAGGTGAGCAGAGTACATAGTTAAATACTCTAGTGGTGGGGGTGGCGGATTGATTGGCTGGAGGCTAGCGACGTAGATTTGGCGTCACATGCATGTCGGCAGCAGTCCTTTCATTTTTGGTTTTGTTGTTGTTTCGGGCCTCTGGGTGTTGGTATGTCGGTATGCCGGTAGAGTATCGAATAGATGGTGGTGAAGGGCATTGCCGCATGCGGCATTCCCCAGCCACGCTTTGGGCAGGAGGCGGGCGGAGGCTTGACCCGAAGCAGCAGGGGGACCCGGGCGTGCGCCGTCGTGGCCTCAGGCAGCGCTAAGAATGCTAAGGATAGAAGGGTGCCAGAGGAGCGGATGACACGGGACGTCACGGGGAGACCCTGGGGCGGGCGAGCCACTCACCGCATCGCTGACCGGCCGGGGATGTGGACAGGAGGGGCAGCACCATCGCCACCGTCCGTACGGCAACTGCGGGGCGGGAGGGGCACGGGGAGGCTGGCGGGCTGCGCGCATGCAATATAGCGTGCGTGGGACAATATGTGATGGGAGGCTAAACCGCCAGTGGGTGTTTGTGTTGCGCTACCTAGCTCGTAGCTTCTTTCCACTGCTGCTGCCAAGGGCAATCGCGTCCACCTTTCCTGCCTACCTCTTTTGTCACGTCATCCCTAGTCTGTGCCTGCGCCTACATAAACTCGCCCTTTCCTCCTCAATTCCTTCCTCTCCACCCAAGTCCCGCCTTCTCCACCTGCCCGAACCCCCACTATATCCCGACACCATGAAGCTCCTCTCCCTCCTCGCCCTTCTCCCTTCCGCTCTGGCCGTGGCCATTCCCCAGGCAACCACGGCCACCGGTGCTGCCGCAACGCCCTCTCCTTCCCTGGTGCCTACCGGCCCGGAGTACCACCTCAAGTCGAAGCTGGTCAATGACAACGAGACCGTCTCCAAGGCCAAGTTTGACGGCCTCTACCTCGTTGCGACGCACACGGGCGCCGGCCTCAACGACGCTGTCTTCAGCTCGCAGAAGCAGTATGCCATCAAGGGTTTCCAGAACATCACTGAGAGCACCGGCGAGAGCTACCAGGAATTTGACCTTGGCAACTAGTATGTGCCTTCCCCGCTTAATTTCTTTCAAACATCTTTCTGCACCTGCTCGGCCGAGGCATGCTCGGTAGAGCCTTTTACCGCTCTTCACCCTTGCATGCATGCAACCGTATCGCTAACGATTAGCAGTTGGCCCTACGGCCTGAACCTTGGTTACGCCGCCTACGCTGCCTGGTCCCCGGTCACGATTGACGCGGGCCAGGGTGACGACGGCTTCATCCTGCAGGCTAATGGCGTTGTTTCAACTACCGGCTCTTTCGGCGGCTGGCTGGGTAAGTTCTGTTTTGAAATCTTTCCTTGTTGCATCACACTGACATTGGCGGTCTGAAGCCTGTGACTGGTGGCACAACGAGCCGCAGCTCTTCTATATCAACAAGTTCTACCCCCTCGACACTCCTTCTAGCTGCGCCCAGATCTACCTCGTCAAGGAGGATCTGTAAGGGTGCATTGCGCATCATGTGCGAAGACGGTTGCGGCTATAGCCGTTTTAATTCCGGCACGAAACCTGTACGATTTATGAACATGGCGACGAAAACGACGCCATCAACGATGCCATCTACCTAATTTCCGTTTAATGTATATTCTATCCTGCTTTCACGCATCTGTTGGCTTCCATTCCGCAGATCAGAACCCGAGCAGATATACTTTCGGGGTCCATGCAGAAAAATGAATAGCAATCCAAAATTTTACCCCCCTTTTACGCATGTCCTCTGTGTTTTCTGTAGACCCGGGCGAACGTGTAAACTACATGTTTGTCTCAGATATGTAGGCGCTAATGCGAACAGTGCGGCATCGCACTAAGGCATGCGCAAAAGCAGCCACGTCTCTGCACGCTGGGGCCGCACCACGCGCGATGCCGCATCCAGCACGGTCGGGGCTGGCGGTGTGGGGTATACTCGAGTATGTAGGTAGGTACTGATACCTTGGTGGCTAAACGGACCTTTTTCTAGGGGGTCAGTTTATTGGGGAAATTTGGAGGGTTGGGTGTTGGAGTTGGCTGAACGTCTAGGCAATCGAAGTTGTGGCTGGTTCAGTGGTTGGCTGGCTGCTGGATGGGATGGCTGACAGGTACCTAAGACGTAAACAAGGACGCGTGGAGTACATACATGCGTGCCATCCGTCGCGGGAAGCGACATGTGTGACAGGGAGACAGACGACATGCATTTGCTATGGGGACGTGTCCGCCTGTAATCCGTATTGCCATGCCATGCACGTTGGACAGGCATACGCGGGCAGGGAGCAGCAGATGTATAAGCGTAGAATGCATCAAGTCACGGATATCATATATGCGCCTTGGCGCGGTGACTATTGCACGCTGTAGATAGAGTATACGACCCACGACCTAGGGACGAGGAAGATTGGTAGGTTGATGCCGTTGGTTGGTTGATTGATGTGATTGATTAATTGATCGTCAGAAGATAAAAAGCTATAAGAAAAAATTAAGCCAAAAAAAAAAAAAAAAAAAAAAAAAAAAAAAAAAAAAAAAAAAAAAAAACCAAACGAGAAGAGAAAAACATAACAAATTTTTGGAAAAGGGGAAATCAGAAAAGGCCGCGCGAACCGCTGGAGTAGAGGTATTATTGTGGCAATGATAATAGAAAAGGGAAAAAAGGAAAAAGGGGGATACGGGAAGTACAAAGGGTAGAAGAGGAGGCGGCGGCGCAGGAGGGAGAGGGGTTGCTAGGTAGGTAGGAGACTGGTTTGTTTGTTTGGTTGGTTGTGATTGAGCCGTTTGAACGCCCCTCCCCCGGAGCAGCCACAGCCGTAAATCAGATCGTTAGGGGCGTGTCGCGATTGGGGATGTTGTTTCTTTTCTTTTCTTCATTTTCTTCGTCTTCTTTACTCTTCGTCGTCGTTCTCTTCCTCGTCCTCGTTGTCATTTTCGTCGTCGTCATCGTCGTCGTGCTGCACGCCGTTGGTCAAGCCATTGAGCTTGTTCTCGTTGTCGTCATCGTCCTTCTGGTCCTTCTTCTCGGAGGAGTCGTCATCATCATCCTCTTCCTCCTCATTGTGGCCATTGACGCCATTGACCTGGGGTTTCTCCTCGGTATCCTTCTTGTCCGCGCCCCTCTGGTCCCCCTCCTTCTGCTCGGCCTCTTTCTCGACCTTGACCGCCTCCTCGGCCTTCTTCTTCTCCTGCTGGATCGTGGACTCGGGGCCCCTGCGCGGGTCAGGGACGGACTGGGCATCGATGTGCCACATCTGGATGCTCTTGATGAGGTCGACGGCGAGCTGGCCGTTCTTGCGCAGGGCCTTGTCCCAGTGCTGGGGGATGCTGTCGGCGAGGGCCATCATGCGGGCGACGCTGTGGACGAGCAGGCGGCGCATCTCCGAGGCCTCGTCCGTGTTGGCGTAGATGTACTGCACGCGGCGCAGGCCCGGGTACGAGTCGGTGCGCGCGTACCAGTCGCGCACCTCGGCCAGCACGTCGCGCTGCAGGCCCGGCACCGCCCACTTCTCGCTCATCAGGTACAACTCGAACAGGATGCCCAGATCCTTTTCCTCCTTGGGCGGCCGCACCGCGCCGCCGTATAGCCAGGCCACGAATGCCGCGAACGCCTCGTCCTCGTCGTCGGGCAGTCCGTATGAGCTCGTCGCTGCTTGCTTCGAGTAGAAGATCTTCTGGAAGAACTTGCTGCGTGAGCAGAGCAGCTTCTCGTGCAGGATCCAGTGCGTGTTCTCCGGTCCGACGTAGATGTCGACCAGCTGGTGCGAGAGAAGCGCGTGAAGCGGCTTCTCGGGCTTGTTCTGTGTGTCGGCCATTGCGGCGGTGTTAGGGTGGCTGTTTTTGTATGTTTAAAAACGCTGCTGATGCTGCTGCCGCTGATGCCGATATGCTCGCGAGCACGAAAGTAAAGGGATTATGAGATGAGAGTGAGGAAAAATGAGAAGAAGACAGACACACGCCGCAGAGAGAGCTTGCAAGTAATGAACGAACGAGGAGCGGTGGCGCAGCCTCAGGTTTTAATGGCAGAAAAGCCGTCGCGGAATGACGACAGTGGTGGTGCACGACATGACGGCGCTGCCCTGTTTTGCCGGGCCCAGGCGTTCCCCATCCCGGCTGCGCTGCACGACGCACCCGGCACGCGACCGCCGGCCCCGGATCGCCACAGCCAGATTGCCAATCCAAGACGTTGCGTGGGTGGGTGGGGTGAGGGTGTGGGGACCTACGGCGGCAGTGGTGGTGGTTGGAGGAGTTAAAAAAGGCGCGCGAAGGAACGCCGCCAACGCGCCTCGCACGCGCTTCCGCTTCGTCTCGACCGTTGGAGGAGTTGTCGGTGTTGGGGTTGCGTCACTTCCAAACGTGCTGCTCGGCGCGGCGCGTGCGCCCGCCCGGCCTGTCTCTCTAACGTCAGCAAGCGTCCTTGTCTGTCCGGGCTTCCCTTGTATGCGACGCCGGTTCTCGAGGCCAGGTTTCTTGAGTCCAAGGTGACACGCTCAATTCCTGAGGTATTTATGATGAGGTGACTTTGGTGAGCACAATCTCTTGCATTGATGCTAGGATCTGATGCTGTGTTTGGAGATAAATGAAGAAGCCGATATCAGATAGCCGAGTCGGCATATTGTTTCGCTGGTAGATGGCCAATGGGAAGGTGGAAAAAAAGAAGAAAGATGTTATGTAAAATAAAATAATATTTAGATGTAGTTTAAACCAAAAAGTCGCTTTGAAGAATATCGAATAAATAAATGGAAAACAGTCGATTGCTATTTGTATTTGATATAATGCACACAAACTCCCAACGACGGATCCAACCCATAGGAAAAGACCAATTCTTGTCTAAAAGCAATTCATCAGCATGTTATAAACTACCCTCAATAAATCCCAAACTACCGCAAACCTTCGTACAGAATTAGTGTTCCATGCAGCACCCAGATCCGACGTTCCTCTCACGTTGGAACGTAGCCCGCAACGCCAAAGCCCGCACGTCCACCCGCACGCAGCAACAGCACCGAAGCGAAAAAAAAAAAAAAAAAAAAAAAAAAAAAAAAAAAAAAAAAAAAAAAAAAAAAAAAAGAACCGCCGCACCACACCCACCCCGTCCGACAAATATCCCTCAGCTCCACATCGGCCCAACCATACCCACATAGTGTCGGCTCGCGAATTCGCTCTCCAACAATCGGTGAGGTGGCCGAGTGGTTATGGCGCTAGTTTCAGGACATCTGAAAAGGGTTCCGAAAGGAGTTTACTAGTGAGGAAACTCTCGTGGGGTATTTCTCCCTTTATCCCCCTCTATTGTACACCTTATACTAATCCGGAAAAAAGTTCGAGTCCCACCCTCATCACTATCTTTTGTTTTGGCCTAGGATAGACTGCTTTTTGGTGTTGTGGTGGTTGGTGTTGACTCGAGGGATCGTGAATCACAACACCAAATGTTTAGTACGCACCTTCGAACCTCACCCTCACCAATGTCTTTTTTGCTTTTATGTTCTACGGAGAAATACAATATGGCGTTCCTTTTCCACCTACAAATAGTCACTGTTGTGTCGTCTCAATCCCGATACCGAAATTCATTGTCTGTCTACTGAAAGTTTTGCACTAAATGCCTTCTGCCATGTCTACAACAGATAGTACGTAGTAGGTAGGGTCCCGTCCTGTAGCTCTGTAGTTCTGCAGTTCCACAGTGACCTATGGGTCGTGTTTCAAATCTCTGTTTATGAGAAGAAACTAATCAGCCAGCAAAACTAACATATTCAAATACTTACAGCTCATGGAATACAAAGTTGGTAGTGAGCATAATCGAGATACTAGGTTGTCCCGTTGTCCTGCAATGTAAGCTTCTCAGACCTACGTGCCCAACTTCACACTACCGCCGAGTGATAATGTGGGTGTGAAGTTGGATCTTTTGTCAGTAGTGTAGCATGAAGTTTGGCATGACATTTTGCAAAATTCCACCGAATGCTGGCACAACAAAGAGTTTAAAGACTTTAAGATAACCATGCGACGCGAGAATTCATTGGTAAAGAGCGGAACGCCGTAAGAAACGACTTTATATGTTGAGACCCAAAATCAAAGTGCGAAAAGTAGTGAACGTTCTAACCGCAAAATCCTTGGAAGAAAGAAAGAAAGTTTTTCTAGGAAATTTATTGAGCAGAGCCCAGAAATGAAATCATTAGCGCCCAGTAAGTCCAAGGGCCCTTTCGTACGAGTACTTTAAAAGTGATGCTCGATCGATGTTGGCAACTAGGAGCAGATTCGTTGTCATGTCCTTTTGTTCCTTGGCTTAGTTGTAGCAGAACAACTCATGCTCAGTGCGAAAAGGAACAGTATGACTTGTCCTTTCCTTTCTCATCCAACTATGCTTAGTTGCTCATGCGGTCGGCAAAGCGAATCGAATGAGCTCTGAGCGCCGTATCCTCGACACGGTCAGGCGAGTTGCCTTCCTCTGCCATGGATATACCATCAACAGGCCGGTTAAGCTCTGGAGAGGGCGATTTGCCCTTCTTCTGGCTGTCACGGCCCTTCGCGATGCTACCACCAATCTTATAGATCGGCCTCGGGCTGTTGGAGCGCGGTGTCGATACTCCAGAACGACGGTTTCTGAGAATGTTGTCCATTTCATGCCCAGTATGCATGCGGATGCGGAAGGGCGCGGGCTCTTCTTGGTCCTTATCAGCGCTGATACCTCTTGAAATGGTCCGCGGGATGAGGATGCCCAGCTTTCCGACGGGGATACTGAGTCCGTGGACAAACTGGAATTGTTTAGTGGTTCATTTGGAAACGAGGATGTGGGTACCTTACAATGCTACAGATTGCCAGAAACCAGATAACAACCCTCATGACCTCGGCGAGGTGCTCGGCATCGGGGCGGATCTCGCCATCGACTGTGATTCCTTCTAGAAACTCGAGGCTGATGTACAGGTAGAAGATCGCGCTGACGCCAATGGGTCCAAAGAAGCCGACGAATAGTCCTTGGCGAGGCTGCTCTATCTGTGGAATTAACTTATGCATGGCGAACACAATTGGAAGCCGACGTAACAGGAGGACCAAGATTCCCAGGAATACCAGGCGATAGGCTGGGATGACTGGACTAAGACCAAAAGATGGCCAAGGGCAAACTGCACCAAACCAGATGAAGATGCTGACGTTGAGAAGCATATCGATGGTTGGTTGAAGAGAGTCATCGACGGTCTCGAGGCGGAACCAGTCACTATAATGTCTGATCAGAACAGTCAACAACATTTATGCGGAACACGTACTCCCAAGTGAAGACGTTGCCGGCAATAAAGCAGGCTAGAACATCATCGCTTCCTATCATGCCGACTGTGCCGACAATAAAGAGCTGTGAGATGATTGGTAAGTCCATATATCCGCTAATGGCTCTCGGGGGGAACACTTACAGCAAGAGCGATAGAGAAAACCAAAAAGCTCTCCCTATCGACATATCTGTTTCTTTCTGCCCAGTGCAACAGTTCTTTGGCAAACCAGCCTACTACAGCGCCATAGGCAATGCTCAGGAGTATAGTATAGGCCCACGTCTCAGCGAACCAAAGTCCCATAGCTTTGCCGGCACCTCCTGTCTGCCCATCACCTCCGTGACCGACGTACTTGATCAAATACAATGGAAGGAAAAGAAACGGATATCCCAGGCCATCGTTAGCACCAGACTCGGCGATGATCAGTTTTGCCAGTTCTTTTGGGATATTCTTATCGGCAAACTTTCCCTTGACGATCGAGTTGGACAGAACGGGATCCGTTGGTGTGACGCATGCACCGACAGCGAGCGCATAGAGAAAGCTCATGTGCGGTACGAAAGCCCAGACAAGCAGGCTTGTTACGAGCCACATAACTGTCATACCCGGACCAAGCAAAAGCGATAGACTCTTCCATTCCTTTTGCAAGTATTTGGAGGGCAGCTGTACACCCGCCAGAACCAGCTGCACACCCAAGACCAACCGCGTAAAGTACAGATTTATGGTATTGAGTGTGTCTGTTGATCTGATGGCATATTCCTCAGGGCGGATAAAGTTGGCGGCATGGGGTCCGAAGATTATCCCAAAAATGGAGGATATCACTATTATCACTGTCAGGACATGTCTTTGGGTCATTCCTGCCAAGGAACGTACAAGCTTCAGAGAGGTAAAACTTCTCCTTGAAGAGATAGGACACGAGGCCAAACATCGTGATAAATCCACCAAGCGTCGCGCAGACGATGTTGAAGTTGGATGTGTCTAGAGTAGGCATTTTGGCCAAGAGAATTTAATCTTGGCTCCGAATCAAAAGACGGGCGACAAGTCGAGCACCAAGGCTCACTGGGTACAAAATCCTGGCGACACTTGTGTTGCAGAGTAGCGAAAAGAGAGTAGGAAGCCACTGGTGTTATTGAATCATTGGAAACGTTCGGCTGATGATATTTGGGTCTTGCGTGACCGCCACTTTGGCGACTTCTTGATCTCTGAGTACTTGAGGGCGTCGGGTTGACGTTGGAGATAGCGTGAAGAGATACCTCCAATAGGGGAACTTGGGCGAACGTGGGTGGGTGTGGTTGCACTGGAAAAGGACGGTCAAGGGTAGTGACGCTCTTGGCTAGCAGGCTAGTCTTGGCAGTGACACGTGTGACCTTGGCGAGTTGGCGCTTTCCCCATGCCGAGCCGAGATCCGGGCCGAGGCGTGGTTGAATTTATCGTGGCCGGTCTGAAACTATACCTACGAATAGATATCTTTAGGTGTAGCAGGCGTTATGACTCCGTGATGATGTCAAATCAATTTCCACTTTATCGGCTATTTCCTTTCCTACATAGCGTGGATCTATCCTGGTCGATTAATTCGGCTAAATGTTTAAGTGTCTCAGAAACGATACCCAGAAGACAAACACGAACCTATAAATATTTCATGCCTCGGGCATCATAATGAGCACATTGCTTTTGAAGAATATTGCGAACAACACTGTCAGCATGGTCCGATAGACAATATGGTGGTTAGGTAGGTGTATAACGGTATCCATAAGGTTGTTTTCAAGCGGATATGTCTTCCACTAAACTACCAAGTCATCAAATTCTCGAATACTGACCCGTTCATCCCGAAACTTTCCCAACTCATAACTCAAAATCGAGTTGTCTGCATACGTGAGAAGCAACCTCCATCTTCTTGAATAGTCAGCGTGGCGGCCGAGCATACCCTGAATGGGCCCCACAGCGACACCAACCAACGCCGTTTCTGGTCGTTGCCTTGCTTGTTCCTGATGCTTGAAGGGCACGATATGGTCCACGCGACAACCACAAATGTACCACCTCTCAGAAGATGATCTCTCGACAAACTCAGAGTTTCTTGTGCGGGAAGGATTTTCTGGACACTGCGTCAGGCTCATAATCGCCGCGCGGCCTTTGGCGGAGGCTACAATAACAAGTCCTAATTCTGGGATTTGAGCAAAGAGATTGATCCGATCTTGTACGATAGCCTCGTCCAACTCAGAAAACTGATAAGTCTGCTGGAATAGAGGGTCATGGAAGCCTATAGCAGGATTCCGGTTCCCTTCTCGGTCTCGGGACTGTAATAGGAAGACATCCTTCACCGACACTCTCAGAATTGGTGAAGCGGGGATTTGTTGAGAGTAGGCGCTTTCAAGATGAATCTCGTTTGCTAGGTTGAAAGGTTTTCTTTTGATTTGTTGCCCTCTTTCGTTCACGCCTTCTCTGATAGGGCCAGATTCATGCATTTCAGGCACACCGGGATGGTATCCTAGGTCGATCAACTCCTGGTCAGATAGGTGAGTGAGAGAAACGGGATAGGCTTGGTATGGTATGTAGTTAGAACTGGCGTTGCGAACCGAACGTGTTGTCTGGCTGCAATCGTAGAAGGCATAAGACTGCTCAATGTTGTTATTGTAACCTTCATGGTTGTAGTCCAACGCCTCGTCCAAGTTTTCGGTTTTTTTGAAAGCCCGTCGATCAAGCCACATCACTCCCCAAGTAGCATGTAGATAGTATCGATATCCACCGTCCAGGCTATGGCAACCACATTGTCTGCGATCTTCTCGTACTGCTAGTGCACAAAACTTATGGGCATGCTCCTCGACAGGGCCGTGGTCAGCGCCGAGAGCAAGGTCGAATAGTCGAGTAACGCCATTGATATCGCTCGACAAGAGCCATCGACCCGCAGGATCATCTCCAGTGTTGCAGAAAGCTATACTGGGGATGTTTTCTCCGGTGTCCGGCAAAACTATGCGCCTTGCGTGAGTCCTGTGACCCCAGTACGATGCAGAACCTGGCGTTGCATCCTTGGTCAAGGCGTATGCCCAAATGGTCACTCGATGCGTGTTTGCACTCGCTGCAATCATTCTGGCTTCTCGGTGGACTGCTAATCCCCAAGCGCTAACGCCCAGATGCTCTTTGAAGAAAGGTCGAACATCGTCGCCGATGTTGCTCTCTACACAGTCTGGCTCTGATCTTTTCTCAATCGCTTGCTGAACATCGCTCACGCGGTAGCCTACGACGTGGCCATCATGCAAGGCCACGAGCATGATCTCGTCGAGGCCCAGGAACTCGACAATGAGGTGGTTGACTGATCGGCGCGCTGCAGTTGGGACCAGTGGATTATTGGTGTTTCCGTACAAATAGTCGCTGGAACCCAGCGGGTCAAGGATTAGGCTCGGCCTGCTTGATAGGGCCTGGTCAGGAAAAGTGGGCTCGTAGACAAGGATCAAACCGCGAGCTGCGACGAAGTAAAGGTTATGGTTGTGGGAAAGACCGGTCTGGAGGAGCGTTGTTAAGTGTCACTGTCTAGTTCGTGGAGCATGCTGCTTACCAGGTTGCACCGCCAGAACTCAAGGGCTGGGGGAGGGTTGCTCTCACGCTCGGGCCGCGGGAACCTGTCGTTGCCCAACTGCGCGTGAGTTGCCACGACGGAGACTTCTCTGAAGGCCCTGTCTTCCATGGTGGAGTGTCGCGGTTAGTATGATGGTTACCTGCGGGTGCGGTGGCAGGAGAGGTGCAGGTCAGCGAATTACTACCAAGCTACTTATCGATAATCTTGAGTCCAGAGCAAGCTCGGACCCTGAGGTGGGGTGCGCGAACATTACTCGGGAGCGACGTCAACTCCCAAACATCCACTCCATTGCGCCTTTTGCCCCTCACAAGCCACCAGAGGAGCTGCAACCCCGTCTCTTCTCTTCTATGCTCCGCCAGAGTACGCGATTCATTCCGACCATTCATTTCGCCACGCGATCCTCCCACACCTGGACCCGAATTCTACCTTCTACGCCGTCGACTTGCGGCTGCACCGGAAAAGCTACCCCCGTCGGTCGCCCACCTTTTAGACACTTCGCCGCGTCGACAAAGATGGATACAGGAATTCACAGCGCCGGCTCTGCTGGAGGTGAGCTCAGGCTCACCAATCGACTCAGTGAGAGTAGGAGTCCATACGTAAGCCTGCCGTCACCGAGCAAGCTCCGAACGCCGCTGAGAAGCACGAGATTGACCTTTTGATAGGTTCGTGGACACATGAACAACCCTGTCGCATGGCAGATGTGGGGGCCTGAGGCAATTGCTCTGGCAAAGAAGCATAACCGCTTACTCTTTATCAGTATCGGATATGCTGCCTGTCACTGTAAGTGGCCCCTTGATTATGGTGTGACGGTCCTAACAGCTGTGCAGGGTGTCATGTTATGGAGCGCGAGTCCTTTGAGAACCATGAAATAGCCGAAGTCTTGAACTCTTCTTTTATTCCCATCAAGATCGATCGGGAAGAGCGCCCGGATGTCGACCGTATATATATGAACTACGTTCAGGCCACGACAGGCGGCGGAGGCTGGCCGCTCAATGTGTTTATCACCCCTGAACTCGAACCTATATTCGGTGGTACATACTGGCCTGGTCCTGAATCCGCGACTGCCCATGGCGACAACATAGGATTTCTAGGAATTCTCGAAAAGATTAGTGATGTGTGGAAGAATCAACAACAGAGGTGTCTGGACTCCGCAAAGGAGATCACGGCACAGCTCCGTGAGTTCGCGCAAGAAGGGACAGTTAGCCGCCAGCTGGGCGAGGACGGTGAAGGCTTGGAGCTGGAGCTCCTGGAAGAAGCATACGATCACTTTGCTGCCAAGTTTGACAAGACGAGTGCTGGTTTTGGTGGAGCGCCCAAATTTCCGACCCCAGTCAATCTATCCTTCCTCTTGCGCCTCGGCCAATATCCAGACGCAGTCGAGCATGTCGTCGGCGATAAGGAGTGTAACAACGCAAGATATATGGCAGTCGAAACCCTTAGAGCGATGACCCGCGGAGGGATCCATGACCAGATTGGAAACGGCTTCTCTCGGTACTCGGTAACGCGTGATTGGAGTCTTCCGCACTTCGAGAAAATGTAGGCCACCCTGACCCGTTTGGGTGTCGTATGCTAACAACTTACAGGTTGTATGACCAAGGCCAACTGTTGCCGGCTTATCTCGATGCCTACCTGCTCACAGGGGATCAAGAACTTCTCTCTGCAGCTTATGATATTGCAACTTACCTAACAACGCCACCAATGCACTCACCAAGCGGTGGTTTCTTCTCAGCCGAGGATGCCGACTCACTCTACCGTCCCAATGACAAAGAAAAGCGAGAGGGCGCTTTCTACGTCTGGACCTTGAGGGAATTCAAGAATATACTTGGAGAACGGGACGCCGACATATGCGCGCGGTACTACAACGTCCGTGAAAATGGCAATGTCAGCCCCGAGCACGATGCGCACGACGAACTCATTAACCAGAACGTGCTTGCCATAAGCTCCACCCCTGAAGCTATGGCAAAGGATTTTGGTCTTGCCAAAGACGTTGTCGTGAAGATTCTTGAGGATGGCAGGGCCAAGCTTCTGGAGCATCGCAACAAAGAGCGCCCTCGCCCGAGCCTCGATGACAAAATCGTTGTCTCGTGGAACGGTTTGGCCGTCGGCGCACTTGCGCGCTTCAGTGCCGCAATCGAGCCGACCGACCCCAAAAGGGCAGCCGAGTACCGTGGCGCCGCCGAAAAGGCCGTCGCCTTCATCAAACGCGAACTCTACAACCCAGCCGACGGCACGATGAAGCGCGTCTACCGCGAGGGCCCTGGCGACGCGCCTGCATTTGCCGACGACTACGCCTTCCTCATCTCAGGTCTGATCGACCTCTACGAAGCCACCTTCGACGACAGCTACCTGGAATTTGCCGACGCGCTGCAAAAGAAGCAGATTGAGCTGTTCTGGGACGGCGTGTCCGGCGGCTTCTACAGCACCGGCGCGGACCAGGCCGACCTGATTTTGCGCCTCAAAGACGGTATGGACAACGCGGAGCCCAGCACCAACGGCACCAGCGCCGGGAATTTGCACCGCTTGGGCTCGCTGTTCGAAGACAGCGACTACATGGACCGGGCGCGCAAGACGTGCGAGGCCTTCGAGGCCGAGGTCATGCAACACCCCTTCCTGTTCGCGGCCATGATGAGCAGCATCGTGGCCATCCGGCTGGGCATGAAGAGCATTGTCGCGTGCGGCGCAAGCGAGGATGTGGAGAAGGCCGTCCTTAGGGTTAGGAGTCGTGTGGGCACCAACACGACCATTGCGCGCCTTGGCGGCGGTAGCAAGTGCGAGTGGTTGAAGAAGAGGAACGCGCTCTTTAAGAGCTTGGATGCGGATGCGCCGAGGGTGCAGGTGTGCGAGAACGGCGTATGCAAGGAGGAGCTGGATATGGCGGATATGGAAAAAGCGCTGAGAGAGGTGTCATCGTGATCTGTTGCACATGGTGTGTGCGCGAGGCAAACAATTCGCGCTCGTGTATTATTGTTATGACTGGTTCGCGAGTTGAAGTAGTCTGTTGAAGTACTTTTTGTCAATATCCTAGGTAGGCTGAGCTTTGATGAAAAGAATTGGAAAGTTTGACCAAGGCCCCAGATAAGTCGCTTGCCATTTTTGGCCCTCTTGGCCGCCTATTATTTAGGTCTACTTCACTGAGTGCTTTTTTACTAGTTGTGAACAGATTTAGCTTTTCACTACTGTGGTGTTAGGAAGCTAGGCTTAGCGGGTAGATAACAGACGGTGAGTTGGCTTGCATATACGAAAATAGAATGGTGGGTCCGATAGTGCCCGTCAAGATACGAGGGTGCAGATAGACGAAAATACGAGTATCTCACGAGAGTTTACTAACGTCCGTCACCGCGAACCGAGATCCACCGTATAGCGAGACAGGGGACGATGCAAGCAGTCCCTATAGAGCACTTCTTGCCCAGCTCCTAGCCCGAGTTCTAGGCATAGATAAAAGGTCTTAGAGTATATATGGGCTCTATATATCTTAGCTGGGTCTCTTCTTCTACTCCGTATAAGTATCACCATCTCGCTTTACGGTGAATCTCGGTTAACGGTGACGGACGTTACATAAGGTGAACACTTACAACGTCATCACAGCATTTTGAGGATAAGAAATAAAAATATGTAAGGGTATCTCACAAGAGTACGAGGACGTGAAGTTGGAAGAGCTGAAAGATACATTACCTTAGGTGTGATATCAAGTAAGGGGTGCAAGGTAGTTGAAACGGTGGGTGAAATAAAATATTTGATGGTCTTGTCTAATAACAACTCTGTTTATACCGACAATGACTCAAGAAGTAGAAGAAGTAGACAGAGATCTCTCACTTACAATCTTGGCCAAGAATAGCTTGGCCCGGGCGACCTTACTTACCGGTGATACGCTTCGGGAGAGATGAAACTGCCGAGAAGCAATTTGCACTTACCGTGCGTTGTGCCGATCAGAAGGGCAAAGACAAGCCGCGTTCCAAGAGCCGGCAGATCAGATCCGTGCATGAGCCGTCAATAATCCTGAGAACCTTCGTAAGACATCGGCGAACATCCTACCGGCTTTGCGAATGGGCGATTTCTTGGTGACTTTGGTGACTGGATAGAGTTGGTCGAGCGATTCCTTGCTGAATGTGTTGAGTATTTGGCCGTCACACATGACCACGAAGCTGTCGTCCGCTTCTTTGTACTGCACGTACATACCGGACGTATCAGGGTCTGGGACCCAATCTTTGCCCTTGTCTCTAACTTGCTGCCAGAAATTTTGGCGGAACCATTGGTTGACCCAAGACATGGACACCAAGTGCATTTTCCGTTGTTCAGCAATAGGGCGAGTGATCTTCTTAAACTTCGCGGCTTTCTAGGGACCGGATTCGAGAGAAGCCGTGGCGTTAAGTATAGCATCTTCCATGTAAATGGCGAGCTCAAAGCTCCACCTCTCAAAGACCATAGGTGTGCAATCCATACCGTAGCCGCCAGAACAGCAGGTAATGAGGCCTCCGAAGGCAAACACCTCCCAGCTGTAGCCATCCTCGCACACAAAATCCGTCTCTGAGTGCAAAATACCACCAGCGGCTTCAGAGAAGCGCATGAAGACGAGCGCGTGCGCGAGTTCGTGGACCAGGGTGACTGCCAGGCGAAAGTGCAGGCGTAGTGTATACTCTACGCTCATCTCTCTTTCCAGGGATTCTCTGAAATCGTTCAACAGCTTTATGCAGACGTTGGAGTTTTGTACAAAAGGATACTCTCTCTCGCCAGGCGTGCGAAAATCGCGGTCCATCTCGCAGGCACCCATGTAGGGAACAACTTTGCCGGTGGGCGTCCAGTATATCCGGAGGTATTGTGCTAGATCAGTCAATGTGCGTTCCGTTGATCGAGAGAGACTAGCCAAGTCGACGAGGTCGGGTAGTTTCAATACCGTCTGGCCGGACCCGGACAACGTCGAATGCCCGTATGCGGCCTTGACCCACCACCCCCGGTATGCTGGCTCGGTTAGGAAGAGGGAAGCCAGGCGGAGAGCAGGCAAGCAAGAACCGTATAGGTCCTGAGGTGTATCCGCAAACGCGCTGTAGGCTAGAAGAGGGTGGACGTCGTTAGTCAGGTCGCAAGGTTGTACCTTTACGGTACGAGTACGCCAAATGCCATGGTTTTCAAGCGTGTCGATGTCGTGTTGGGGGGTGTAGAGGGTTGTGAGGGCGGTTAGCGCATGTTCGAACACGTAGGAGTGGTGTTTCTCCATGTTGACTGTTGACGTGATTATGGGGTTAGGCCAAAGGAACGAAGGCCGGCGTATGTTTCTTTGTCTCTGCCGCGGCGAGCCAGACAAGGGCATTGTCGACAGACTTTGCAGGGCTAGTGTTTGTTCAAACGCCGGGTTGCAGCCGCAGAGTCAGCCGATTGGATGTATGGCGGCTGGAGATCCCCCGCGAGGCAACGGTTTGGCGCTGTGGCGCGGGAGACAGCCACAGCAGCAAACGGGAACCGGGATGTTCCCTCAATGGAGCGGCAGGCAAGGCGATTCGACGCACATGGAGTGGGCGAAATGAGGTTATCTCCAGCCGCATGTGTTGCGTGCCTGGCCGGCTGCACCCTGCTAAGTTTCAGTGTCGCCAGCTAACTTATGCCCTCGCCCGCGCGTGCGCCGACCCTCTCGCTTTTCTCGGCCTTTATGAGACTTGGGCCCGCCGACCACTCGAACTTCTCCCCCCATCTCTCTTTGTTGCACTGTACATCCATCCCTTCCGGTCCTTCCCTTTCGTCAGTCTCTTCTTCGTCCTCCTCTCTTTTTTCTTCTTCACCGCGCCCCGCCTGACTCGCGCCTGGTGCTCCCGGGCCCCCTCGCTTTGATCACCTCTCGCCAACTAGCGCCCAGCGACCCCCTGCAAGCAAGCTGCACGGCGCCTTGGTCAGGACAGGATCAGAATCAGGTCCAGGTCCGTCCAACAAGTGTTTACGGGCTTGCCTGCCTGCCTCTTCTGCACAGCCGCCGGCCAGCGCAGCCTCCCTCTTCTCTTCCCCACGCTTTAACTTCACGTCCGCGCCGTCGCACCGCCAGCCCGCGATCGCTCGTTCGACTGCCACCCACCGTCCCCTCGTTCTGCGAAGCTCTCCGTTCACGCGCTCTCCGACGCGACTAGCGCCCGGCTCCGTCAAGGCGCACCGCAACCATGCCAACCGCCTACGGCAACTTTCACGACTTCTGTCGTGACGCTGGCAACGCCTATGCTACCATCCCAGGTAAATAATCCCCCGCTTTCAGCTCCTCCCTCAACTCTATTCTGAGCGTGCCCGAGCTGACATCCGCCCCCGCCAGTGTGCAATGTGAGTCTTCCTCGCTGAAACCTCGCGCCCGCCCGTCCATTGCTTGGGCAAAGCCAACTAACCGCTCGCCTTTTTCAGCTCTTCAGTCAGTCGCCTGCGCGTGGCGGAGAACTGACTGCCTGGGGAGGATGTAATCTACGCGGCATCTCTCTGAGCGACGGCCGTTATCTGGCGAACTTGGGTTAGTTTCTGCGCCTCCGGATCCCAAGGAATCCTGTCTTACCCGGCTTAGGATCAATTCTTCTCTGTGGAATCGCTATCCTTGTTAGCATATTGTTAATTCTGCTCGCCGAGCGTAAGCGCGCTGCCGTCGGTAGAAGGTCAGTGCCTCAGCTCGAACCTCCATCGGATTGGTGGGCACTGACATTTGTACAGAGAGATGCAACTCTTCTTCCTGGGTTACATAATTATCGAGATATGCGAAATCTTCACCGTCGGAGGCTTCCCCTTAAACGGGGCTGTTCGCAGAGTATGTTCTATTCTTGGACCACGTCGGAGGGATCGGCTGACGTCAGTAAAATAGGGATTCAGTGCAGTTCACATCGCCGCTGTCGTAGCCACTCTTTGGATGCTTCTCATGAACGGCGCGGTCGGCTTCCAGGCGCTTGATGACGGCACACCTCTCTCCCTTGGTCTGATCTTTGTCTCCTCGATCATTTTCTTCGTGGGAACCGGTTACATTGCTCTCGACACCGGCTTTAGCTGGACGGGCTACTGGGATGACACCCTCACCGGCAACAACCGCGCATACGCATTGTATACGCTGTATCAACTTGTTCCTCTGGTTTTTCTAGTTATTTTCTTCGTTCTCGAAGCGTACCTGGTCATAAGAGTCCTGGGAGAGAAGAAGCCGTTGCGTACGTGGTCGCGCACATTTCGCAACCTTTCTCCAATCCGCTGACTTATGGGACAGTTTATCTCACAGCCGCGGCGCTCCTCTTCGCCATCGGGCAGATTTTCCAATACGTGATCAGCGTCCATCTTTGCAACTCGACCAACGGCAGGATCAATGGCGGTCTCTTCGAAACGCTCTTTACTCTCCTCGCTGTCTCGATGATCTACGTCTTCTGGTCCAGCATCACTGAAGACGACTGGCCGATGGCCTCAGGCGGCTCGACTTATACATAAAAGCGCCATATTGGAGTCTGCTCACGCGCTAGACGCGTAAAATAGCGGCAGGACAAATCCGGGCGCAGATTCTTCTTTCTTTGCAACTTTCTTCAAACAAAACCAAGCATGGCGTGCATTTAATCGAGTTCGGACTTTTTGAGGGCAGGTCTTAGAGCCGTGCCAAGGATATTCCCCCACGATGTTATTGTTATGGATTAGATAATGCTTCTCAAACTAATGATGTGAACGAGGGTGCAGCCCGCATCCGGCGAAACAAATTACTTGGCTGGTCCATCCCTTGTTGTCTCCATCATCATCACGTGCGGCGTGTCAAACTCGAGGTCCAAGCTTCTGCCCGGTGATGTAACGACGACCAAACCACAAATGGCATGCTAGAAAACTGCTTGCCGTGCAGATCACCCTAGTCTCCGTCTTCTAATGTCCGTCTGGAATGCCGGCCGGAGCGGAAGCAGAAACTCTGTGACTGCCCTGCCGTGAGGCCTTCGCAGAGGGAGGCAATTAGAAGTGCCAGGCAAAAGCTCGAGATCGCGCGACGACCCTCTCTCTCTTTCGATGTACAGCGCGACAACCCCGACGACCCTCCTCCTCCGCCCGTTAGCACGCTCGACCCTCCACCACCATGGCCGACTCCGATGGCGAATACGTCCTGGGATCGGATGATGAGCCCTCGGCGACCAACGCGAGCTTGGGCACGCGTGCAAAGGGCAAGAGCGCCAACGGTGCGCGCGGGAAAGAACGATGGGAACGCGGCGTGCAGACCGACGCGAACACGCTGCGCGAGGGCGCTGACGGCACGCTGGTAACCGACTGGGAGGAGACGCTCGAGGCACAGAAGAGGAAGAGGTAGGTCGTTTGGTCTTTTGCGCGTCGCATACCTAGGAGGTGGATGGCGCCTGCAGCGGGAGCGCGGGTCCGACGAGGCAGTTGCGCGTGGCACCAGGGACCCCGTTTGAGGGCACGCAGCCTCTCGACTCAGTTTGCCAGTTGCAGGAGGGCAAGAAGGCAAACAAACAAGCAAGCAAGCAAACAAACGCATGGCTACCCACGCCTTGTTTGTACCTCAGATCCCGCGTGCGGCTCCTCGTAGGCTGGCTTCCTGCCGCCGAGTGCAACACCTTCTGAACATATCAGAACAATTTTTCAAATGCTATGGGAACTTCGCCAAGTCGTCCGTGGAATACCAGGCGCTATCCACCATCCCCTATGATGACGCTTTGAGGCGGAGACACGCGTATTACTTTTGCTATATGTGGACATGAACGTTGCTGACGATGCTTAGGCTACGACAGGACACCAAACCCTTTCAGCGTGGCATCATCCGGCATGTCGTCCTTGTCCTCGATCTTTCGGAAGCCATGCTCGAGAAGGACTTTCGCCCTAACCGCTTCCTTGTTACCTTGAAATACGCTCAAGAATACGTACGCGAATTCTTCGAACAAAATCCTATCAGTCAGATGTGTGTAATGGGTATGCACGATGGACTATGCATTCGTATCAGCGAGCTCGGCGGTAATCCGAACGATCATATTGCACCCTTGCAACGGTTACGCAACACTAGAGATCTCCTACACCAAGAGCCAAAGGGCAGTCCTTCGCTGCAGAACGCGCTCGAACAAGCCCGTGCCGCGTTGTATCATACACCAAGCCACGGTACCCGCGAAGTCATCATCGTTCTGGGAGCTCTCCTCTCCCTGGACCCAGGCGACATTCATAGCACTATCCGCTCCTGCGTCAAAGACCATGTCCGCGTCAGTATCATCGGCATGGGCGGACGTCTGAAGATCTGCCAAGAGATCTGCTCAAAAACGAATGGCGGCGATGAGACTGTCTACGGAGTTGCTGTTGACCAGATGCACTTCCGCGATCTGCTCATGGCAACTACCACTCCACCCGTAATCCGCCAAACCGCCACCACAACCACGGCCGCGGCCAACCCGGCCTCGCTCCTCATGATGGGCTTCCCTTCGCGCGTCATCGAAGACGCACCCACCATCTGCGCCTGCCACGGCAACCTCACGCGAGGCGGCTACCTCTGCTCGCGCTGCAAAGCGAAAGTGTGCAGCCTGCCTGCAACCTGCCCCTCATGCCAACTCACGCTCATCCTCTCTACCCACCTGGCACGCAGCTACCACCACCTGTTCCCGCTGCGCAACTGGGCCGAAGTAACCTGGGACCGCGCGCGCCAGGTCGGCAGCACCGAGTGCAAGTCGTGCCTGACGCCGTTCCCGCCCGTGCCGTCCAGAAAGGCGCTCGCGGCAGCCGCGGCGACCGAGGCCTCGACGCAGGGCAAGGGCGCCCTCAAGCGGCCTGAGAGGCGCGTCGAGGGCGCCAGTGCGAGCGAGAGCTCCCGCTACGAGTGCGAGAGCTGCCGCTGCCACTTTTGCGTCGATTGCGACCTGTTCTGCCATGAGGTGGTGCATAACTGCCCGGGGTGCCTGAGCCAGGCGACGCAGGAGGGCGATGGTGGTGGTGGTGCTGCTGTTGAGGGGGCGGGAAATGGCAAGGCGGATGGAGTGGTGGCTGCGAATGGCGCGGCAGGGGGCCCGGATAGGATGGTTGAGTAGGAGGTGTGGTGGTGGTGGTATGGCATAGATGGGGGTGGAGGCGTTTAGGGCATGTACGGATGGATGGGTTGGCGGCGCGACGAGCAGCGCAGGCTGCCTCGATGCGGTGAGCTGGAGATAGAGGCGTTGTTTCGTCTTGGTGGCTTTTGCGCGCGCGGATCGTGTATTATCAGCGAGAATGGCGAGGAGGTTGGTCGGTTTACTAGGAGTAGTGCTGCTTTTATCAGGCAAAAAATTATCTGCTTTTCACTCTTTATATGCATGGTTCCTCTTCGCTCAGACATCATGGTGGCATATGTTACGGTTGCTGTGTTTCTATTTCTCCTAGGTGAGGGTTTAACGTCCGTCATCGCGAACCGAGATCCACCGTATAGCGAGACAGGAGACGATACAAGCAGCCCCTACAGAGTACTCTTTGCCTAGCTCCCAGCCTGAGTCCTGGGTATAGGTGAAAAGGTCTTAGAGCACGCATAGACTCTACATATCTTAGCTGGGTCTCTTCTTCTACTCCGTATAAGTATCACCATCTCGCTTCACGGTGACGGATGTTAAAGTAACTGCAAATCTATTCGGTGTTTTCATGCTGTTTGGTGTTTTGCTTGATTGGTGTCACTAGTGGATCACGATTCCGTGGTACTTACTTTTCCATAGATGATTCAACCGGAGAGAAAATACCAGAAATGGATAAATATAGAAATCAGCAGGAGATGAGACCTTGCATGTGAAGTGTGGATTGTAAGAGTAGGTTTCTTGATTCATTTACTTTAATTGTTTTTTATTCTCTCCAGCCCTGTTCAAAGCATGTGCCGACGGCTTCTAATTGTGAGCCAATATTTTCCGGGTGCATGCCACGTACAAGCTGGTACGACTTCGGACGGAATATGGCCCAAGACAGTTTCACATGCTCCGCCACTCACGAAGAAGGCTTCGGGGACATGATGGCCCACCAATTGTCCTTCTCATAGCCATGTTCCACGACAACGCCACCCGCTTGCTCAATGTCGCTTTCCAGCTCACCCTGCCGGTAGAGGTGGTAATACCGGTGGAACGTCTTGGGGCCGTCGTCCTCGGGTTCGGCAGAGCTCGCGGCCTGCTCAGCTCCAGTGCCACGCTTGGCCTTTTTCGGTTTGTTCTTATGCATGACCCACGGCACCATGACATCCTGCTCATGGCCCTCGTCCCACCCCCTCCGACTCTCCTTCTGCTCGAGGGCCCAGACATAGACAAGCGCGGTGCCCGTGGGTCTCAGCACGTCGAGGATGGCGCGGGTGGCCTCGACGCGGCGGTCGGGGGTCGAGAGGTGGTGGATGACGGCGATGGAGATGGCGAAGTCGAAGCAAGCGGGCGGGTGCGGCAGGTGCAGGTTGTCGGCGACGAGGGCGCTGTGCGGGGGGTGGTTCAGGGCGGCGATCTTGGCGAGGTTGCTCGACCGGTCCGACGCCACCATGTACACGCCCGGGTTGACGCTGAGATACTTCCCGTTGCCGCAGCCTACGTCGGCGCCGATGGACCCGTCGGGCTGGCCCTTGAGGAAGCGCTCCACTATCGGCCAGGGCTACTGGCGGCCGGGGCTCGCGTCAGTGACGGGCCTTGAGCAGACGACGACGACGACGAGTGCGGCGGCGCAATGCTAGGTAGGTACCTTGTAGCGCGTCGAGGAAAAGTGCGAGGCAATCTGCTCGTAGACGGCGTGCACGTTCTCCTCCTCGTAGGCGCCGGGACGCGCAGCGTCGACCGAGGCGGCGGGGGCTTCGACTACCATGGCGATGATGCTGTTGCTGCTGTCGACATGACCATGAAGCAGTATAGGTAGGTACGAGTAGGAAGGTGGAGTAGCGGGTGGAGCAGTGGCGGAGGCCGACAAAAACGAGGCTCGGCGGATGTGGCGCACCCGGCACCGACCCCGAGCATTCGCCCCGACCAACTTTTTTTTTTCCTTTGCCTCCGTTTTTTTCGAGCCGCTCTCTGCTCGCGCTCTCTCTCTCTTCCGTCTCTCTTTGCACCGGCAAGTGACGGGCTGTTTGGCGCCTTGCTTCCGATCCGTTCCGCGTGGATGTGTCGCCGCCTTTTCTGACCCTTCCCGCCAACCCATGTCGTCGACTCCCCCGCCCCTTTCGACTGCCCGTGCCCACCATTGCTCCTCAGGGAGTATTTTTCTTCTTGTCTATTGTAAAAGCTAGGATTTCATTGGGGCAAATTGACTTTCCATCTCTCTGGCCGCGCGACTGACCCCGTCTGGACTCCTGCCTGGCTGTTTTCACTTCACCTGGCATTTCGCTTCTTGTTGTTCATTCATTCTCTTTCACTATGGCTTTGACAAAGATCAATGGCAAAATGGCGCGTGCCATGGCCCTCAAGAGCAAGCGGAGACGCAAGCCCGTCTTTGTCTCCTCCAAGCAGCTCCTTCACCCTCGACTTGTCCACCAAACGCGGAAAAGACGACCCTTTCATCTTCCATCAAAGAAACCCTCGGATTCTCAGGCCCTCGATCCCCTCAATATGAGCTCTTCCCCCGAGGCCGATCGTTCTCCTTCTCCTCCTTCTCCCCCGCCACCAGACGAGCTGCAGTCCTCTTTCCTCAAACTTCTCCCCCGCCAATCTCCACCAGATTCGGGCCAGAGCAATCCGTCGGACGCCGCAAAACTCGCTCTCCAGAAGCTCCTGGCCGACCCGATCAAGTTTGTGCCGGCTACCAAGACCACCATGGACACTGAGATTCGCACCGTCCCTAAGCGGCTGATGAGGGAGAACCGGACCGCTCGCCAGGAATCGCGCTTCTCCTATGTAATTATTTGTCCCGAGATATTTTTGCGAGCCGTTGAGCTAATGCGTAATTAGGTCCGTGGCATCTCCAAAAGCTTCCCCAACGCGAACATGGGAGCCATTGGCATGTACAACCCGGCCAACTGGTGCTACCGGCGCGGTGTGCTGCAGTCGCTGATGAACCTGCCCGTATTTCTGAACTGGATCGAGCGGCACCAGGCCAACGGACGTTACTGCAGTAGCCGGCGCGGAGCGTCGTATTGCATTGCGTGCGCTTTGAAAAACCTGTACCAGGCTTACTGGGACCCTGGCCGCACGTCTAGATCCGTCCTACAGGCGACCAGTTATTTTGATAAGGTTGTTGCCTCGCTCGGCAGTGAGCCTAACACTGATAGCCCCTGGCCGCCAGATGGCGGTCATTTTAATTTGTATAGCCAAAAAGGGAAGAAACGCAAGCGCGATGACCACTCGCAGCAGTGTGCCGGGGAGTTTGCTGGCTGGCTCTTCCAGCAGCTGGACGACAGAGGGGTGATGCCGTAAGTGCTGCAGAGGACGCCGTGCCTGTCCAAGACATGCTAACCCAGCCCTCCAGAAAAGAAGAAACCAACGCGCTCTTCATGTTGGAAATCGAAAGGCAATGGAATTGTATACGTTGCAAGCACGCGCACAAGAGTGATGTCGAGGCGCAATCCCAAATCATCATCTCGCTGCGTGATCCCAAGCGCGGCCTCAGCTTCGAAGAATACGTCGACAAATACTTTTTAGAACGGCTCTCTGGCCCGCGCTGCGACGCATGCCGCACCACCCAGGATGTCAACCGCCGCGGCCGCATCGTCGACGGCCCGGAGGTGCTGTTCGTGCAGCTCCAGCGCGTGGGGTATGACCCATACAGGGGAGGCGCGTACAAGATCCACGACGTCTGTCCATACCCCCTGTACCTCGACCTCAGCAAGCATTCAATCGAGCCATCGCTGCGGGCGAAGGGTAACCTGAGGTACAAGCTTTCGTCTGTCGTGCAGCATGCAGGCGAGGCTGGGAGCGGGCATTACACGGCCAAAGTCGTCTCGCCGTTGGGGGTCGAGCTGCTGAACGACGAGAGTCCCGCGGCGAAGTTGACGGTGGAGCGGTTGCTGAGGCCCAAGGATGGCTCCTTCCTACCGTACCTCTTGACGTATGTGCGGGTGCGGCCGGGTGACGAGCGCGGCCGCTGAGCCGGGGTCTTTGGTCGTGGTGTTTTTTTTTTTTGGCTTCTCTATTGCCTGGGTGGAGCTCGCAGCGCTGCGATGTGGACATACCTGTCTTTCATGGCTCTTGTTTTTTTCGCTGCTGCTGGCTGCTCCTCTTGTCTGTCTGTCTGTCCATCTCTCTCCGGTTTCCTCTCTTTCTGTTCCGCGCGCCGTCGCGATTCGAGATACCCAGTTCTTCCTTCGGCGGGGGCGGCGTCCATCGTATCTGATGCATCATTGCTTGCCCTTTTTTGTCTTTTCTTTTCGATCTATCGGCCTTCACGCGCAGAGGGCATATGGATGCGGCTGTTGCATACGTACATGTACATGACAGCGTTGAGAAGTTTTTGATTTTTCTTTTTCGTCTTTGTGCGTTCGGCTTGGCTATATCAGTCGCTTGCTCGCTGGTTGTTGGGCTTGCTGATGCTTCTTCTTTTTGGGCGGTGTTGCGGTGCGCGGTGGAGTGGTTTGCGCGCTGTTGTTGGATGGGAGTTGTATGTGTGGTTTCCACTCGTACTCCATATGTACATGGCAACCTTTTGCTCCTGCGCGGGCTAACGAGGACACGACTGTTAAGAGCGAAGTGGACGTGAATGACTGGCTGGCAACGCTCTTTCACCTGCTGCTTGGGTGCATGGCATGCACTCATCACTGGCGTATATTCATTGTTCAACTAGGTAACCCCCGCATACCCTTTACTCTACTTCGTATGTACACAAGAAACACCCACACGCATAACCCCTTTTCTTCTCACAATACCACCACCATCATCATCATTTACATACCTACCTCTAAAAAACCACCCCAAACCCTACCACTACCCTCAGCCAGCACCCCGTCTCCCCGCCGCCTCCCACCTCAACCCAACCCAACTCTACCAAGCCACCCCACAGCAGTACCGCGGAACCCTCGCGCCCCCTTTCCCGCCATACTACTACTCTACCTACTCGTACTCGTACCACCTACCGCGCACCACTCCCGCCCCCGCGCCCGCTCGGCTCTCGGCCCAGCGTGCCCCCTCCCGCTACATCACTACCCCGCGCCGAGTGCCCAGCCGGCGCGCCTCCGGGCGCTTTTCTTCCTCTCTCTTTCTCTCTACTCTACCATTTATTTCGGCCTCTCGGCACAAGCGCTTACGTTACATGGGTTGCTATGGCGCCGGCTCGCTCGCGCGCGAGTCGTGGAGGGAGGAGGCGTTTGGCGTTTGGCGTCTGGGGTCTGGGGTCTGGGGTTGGCGCTGGGGCTGGGGCTGGGGCTGGATGGTCTGGGCTGTGTGCAGAGTACTCTATGTGTGGTGGGGTGCTGGGCTGGGCTGATCCTTCTGGGCAGAGGTGGCCGAGGGGATGGGATTGGGTGTGAGGATGGGGATGGTGAGACGGAGGGTGCTGGTGTAGTGGTTGTGGGAGGCTCTGGAGCGCGTGCGTGCGTGCGTGCGTGCAGCCAGCCTGGTGTGGCTGGAGGAAAAGTTTGATGTTGCTACTGCTACACGCGCGCCTGCTGCAGCCGGATATGCGAGGCGATGCGGTGCGATGTGATGGGATGCGATATGCGGGATTGGGGATTAGGTGAGGTGAGACATGCTCGCGGCGGGTTGGTGGCGGGAAGTGTAATATGTGTAATGTGTGTGGGTGTGTCTATCCTTGGCTTCCTTGTTAGTGCGTCTGCATGATGGTTGGGGGGTGGTAATAATAGTAAGCAGGCTATCCTTATCCCACTCCATCCGATGCAGGTATTCCCATGCCCGGGTCAGCCTGTCGCAGAGTTGTCCACCCGTCGTCACACACACCTCCAGCCCTCCATCCGTCCCTCCGTCCCTCCATCATCCCCGATGCACACCAGCCAATCAGCCCGTCCGGCCCATCACGAAACCATCCCACCCCCCCTCCTGTGCGCCCAGCCACACCCACCCACCGTCCTGAAACCCCAACCGCACCAGCACCAGCGCCAGACTCAGCATGAGCACCATCAGCATGAGCATCAGCACCGGCATCGGCACCGGCAAAAAAGAAAAAATTAAGAAAAACGGATATCCGATATCATCAGCCCGTAAGCGGCAAGCCCCAGGAACGCAGCGAGCAGCGCAGATGCCCGATTCGCCGCGCGCGCTACGCTAGGCGCTTGCAGCTACCCTTCCTCCTCTACCCCAGCTGTGCCCAGCCGCCCTAAGCAGCGTAGCGCCGCGCTACCCCAAACTCTGCTGCCACCGCCAACAGAGAGGGCAGCGACCAAGTCGACGACTAGCGGCTGCTCGACCGACCAATGGTGCCGAAGTCGCGCGGGCCCGTCCGGGTCTGGACGACGGTAATGATGCGCGCGCGGCTAGGTGGCTCGGGTTGTGCGAGTAGAGTACGAATAGGTACTCGAGTACGAGTAGGGGGGTACGTCGTTGTTGTGCTTATCTCCCTATCTTGCTATCTAGGTTAGCTATCTAGCTATCTGTGTAGGGCAGTTGCGGCTATCTAGGTATTATCTTTCTTCAAATGTGGTATCTAGTTCTGATAGCAGCTCCCCACAATAAACGAACAATCGTCTGCTAACGTCCTGTCTCCACTCTTTGCCTGTCTGCTTCCTTTCTCCCTATCTCTCCGCCGAGGCCCATTGATGATGATGCCGTCAACGCCACGTGCAATCGCGAATGACCAAAACGCCAGAATGACAGAATCGAAGGAACGCAGCACGAGCGCGCGAAGGAAGGAGCAATCGAAGCAGGCAAGCTACTTACTCGTAGCTACGTACGTACGTACGTAGTAGGCACGACAGCTCCTCCAGCCAGCCAGCTAGCACAAATCATCCATCCCTCCATCCCTCGTCAACAATGACTCCTCCACTCCGTCCGTCCATCTGGCCGGCCAGATCATCGCCACCTAACCACCCACACCCACACGTAACTCGAGCACCCAGCTGCCGCACGCACACGCACACGCACACGCACACGCACACGTAGTTGACGCCATGTTGCTCCCTAGAGTACGGCTCCCCCGGAGCCGAGCCCGCTGCTACAATATTGCGCGCATACGTAGCCAACCACATGACCACCTTCCACCTCACCTGTAGGTGCGTAGTGACCAACCGGCCAACCAAAGCTGCCTACGGGTATCTAGGTACCGTACCTAGCTAGCTAGCTACCTCATACGCACAACACACACCGACGTCGGCGACGTCGCGACGTGCCCCGTCACAGTGTCCAAGGGAAGCCACCACCGAAACCCTCCCAACCAATACCCGCATTCACGCCTCCCTATGTATGTAGTCCAGTCCGCAAACCTCCGCACCGCATCAACTCCTTCCTTCCCTCCTTCCCTCCCTCCATAAGCACAGTACATCGACCACGTAGAGAGTACAGTAGACACCACGTAGAGTACATACACGTAGCCCAACCACGACACCAGGACACCACGCTCCCGGGCCCTGCCTGCCCCGAGCACTCGGGGGCCCTCCCCCTTCAGATCTCCATGCCGCCCTCCCTGCCCCCAGCAGCCCTTTCTCTGCCCTTGTTCTTCCCACACCCACACCACCGCAACCACTAGCAGCACTAGTTAGCTACCCCTCCTCTTGCTCACACCGCAATCTTCACCCTTCGCCCTTCGTCCTTCACCGCGACGCCCCCTCTCCCCCTCCTCTTGCCAATACAATATCAACCAATAAACCAATCAATCCCACTCCACCGGACCCAATCCGATCCAATGATTGAACCCAGTGAATGAATAAGTGACCAAGCACAAGCAAGCAACCCGAGGCGAGGCCGCCGACTCCCCCTCCCCCTCCCACAGACACAGACACACAGACATGCGAAATGTTTCAGTCGATCAATCAATCAAGGAGGGAGGGGGCCTGGGGGGGAGCGGGAAAGAAGCGACCCGGCCCGACAATCTACTCATACCACAGACCATGGTCCACAGTCCACAGTCCACGGGCCAAACGGGCAGTGCCCAGGCAGTCAGTGTCCGAGTGTCTGTCAGAGTGTCAGAGTGTCAGAATGTCAAAGTGTCAGCCAGCGTCCGTCACAATTGCCCTGTCACCACGCACGCACGCAACGCACACCCAGCCTGCAGGGAAAGGAGATAAGCCGAGTGTTTCAAGGGCGAAAAGGGACGGCCACCCCAGGGGGGCCCGAGCCACGAGCTATTCAGTACGTAGTCAGTGTGCTCTGCTCTGAAGGCGACGCTGCTGCTCCTATTGTAATCATCCATCATCATCCGTCCTCCTGCGTGTCAGTGCCGGGTTGGTATGTCGTGGCCTCCGCGGATCCCCATCCGTCCCTCCGCCACCGATAAGCATAGGCACCGCGAAATGACGGGCTTCGTAAACCTTTCATTATTCCTTCGTCTTGCCACCAAGTATTGTTATTGTTATTATTATTGGTGCCTTTAGTTGGTAGTTGCTTCGTAGAACACTGTCTGTAGAACGTCATTTTCAGATCTGCATTGCACATTGCACCGCACATGTGTGCGGAGATAAAACACTGCCTTTTAGAGCGGGTAAATCTTGCATTCTAGTCGTCGCAACGGCCTACTATCAATGCCAAAGATACGAGCCCACCTCCGAGTTGCTTGTCCATGTGTCATGCCGCAGGTCCACTGCCGGTCCATGACCACGTGTTGCGGAGGCCGAGCTACAAGTGGAGGTCATTCCAACCTCCAACCCACTCAAGGTCGCCGATGTCATCGTCGCCTGTGTGCACGACGGGGTGCTGGCGCCAATCCTTGTTCCTCCAATCCTGATGTCCCTTGCCGTGATGTCCAACGCCGTGTTCAAATCCATGATGAGCCGAAGTAGAGTAGTGTCCGCCGAATCCTGTTCCCATGTTGCGCCTCCAATTGTTGCTGTACGCCCTGCTGCGCTTCCTGTCGAGAGTAGGAGAAGACGCCGGCATAGCCGGAGCCGGCTTCTCCCTCTCCGAAGCCAGCGGGGCCCGTCTGCGGTTGCCCAGAGCAGCCCATTTGTCCACATTGTTCATCTTCTCGCGCTTGTCAACAGGAGTCCGCTTCACCGGGAGGTGCTGCTTCTTCGGTGTCGACAAGAGGCTCTTCGGTGATGACGAGCGAGGCATGGCCGGGTGGTCTTCAAAGATGAAGCCGGTCTGCTCGCTGATGTAGTCGTCGACCTTGGGGTGCGTGATGGGGCTGCGGTTCCTGCTGTTGTTGATGTTTTCCGGATCCTTGAGCTCCGACAGACCAGCGCGGGGTGTCGTGCGACCAGAGCCCGTCTCGTGGCTCCAGACGCGGTCCTTGAAGCCGAGCATCTGCTGAACAACGTTTTCGGTCTCGCTGCCGTCGTCCTCTTCATCCTCGTCCCACAAGTCGCTCCAGCTCTTGGAGACCATGTCCTTCTTGACATCAAGAACAGAGCCCAAGTTGGGCATGGGCCTAGCGGGCATGGAGCCAGGAATCTGCATAGGCCTCGAGGCTCTGCTGTTGATGGGACGGGGCTGGGAAACATTGTTGTTCGACTTGAGCGAGATGCCCAAGCCAGAATCGACGAAGGAAACGATAGAAGAAGTCTCGGGCTTGATCGAGCACCAGTCGCCGCTGGTACGCTCGGAAGCCGGGAACAGGTCCTCCGAGTACGTATCCACGTCGGGGATAGCGGAAAGCTGGCGGACGGGCTGAGGAGGAGTCATAGCTAAAGCCTTGGCCCAAGGGAAAGCACCGTTGGCATCGAGCTGAGCAGTGCTGACCGAAGGCGTGCGGAGGGGCTCGCGGTTGGCAGTCGCTCCAATGACCTCGCAGTCCTCGACGCAGAACTCATCGAGCGACTCGTCATCAATGGTGAAAGAGATGACGCGGCCAAGAGCCTTACGTGTAGCGGACAAAGAACGGTTGTTGGGCTCAATGGCCAGGCAGTGGACCAGGACCTCGTAGGTGTCCTGGGACATGTTGGGGAAAACGTCGAACAAAGACTGCCTGTCACTGACAAAGTCGGCGAACAACGGGTCCGAGAAGGTCGGGGTAGCGAAGGGGTTGCGCGAGAACAAGACGTTGAGCAGACAGATACCAACGGCCCAGATGTCAGCCTTGGCAGGAGAGTAGGCATTGTCTCCGCAGTCGTACTGCTCGGGCGCCATGTAGCGGTCGCTGCCGACAGCAGACTCGTAAGACAGCTCGTCGGTCGTCGCAAGTCCAAAGTCGCCAAGCTTCATGTCTCCCTCCGAAGTCAGGAAGATGTTCTCGGGCTTGATGTCCCTGTGGTAGATGCCATTAGAGTGCATGAACTCGACAGCATCAATCAGCTGGTACATGAAGTCGCGGACATGCTCGGTCTCGAGAGGGCCGCGGCCGAGGCGAATGGCTTCGTAAAGGTCGCCATTCGGGCAGAGCTCAAGAACAAGGTAAACGTGGTTCTTTGTCTCAAAGGTGTGAACCAGGTCGACAATGTTGGGATGGTTGGAAAGGCGGCGGTGGATGACGAGTTCCTCGGAACGCTCGTCAATGGCAAAGGCGGAGGGACAAGTGTTGGGATCCGAGGTCTTGGTCAGGCACTTGACCGCAACGTTCTCACCAGTCTTGAGGTCCTTCGCCATGAAGACCATGCCGAAGGAGCCATGGTTGAGAGCGGAGAGCGTCTCAAAACGGCCGTCCAATACGACGCCCTCAGTGAACTGGTTGCGCAAGCACTCCATTGTATGAGATGGATAAGAGAAGAACGACTTTTAGAGTCCGAAACCCAAGAGTCTGACTGCAAAAGGACGTCGAGCAAGCGAAAGCAGACGGAAAGCTGAACAAGCCGCTTTTTCCGGACCGGAGGTTGTAGTCGAACAAGCCTTAGATCCGACGCAAGCAAGAAAAGAACAAGTCTATCGTGCTTTTAGTTGGCGAAAGAAGCTTGTTAAGAATGGTACAAATAAATACTTAAGAGAGGAAAAAAGGGAAATCCGAGAGTCGAGAGTAGGTTCAGGAACAGAGGCTGTAAGTGTCGTCTGATTGACCAAGGCAGAACTCCGTATCGCTTTGAGATTTAAAAGGTGGTATAGTGGTCGTAATCGAGATATGCACAAAGGAGTCGAGAAGGTTGTAGCGCGGGGTGTATCTTTAAAGACAAGGGAAAGTAAGGAGTGTGGTTCTTGTCATTTGACAATGATTAATCGGTGTATGAGGAACTCGAATCAACGAGTGTGAGGAAGAGGAGCTTGGCTGTCGTGGTTGGCCTCGAAATTGTCGGCGGCCAGATTGCTTCGAAGGAATCGAGAAGTCGCTGCGTTACCGGTAGGAAAAGAAAAGGAAGTCGTAAAACGTGGACGCTCGAGGTCGAGTCGTCCAAGCACCGGAGTGGTGAAGGATGTTGGGTATGGACCACTGAGGTGCGGGACTTGTCGGCGACGTGGGCTGCTGGCTGGAGAGCGAGGTATGAGAGCCGGAGTCGCGGGAGTGGTAGCAGCTGGATCGACGAGTGGACGATACTGCTTTGGCTGGCGGAGGTATGGCTGGCTTTCGAGACGGTTTTGATCTAAAGGAGCATCAAAGACCGGGCTCTGGAAGCTGAGGTTGGATGTTGGCGGGGCTGAGCGGCGGGTAGTGAGGGTTGATGTAGTTGTCGCACGTCAGGCTCAGAGCATCGAAGTTGGGATGACGCGATCAGAGGGCCCAAGCGGGTAGATGAGTCGAAGAGGTCCTGGCGACCCACTCTGAGGCGATGATGCGATGAGTCAGAGGCGTCGAGGGAAGTAGAGAGAAGGCGGACGAAGGAAGAGTAGAGTCTGTCTGGTTGTATTGCTCGTCGAAGCAGGCAGGCACAGGGAGACGGTTGCGTCGGTAACGGTCGGGAGCGGAATGAGACGGACGAGACGAGGAAGAAGGTGCTTTGCAGGCTGCAATGACGGCGAATGCAACGACGAGAAGACAGCGGGACTAGGCTCTTAGGACATGGCTGGGGGGGTGGGATGGGTGGAGGTGGAGAACAACAGTCAGGCACGACGAAAGAGGGAGCGGAGGGTAGCTATATCACGGCGGAAACAGGCAGGGCACAGCCCGCGGGCGGTGTGGGGGCGACGTGTGATTGGACTCTGGGCTCGGGCAGGGAGGCTTGCCGACTTTCACGCCGGCGTCACTTGGCTGCGCCGGCTGGATTGCTGCCGCCCGCATCACGCGCTGCGTCCAACGTGGCATCTAATGCTGCTACTTCCGGCCTGGCCTGGCCCTGGCATCGAAGCTCGTCGAATTCGCCACCCTCGGCCGCGTGTCCTGCCGCTGTCCGTTTTGTGCCCGTCGTCCGACTGTTGCCCGCCCGCTTGCATCCGCCCCCGTTCTCTCAACGCTTGCGTAAGGGTTCGCCTCTGAAACGGTCTCCCCCCCCCCTCCCTCCTTCCTCGACATCACTCCCTCATACACCCCACCCCCCCTTGCCTCGTCAGGAAATGGGGATTGCCCCGGACATTGCCCGTCGGATCCACCCAGGGTCCGCCAGGCTGCCGTGATCGACGTCAGTAGAGTTGTTGTGCACACACGGTTGCACGGCAACGGGGCGAGACTGGTCGACCACTCAACTGCCTGGCGGGTAATGTTGCTGGATCGCTACGCCTGTCGCAGACGCTGGCAACGCCGCACCTTAGCTGCGACATGCTGCTCTCTCGGCTGCCGCGCTTGGGTCAGTCATCGTGACTCGCGAACGAAAGGGGGCGCGCGGGAAGAAGCGTGCGTGTGGGGAGGCCCGTCCGGATGGGCGCGCTGCAATGTCCTAACCACCCTCACTGCTGCCCCTTCGCGCTTCGGCCGAAATTGCAAATGTCGGTCAAATAGACTGTCTTTGATGATTGCCCTGCGATAAGCTAACTGTCCTCTTTGACCTGCCCCAAGCCCGCTCGAGCTGGCTGGCCTTTGGGGGTGCCTCCCGCCAAGTTCGCGCTCGTCGCCAACCGCTGCATGCAGGCACAACATGCCTACATGCGTCCGCTCACTGTCTCGCCACCGTCGAGCGTTCGCCGTCTTGAGCTAACGCACGCGGTCCCGGCAGCACAACAACAAAGCGGTCAACCGACTGGCCTCAATGGATCGAGAGTGAGTGTGTGTAAACAAGGCACAACATCCGTTCACCGACTATCGTGATGGTCATGGTCACGCAGAGGCCTAGCACGCCAACCATCAACTGCCGGTCGTGATCGGGCGTGGGTGTGTGGCGGGCAATGAACGGGTGTCGCGAGTCGGACGTGGTCGCGCTCGCCGCGCTCGTCGCGCTCGTTCGTCTCGGGCCGCAGAGAGGGTCACCTGGGGCATGTGCAGATCTCTGGAGTCGAAGAAATCCACTTCCCATCTCATCCCATCAGACCACCACTCTCGCTCGGCTGCTCCCGAACCTCGACCTGCCCACCATGACTGCCGAAAGCCTGCACCAAGTCGGCTGCATGCTCCTTGACATTGGTACGTCGGCTCGCCCTCAGCTGCTGCGCGCGTCCGCTGCCAATAAATTTTGCTCGCTCCCCGCAGCATCACCGACTACCATTGCCCCGGGGCCTGGAGTTTCTTCCGGCCGTCGACAGCTGCTCGAAACATCGCGGCTCAAGCGCTTGGCCCGCGTTTCCCCAGATTCTCGGCGCCGCAAGCTTCGGCAATCCTTACTTGCAAGTGCTTGTGACTGATCAGCTTTCTTTGCAGAGGGCACCGTCTGCTCCATCTCATTTGTCAGAGAGCGTTTGGTAAGCCTGCTTCCCTTGCTGTTTGGTTGCTCAGCTCTTGCTGTGCCTCCATGCCGTGCCCCTTCCAGCTGTCTTCTACGTTACCGTCAAGTGATCACGCACTGCCCTGGCGCATGCCGTAGCCTCTGATGGCGCCATTGTTTACCAAACATTGCTGCATGCTCTGCTTTTCCGTTATCGGGGCCCAGTCTTCCCTGACGAGCGCCTTGAAAGGCATTGCGTCTTCCACCTGGGGCCACATACTTCACCCAGTCGCTTTGTCTCTCAATCTCGCCATTCTCCCATGTCTTTTTACCATCCAGCCTACGGCATGCGTCGATCGCCCATTGAACGTCAGTAATTCCCTCAAAGTATCTGCTCACAGATCCACCAGTTCCCTTACGCCATAGACGTCCTTCCTGAAACGGCCAAGGCCAAATGGGATGATCCTGAGTTTAAGAGCTATGTCTCCGCATTCCCTGAGCTGGCCCAGAAGTCGGCCAAGGCTTTCTCCGACTATGCGATCGACCTGATGAAACAGGACTCGAAGGTCCCATATCTCAAGAAATTACAAGGTATGTCTCGACCACCTAGATCATGCACGATATCGTCACACGTATATCGTGCTCGGGAGTCGAGATAGGGCGGGGTTGGCATCGGCACCGACGTGGCAGGATGCCTTGGGCCTGGCGAAAGCAAACGGACCGACCCAGCGACGCGCTAGGGCAACGTGGGAGCATCCACTGATAATGCCATCCCCCGCACTGCGAAACAAGATCGCCAGTACTGGTGACGAAGTGGTCCACTCGGCTCACGCGTCATGCAGGTTATCTGTGGAAGAACGGATGGAACACCGGGGCCTTTGTGGCGCCGCTCTACCCTGATGTCGTACCGGCGCTGCGCGCCTGGCACGCCGCGGACAAACAGATCGTCATCTTCTCTTCCGGAAGCGTCCCAGCCCAGAAGCTGTTGTTCGGCCACGTCGGAGCCGAGGGCGACAACTCTGAGCCAACGAGCAGCTCCGAGGCGGCGTCGGGGGCGACCGACAAGAAGCGGACGTCAAGCGAGGCTCAGAAAGACGTCAAGGACGCGGAGAAGGCGGCTGATGAGACAACGGACCCTGCGGCGCCTCATGCTAAGAAGCCAAAGACGGCTGACCCCATAGTCAATCCGCCAGCGAAGCTACCTGAGGTGCAGACCAAGACGGAGGAGGTGCAAGTCACGGGCCAGCCGTCCGAGGACATCAACCCGCTGCTTGCGGATTACTTTGATACGCAGAACGCTGGGCCCAAGCAGGAGAAAGAGAGCTATGAGAAGATCGCCAAAGCGCTGGGCAAGGAATGCGGCACGATCCTCTTCCTGAGCGACAACGTCAAAGGTTTGCATGCGGGCCCGCGCGGATGATATCAGGCCCAATCGCTGACGCCCAGACACAGAAGTCAAGGCCGCCCTCGAGGCGGGTATGAAGTCTTTGGTCATTGATCGCCCCGGGAACGAGCCTCTGAGCGAGGAGGACCGCGCAATCCTCCCGGTTTACACCAGCTTCGCAGATATTGCGCTCCTGCAAGAGGCTTAAAGGGACGTCTGCCGCGGCGGGGGACGTGCAGGAGGGCACCGGGGAGCCTGAGTCCGTTGCGGACGTGGCACCGTCAGCAACCTCCTGCCAAAAAGCATAGGTAGCAGGATGAGCAAATCAAAACATGCACCGTCAAAGATCCTTCGCAGCGCATCTCTCGTCTCATTCAGCTATGACCGGGGCCCGGAACAATAAGCAACCCGCAGCTCATCATGGAGCTCCCGCATCACCGGCCCGCGAAAGCACGTGCCCGCGCGACGCGATCCGCAGCCGCTTCCCCCCCACCCCGCCCCAGAAGCCGCCCCGCCCCAAGCCCACACACTCGAAACTCTGTTCTAATTACAACCAACACCAACATCCTCAATCTCAACGCCATCGTCCATCGCCATCACCACCATCATTATCGCGACGCCACCGCCACTCAGCCATGCCCCACCACCAACCCCAAACGCGCCCACGACCATCACGACCATCATGCCCGACCCCGAATTGCGCCGATCCTCCTCATCGTCGCTGCCCTCGCCCCGCGCCCTCCTGACGCGCATCCTCGCCGGCCTATCCGCCCCCATCTCATCGCCCGACGCTGACGACCACGACGTTCCTCCGCCGCCCGGGCTGACGCCCGCGGCCACGCTCCGCGCGCTGCCGGAGAAACAACGTAATTTGCTGCTTACGCTGCATGTGCTGTTCCCGCACGAGCTGCTGCCGGCGCTGGATCTGCTGGATCGGGGGTGCGTAATGCGATTGAGTGTTATTGGTGCCAGTAGTGGTGGTGATGCTGCTGCTGTGGGTAGTAGTGCTGAGGAAAAAGGAACGAGAGAAACAGGCGGGAGCGGGAGTGCGGCTGCCGGAAACGCAGATGCGGATGCAGACGCAGACGCAGACGCAGACGCAGACGCAGACGCAGACGCAGACGCAAACGCACTCGTTAGCAGCGCAGATGCAGATGCAGATGCAGATGCAAGCGCAGACGCAGGACCAGCGCAACACAGCGCCAGCACAAGCAGCATCGCAGCGGGACGGGCGCGCCGCCATGGCGGCAGCGGCAGTAGCAGCGGCAGGACCAGCGCGCCCCAACCCCCTCCAATCTATTACGTGCGCTCCGCGCAGCCGCGGCCGCAGCAGCACTGGCGCTCGCGCAACCGCCACCATCACGACGACGATGACAACGACGCCGACGACGCCGGCCCCACGCACTACGAGGTGCGGCTCGCGGCGTGGTCGTGCTCGTGCCCTGCGTTTGCCGTCTCGGCGTTTCCGGCGCTCAGCGCGGACGCCTCCCGCAAGCTCGAGGACTGCGACGACGGTGTTGTAGATGGAGAGGACGACAGCGGAGTCGACTCGTTTGGGGGGCTGCGTTCTGGGAAGGACTTGCCTCCCGTGTGTAAGCACCTGCTTGCGAGTGTGTTGGCTGAGCGTGCGGGATGGCTGTTTGGTGCTGCGGTGGGGGTGGTGGGGGAGGGTCAGGGAGGCGTGAGCGCTGAGGCGGCTGCGGGTTGGGCGGCTGGGTGGGGTGGGTAGGTGGGTGGGAGTGTGGTGGTGGATGCATGCTGGGCGTGGGGATGTGGGACAGTGAGCGAGACGGGTCAGTGAATTGAATAGCTGCCTAGCTGGCTGGCTGGCTGGCTGGCTGGCTAACGGGGTGAGTCACTGGGTGGCGTGCATGATGCGAGAAGCGTTGAGGCATACATAGACATAGACGATGGGGAGTTGAGGTTGGGCATGAGACGCAGACGGAGAGCATGAGAGGTACACGAAACACGAGATACGAGAAGCACGAGATACGACTAGACACTACCTATGGCCTGCAAAACATGGTCAGATTCCATATCCGCTTTTGACGAGCAGTCATGGACATGTTCAAACCTACCGTAGATACTAGATGTGAACCGGACAGGTCAAGTCAAGTCGTGATAGGGACCACAACCGACAACTGATAATATTAAAAGTATATCAACGCCATCACAAAAGCGTCCTCAAAGCTACATTCAAACCACATACCGCACGCGAACCAGTCGAGGCCAGGTAATCAGACCATCCGCACCACGTGCGCGATGCGAGATAGATACATTGAGGCAATGAGACACATTCTCGGGCACAAGAGCACGAGACACAGCCAGCGACCTAGACACCAGACCCCAACAAGCACACAAGCACAAGGGACGTACACACGCAGACCACAACTGACACATCCACAGTCACACCTCAGCTTCAACGTCCCCCTTCATCCCAACACTTCACGCCCGGCTCAGCCCACAATCGTACGCGCAGACACGCACGCATGCTCACGCGCGTCAACCGATCTCATTTCTCTATGCTAGCATGTCATTACCCACAACGCTCGCTCATGATGGCGCGGCCGGCCGGTCGGTCGGTCGAACTTTCGCCCCGCATGCTCTCGTTCCTCCGCTGTCTTCCGCGCGTCCCCATCATCGTCACCATCCAGCGACCCGACTCCGCCCCTCTATTTCCTCTTGTCGGGCTCCTTTCCCCTGCTCTTGTCGGCACCGCTGGCGCCGCCCTTGTCCTTGGCGTCGCCGCTGCTGGCGGCCTTGTCCTTGTCCTTGTCGGCGCCGCCGGCGCCGTTGCCGTTGGCCTGCTTCTCGTCCTTCTTGGCGGCGGCGCCGTTGGCGCCGTTCTCCTTCTCCTCTTGCTGCTGCTTGTTCTGGATCTTGTTCTCGATGAGGTCGTGGAAGGCCGTGATGGCGCGGATGAGGCTGCTGAGGTAGATGGTCATGAGCTGGTCGTTGGTCTTGATGCTCATGGCGCGCGCGAGGTCCGAGTCGCCTGTGGCGAGCGGCGACTGGCCCGCGTCGGCCGCGGCCACGGCCGCCTTGGGCGTGTTCAGGTTCGGCAGCAGGTTGAACACGTCCTGCAGGTTGCCGAGGATGGCGTGGTTGAAGGGCAGCTCCCCGTCCAGCACCTTTTGCAGGTAAGTGCCGATGTCGCGCAGGCGCAGATGCAGCCCCTGCAGCGATTGCAGCTGCGACGTGATGCGCGTCGACAGCGTGCCCACGGCCACGTCGCGGATGTCGCGCAGCAGGTGCTCGACGCCTATCTCCTCCGCCTCCTCGGCCTCGATTATGCTCGGCGTGTGCACAAACGTCTTGCTCGTCGTGCTACCATCCTACATGTGCGCACCCCGTGGTTAGCTGTCATTCGTGTGTGCGTGTGTGTGTTTGCGGGCGAGCGCAGTGTCGGCGGCCGGGCGGCTTACATCTCTAATCTCCTCGACGGCAAAGTATGCGTCCGTGGGCACGCCCACCTCCTTCGGCTGCACATCGATGATGACCAGCAGCGGGTTCGGCGTGTACCGCTTGAATAGCTCGTTGATTTCAAGGTCCGATGCGCGCAGCTTAGGCCCCGAGTGATACCAGCCGATGAGCTTCTCGCGCGCGTTGACCTTCTTGAACATCTCGTTCATCGACTCGACGTAGTTGTGGTCGAGGAACCACACCGACGGGTCCTTCTCATCCTCCTCGAAGGGCACTGCAGGGAGGCAACGGCGTCAGCGCAAATGGCTCATGGATGCTATGGGCACGGGCGTGGGCGGCCTACCGGCGAAGCTGTTGGATACCCGCACGTTTTTGCCATCGTTCTGGCCCAGGAGCACGCCGACGACGCGCTTCTTGGTGCCCTTGGCGGTGCGGCCGTAGTGGTCTGCTGCCGATAGAAGAACCAGAGGCGCGACGGAGACGTTCCGCGTCACCAATGAGAGCGTCTCCGCTGTGGTGGCGGGCATGGTGGGCCGGGGTGATGCGGCTGGTCGGACGGTGAGGCACGGAGCGGAAGCAGAAAACGACAGAGGCGGCCTGGGTTCGAAAAGGACCGGGGGTTGTTGAGGGATGAGGCGGATGGAGTGTTGATGTTGTCGTAGTAGCTGGGCCCCGGTGTGGCTCTGGAGCTCTGAGCTTCCGCCCCGTCATGCCAGGCGGTGAGGCCTTTCTGCCACCATCACGTCTTCTCTGCACGAAACACGTTGAAACTTTTTATTATTGTCTACATATATACATACAACGTCGCAAAGCCACTACGTCTTCGCCTCCGCCATCTCCTTGTCCGGCTCCGCCTCCGCAGCTGGTCCATCCATGACCGGCATGCCCGTGACGACTCCCACGTCCGCCGGGTCGATGTCCTGTGTGACGGGCGGGCCCTTGAACTCCTTCCGCCCCCGGATGACGTACCACAGCATCGAGATGGAAGAGAAGCCAGCGAAGACGGCGCTGGCGTAGTTCATGTCAGTCGCATCGACCGGCAGCGACACGGGCATGCAGAAGAGCACCAACGCCAGCGCGATCCAGCAGATGGTCATGATGTTAATGGCAAAGCCGAACTTGCCCAGCGAGAAGCTGCTGTGTTGCACCTGTTTGCGGCCGCGTAGCACCGAGACGAGGATGGGGCCGCCGTACGACGCACTGAGGCAAATGGTCGCGCAGCCGGTGAAACTGACACTCGAGTTAGAAAAATTTCTCCGTCTGGGCCGGAACGGACACTCACCTGTTAAAAGCAGCCGTGGATCCAAAATAAATCAGTCCTAGCAGGCAGTCAACGACAGTAGAGAGCACGAGGCCCCACAGAGGAATGCCAAAGCGCTTGTCAACGCGCGACCACAGCCGGCTACCAGGGATGGCGCCATCGCGCGCAAAAGCGTAGGTGCAACGCGATGCGGCCGTCAGCGCGCCAATTCCCGCGAATACAAGAATGCCGAGGAGCAGGAACAACAAGCCAAAGCCGCCACCCGCGCTGCCCGTCACCGTCTTGAAGAGGAGGCCTATGGGCTGCCCATTCGCAACGTTCAGCAGCGTCTCGACGTTTGGCAGGACGAAGAGGATCGGGATGAGATAAATGACGCCCGTTACGCCGGCCGCGGCCACGGAGAGCACAATGGCTTTCGGAACCTCGCGCGCTGGGTTTTGCACTTCCTCGCACATGGAGGCAACCATGCCGTAACCCGTCAGCGTGTAAGCGGCTTGCAAAAGGCCGACAAAGAAAGCCCAGCCGGACGGCCTGGGAGTGAATGAGCAACGGCGTAGACGCAGTAGATGGGGAAAACGTACCATCCGCTAGCAGACGCATCGTAATGCGCAAAGACAAACTCTCCGCTCCTTCTATCGTCGGCCATTGTCAGCAGCGTAATGAGGATAACTATAACGCTTCCACCGGTCCAGTAGATACAGATCTTATTGATCAAGTCCAGGTACTTCGAGCCAAAGACATTCACCAAGAAGCTGACGAGCATGACGGCCCAAAACATCAAGATCGTCTGCCACGCATTGGGGACAAAGTCCTCGTCCCACAGACTAATGGCACTCAGAATCAACTGCCCGCCAGAGAAATTAATACTGCACGCAATGAGCCAGTTCCCGACCAGGGTCAGCCAGCCCACGATCCACGACGCAATCGGGGCCCACCGGCGCGTACTCAGCATCGCGGCCCAGTAGTAGACGCCCCCGGCCGTAGGGTAGACGGCGCAGATCTCGGCCAGGCTGGCCGCAATGGCGAGCGAGATCAGCGACACGAGCACCCACCCCCACAGCACCGTCACGGCCTGCCCGTCCGTCAGCGTAATGTACAGCGTCGTGCTGAGCCCGAACGGCACCGCCATGATGGCAAACGACAGCCCCAGCACCGACATCATGCTCAGGTTGCGCGGCAGCTCGGCGCGGTACCCCATCTGCGCGAGGGCGTCGTCGGCCGACGGCGGCGCCGCAGCCGCCGCTTCACCGTCGCGAGCGAAGGACGAGGTCGAGGTCCGCATCGTGGCAGTAGGAGGAAGAGGACGTCGTGGTGGTGCTTTCGGGCTTAGGCGAACCGGGGTGGTGGTCAAAGGCGGAGGCGGGGCGGAAAACAACCAGGGCCAGGCTGGGCGGGCGGGCGGCGCGGCACGGCGGCGCGAGTGGTGCGCGTCTGGGGTCGTCGTCTGGGCAAGAGTGGTGGTTAGCGTCAGCGGAGTCGTCGAGCTTGCCTCGTCTCGTCTCGTCTCGTGCTTGGCGGCGGCGGCGGCGCGGAGGGGAGGGGAGGAGCCAGAGCGTTCGCTCGTGGCGAGGACGGATGGGAGACGGATTCCGCCCTGTGGGTGGCGATTGGGTGCAGAAGAGGCAGGGTAGGTATTATTGTCACCGGCGGCATCACTCACATATGCAGGACACAAGGTACGTTCAGCCACACACAGCAGTACAAAATTGGGACGACAAAAAGAAATCCTTGATCGTGCTGCGGAAGAGGGAAAATGAGAGAGCCACGAGGGCGAAAAAGAGAGAAGGAAAGGCAGAGATCAGATCACATGCAAAGCGGTGGGCGGCAGCCATGGCGCGCCGCCGATCAAGCTTGTCTCTGCCCCGCGATAGGTGGCAGTCCAGCCCCGCCGACGATACCCTTGCCTCGGCTTCCCCGATAAGACTAGCCGCGCCCGTGACACACCACTCCACACCTCAACAAAAGCCACAGCAGCGGCGACGACGACCATCATTTGGAAATAATAACTAGGTACCTACCTATCCATTGTCATTGAAGCGCCTACGTACGTTAGGTCATTCGGCCTATCTTTCTTATTATCTGCTCGTATCTACCCCGTCAACCCCGCCTCCACCGCCCGGATCTGCAGCGCCAGAAACCGGGAATAAATACGGCACAAGGCCAAATTGCCGCCCATGAACCACAGCCCAGGATGCCCGCTGGGGCGCCACATGGCGTTGACCTCGCCCTCGGCATCCAGATCCCACACGTCGCGGCAGCGCGCCGCCTGCTCGGGCCCGAGCGCCTTCTCGACGCTGGTGCGCATGTTGTCGTAGCCCGTGGCCAACACCACGACGTCGGCGGGGAGGCGGCGTCCATCAGCCAGCACCAGCGCGTCTCGCTCGAAGCCGCTGATGCCGCCGGGGCTGCGCGCCAGCTTGATCTTGCCTTCGGCTATCAGCCGGCTCGCGCCCACGTCGATGTAGTACCCGCCGCCGCGCGTTATGTACTTGCGCCATAGCCCGCTGCCGGCCGGCCCGAAGTCGATTTCGAAGCCGGCTTTCTGCAGCCCGGCAAGGTTCTCGGCTTCGATTTCCGAGACCGCATTGGTGAAGTTGACGTGCAGCGCGAACTGCACCGCCATTGGCAAGCTCTGCCCGTAGATGTCGGCCTCATCGGTCGGCGGGCCTCCGTCCTCGTACATGCCCTTGTGGATCATCATGAGGCCCTTGGACGACTGGATCACGTACGTCCCGCTGCGTTGCACCATCGTCACGTCCGCGCCGTTCTCGACGTAGTTCTGCGCGATGTCGTGGCCGCTGTTGCCCGTGCCGACAACTACTACCCGCTTGCCGCGCAGGTCCTCGCTTGTTGCCGACGCGTCCTTGTGCTTGCTGCCGTGGTACACTGTCCCGGCGAACTCTGCCTGGCCCGGGAAACTGGGGACTTTGGGCTCGCCCGAGTGCCCTGTGCAGAAGACGATGTGCCGCGGCTTGAGCGTGCGCGTGCTGCCATCGCCGCGCGTGATGGTGGCTGTCCATGTGTGTGTCGCGTCGTCGTAGGACGCCGAGGTGATCTTGCTCGACATCCATACATTGAGGTCGAGCAGTGTGGCGTAGGCTTCAAACCAGTCTGCGAGCTTGTCCTTGGGCGTGAAGAACGGCCATGTGCAGGGGAATGGCATGTAAGCCATATGGCTATAATGCACCGGATCGTGCGTTACGAGCGTCTGGATACAGTTACTATTTGCTGTATCTTCAAAGAGTAGGCTTAGAGAGGTTACTTACCCTGTATCTGTTCCGCCAATTATCTCCGAGGCGCTCGTTCTTGTCGATAAGCAGGCATGACAACCCCATAGCTTGAAGCCTGGCGCTAAGGTTGAGTCCAGATTGGCCTGGCATATCCCGTTAGCACTGACATTTATAGAGCACTGTATTCACTTACCAGCACCAACACAAATAACCGCTGGTTCCTCGTCCAGGAATTCCATTTTTCTCTGCTTTCTCTCGGCCCAGTTCCCCTTGACGGTACCGCCCTCTAGGGAGTTGTTCCCTCCATGCGGCCTCCTCTGTCCGATTTGTTCTTCGTATCCCTTGATTTCCTGGAGCGCCGTGTAGAGCATATACGCCTTCCAGGCACGGTCTTCGCCCTGTACGAGACGCAGCACACCCTTTCCGCGACCAAAAGCCGTCTCAAAAGTAAACATGCTCTCAATCCACTCCAGCCCCTCAACAGGCTCTGCCTGCGACGGCGCAAACTTGCCGCTAGACGTAAGATTCAGGCCCGCGAGGGCGAAGCGGGGCTGCTGCGCAGCGAGGAAAGGGCTGACATCGCCGATGCCGTGCAAAGTGCGCAAGTCCCAGCTCAGCGCGCAGTGGTCTCTGAACCAGCAGTCGCTGTGCAAGACGCGCGGCAGGCCGGACGCCAAGTCATTGCCGGCGAGGACGGCATTGAACGTAGCGACCCACTCCGCGGCGATGTCTGTGGGCGACGAGGGCGTCGCTGCCGCAGCCGGCTTGGAGAGGACGGGCTGCTGCGGCTTGGAGAAGGTGGGGAGCTTGATGGTGTGGACGGAGTCGGTTGCGAGCATGGCGACGACTACGACGACGACAGTTAAAGAATAGAGAAGGGACGAGGGAGGTTGGGGTGAGAAAGAGGCGACGCTGGGCGCGTGTCGAAAGGTACTTATAGCCCGAGTCGCGAGGGAGGGGGCGGTGGTACAGGAAAGGGGAGTGGCTCCTTCCAATTGATCTTCCAGCGCGCAGGCGCCTCAACTGACGGCGTAGGGCGCGCCTTCCAACCAGGTGACAAGACACAGGTGGCACGACAGCGGTGCGCGTTGTTGGGAAGGTTAGGTGGGTGGGTGGGCGAGGCGGCGTTTTTCGAGTGAGTGATCGCGTCGCGTTTTTTTTTTTTTGGCTCTCTGCCCCTCCTCTCCCGTCTTGCCGCTCTTCAACATGGCAGCTTGGCCGGCCCGTTGGCAACTTGGCCGTTGGCCGTGTCTTTTCCCCGCCGTAACCCGACTCGCGCGCTGTGGGGAAGGAACGCGGAGAGCGTGTCGGCTAACCTGCCCGTTTGCGTCATCACCCCGCATTTGGACACTTCAGCTCGGCATCATCTAGCCCGCCGTTTCACCTTCCTTGGGCTCTTTTGCGTGCGGCCTGATGAGGTGTATGGCTGTTGTGTGCGCGTGCGAGCTGTGGTCCTACCAATTATTCAGCTTCGCTGTCTGCGGAGCAGCCTCCGCCGCTAGAGAACGAGCAGGCGCAATCGCAGACAACAATCAACACAGCTCGCTCATGGTGGATATTTCTCTGGACAATAGGTAGACTTATTGATTTCCAAAATCTCGAGCTGCGGAAAGCTGCCTGCTCTGCGAACTGGTGGCTGGGTACGTGTGTATTTCCAGAGAACTCACCCCGCGGCGGAGTTGCCTGATCAAGCAATTCCGGGAGCTCAAGTCAAGGCCCAGCGACGGCCTTCCCTCCGTTCCACACACTGCCCCTCCTCCTCCTCGCGACCACGGACGAAGGGAGTGCTTATGTACTTGAATTTAGTCCGCAGAGCGTAGGTTCCACTACATACCCCCCCTGGCGGATCCTGTGAACGCTCATGTGCGGTGTTGATCGCCTAGTTGCCTCCATTTATCTTCATACTTGACTCGTCTGCAATCTTGCTGATCGTTACTGCTATGGTTCATACCGTGGCAGACGCTGGAGCGCGTGGTCATGTGGTGGGTTCGCGTGGGTTGTGGATTTGTTAGATGGCGGCGTTGTATGAGTGTTGGATACTTGTAGGAAGAATCATGAAGGAGCTACGGAATTATAAATGGGAAACGATGTTGGACATAACAGACAAGTGATTCCCATTCCAGTAAAAGATCTCTGAAAGCTAAAAAAGCCAGGATTCCGTTTAGCACTTACGGGTACTACGGTCGGAGAGGAAGATGTTGATACCCTCATGAGCGATGTGATCAGCTATGAACGCAAGCTCTGGGTCTACGTAAGAAGCAATCCATAGGGAGCGTTCTCCTCTACTTACATGATCATGTAGGGATGCGTCATTGCAGTATCTTCAACATCTAAATCCAAAGAGATGAGACACACTTTCGTTACTTAAGGAGTATCTCACTACGAGGATACGAATGATAGCATTTTCCCCTCCGACAGTAGTAGCATACTCTGACAGACTAACAGCTACTACTTCTTCAGTTTTGCTCCAAGACCTGCATGATACCGTCATCAATTTATGTGTATATTTCAGATTCTCATCAAAGCTGCCGTTTTGTATGCTCCTCCTATTTCCCTTGATAATACCCGAGTTCTTCTTGGTGGCATTATATTATACTATTTCTCTGGCGAAACAGGGCAGAGCTTTTGCTCTATCCCCGGCAATTCCAAACTTCATACGAAAAGGAAATACAAAAATGATCCACAGGACTGCTCTCTACAAAACTATTGGTTGATCCATGCCGCCGAGTCACAATTTCTTTCATCTCTGATAATAAATTCATTCGAAGATTTCTGTGTCAAGTATCTAAAGCACTGGCCAGGGAAATCATTGTTCTTAAATGTATTCCTCCAACACACAGCATTGCATGGGCTACTCGTGCCATCTGCGATCTCCGTCTTGTTCTTGGTATTGAACGCCGCACACAGCTGTATGCAGTCGTTGAGGGACTGTGTCTGCTGATTCACGCTGTTCACGCCGGTGCCATATATGCTGTTGAGATAGCTCTTGCCGCAAATTTTCAGGAAAGACATAGGCTTCGAGGATCCATATGAGATGTTGTAGACAGTGTTGTTCGAAGAAGGACAGTCGCTGAGTAGGGTAGTTGTAGGACCGGGAACCTCAGTAATGGTCACTGAAGCGATGATTGAGTCCGAAGACGCGGTGATTAGGTTCGTGGAAGGCGATGACCCAGAGCTCGTGGACACCGATTGCGCTGCGGATGGCTCCTCCTTCTTGTGCCTGAGGGCTCCTCCTATTCCTCCGCCCACTGCTGCCCCAATCACCACCACTGCAACAATAGTACTTATGATCCAGAATGTCTTAGGCGCGCATCCGCATATCTTACGACGACGGGGCCTCTCTTCCTCGCCTTCAGCGCGTATTTTTCCGGTGTCGATGTTCGAGTTTAGCGGGGAAATAGTCGCTCTGTCTGGATGTACAGGCTGAAGGCCCTCGTGGGGAAGGCGGGAAGGCGCCACCTCTGGGAGGTCGGATAAGGCTGGTTCCGCCGCAGTGCTCATAGTTTTAAGGGCTCTTTGTCAAGGTAGGCGACAAACCGACACAAACAAACAATCGTCGATTGTACCGGAATGGTGGAGCGAACAGTGAGAAGGCTATGACAAGTGGCATTTCACCACCCCCTTTGGCTATTTTCACCATCCCACGTGATACCTAGCTACACGGAGTAACCGCTAGTACACTTACACTATAACAGTCGCACAAGAGTATCCACTAGCAACAGTAATAAGGAAAATTACTTCCGCTAGTTAGTAGCAACAGTATAAAGAACGTGCGAAGAACACGCAAATAGCGAGCGAAGAGACAAGTAAAGAGACACGCAAAGAGAAACACGCGAAGGGACACGCGAAAAGACGCGTATAGTTTCTATTAGGTAACATAAATACTTAAGCGGGCAGGCGGTAGAAGAGGGTGGTGAAAATAGCTAGAGGGGGTGGTGAAATTATCCTTCGCCATGACAAGTAGATGATGAGCATCAGGCAAATAAGCGCCTACATATATTGCCCTCAGGCAACAAGCGCCCACATTCATGGGCATATACTCATGTATGTACCACAGCTAGCTGCAGGGCTTATGGATTGTATACCCGCTAGACCTTTTTAGTTGTTTGTGCATGCAATATGGTCACCTTCTTAATTGGGCAGGCATTAGCAGCATTTAGTAGCAACATAGAAAATTGTTACTGGAAGCTAAAAGAAGAGAACAAGTATCTGTGTAGCGCTTTGTTGCCGAAGAAATTCCAATTTACCAGGCCGTTAATCCGCAGCTAACCCACTATCAACACTGAATCTCGATTGTTCATGATAGCGAAACGATGAAATTAACTACGATTAACGGTTTACGACTGCATCAACAACTGCGTATAGTATGGTAGATGCTTCCTAGAGTGTAGCATAACATAGTGCAATGCTATGTATCTATAACCCAAACTCAATAGGTACTATTTCCGAAAAAGGTAACCGTTGTTATGGAACTTCCAACATGGCAAGAAAGACGTCGAATATGCAACCAACAAGATGCAGAACGCAAAGCTCGGACAGGTAAAGGCACGGAGAGCGTGTGCCTAATCTCCAATCAAACAATCAGATCAGTGTCGTCATAGAACGTGAAACAAGCAGCCCAGTGACGCGGGGAGACGTGGCGCAAGAGAACTGTATAATAGCATATACATAGGGCCGGCTGTACAAATTAAGCCACACCTTATAGGGCCTAACTTCGAAAAGGGTAACCATATCTCTTGGAACTTCGAACGTAGCAGCAAAATCTCGAATTTGCTAGCCAATGGCGCGTCGAGAGCAAAGCTCGGGCGCTTCTACCACATTTTGGTAGAGGACCGTGTGTGCGGGCGGGGATGGCTGTGGTGGGGGGAGTGAGTGAGTGCGAGTGAGTGGTGACTGCTATTTTGGGACTGGGCGGGCGGAAAGTGGGCCTTCCGGTTTTGAGGTTGTAGAAAACTTACAATAACCTGAACCTTCCTCTTTCAACATCCATGACGTTTACTACTGTCCTCCTTAGGTAATTTGGCTCCTACCCGTCGAGTACAACCACGATACAGCAACTGCTCCACGACACATCAAACCAGCATGCCAGCATGCCAGCACGCAGTCATTTTCCAAGCCGCCATCACTCATCACCCGAAAAGACAGCGCCTCTCAGCGACACTGACAACAACCCAAAAGAAGAAAGAACAAACTGACAGCAACCACGTACCACAATACACACACCAACGTCCCTCAAGCCCTCCACATCCATCCACATCCCCAGGCTAGATCCTTCTCCAACCCACATCCAAACATGCCCTTCGATTTAAACGCCCTCGTATACGGCGGCATGGTCCTGCTCCTAGGCGCCCAGCTCGAGCTCATTCACTATCAATTCCTCGGGTTTTTTGAAGACTTTGCACCGATTCTGTTTTACGGTGCCCCCGGCGCTCTCGCCTTGTTCGTCATGTGGCTACACGAAGGCCCCCATATTTGGTGAACGGGTTGTAGTTGTTCCTCTAGGAAGTCCAGTAAGAGAGAGATGCAACTGGTCAAAGGGATCACAACAATAACAACGACGGAGAGATTCAAGTTTGGAGAATGACAGCCATGGCTACAGTGGCCTATTCGACCAGCAAAAGCCACGTTATAATGGACAGAAAGAGGCGAAAGGAAAGGGGAACGACACGGCTCTTCGCAAGATATCTTCATCCTTGGAAAAGTTAAACCAGGCTCAGGTGCCAAATCAAGGTACCATACTTTACCGCGCAGTTGCATACTATTAGCTACAGCAACTAGCCATTAGGGACCATCCTTGCGCGTCCATCCCAAAGAAAGTGGATGCGACCAAGCAAGTTCATTTTACCCAAGCACGGTCTACAACTCGCCTTGGTATCATTCCCTATCCAAACTCCCAACAAACACATCTATTTCTTCTTCTTCGTCTTATCCGTAATATCGACCCACCCCTTCGGCACGCCCCTCTTCTCTAACGCCTTAAGCACGGCATCCTTCTGCGGGCCTTGCACCATAATCTCCATGACGGGATTCTTGGGGCTACTACCAACAAGCTTCTCGACGCTCGTCGAGCTCGCGCACGTCTTGCGCAGCTCATCGGCCAGCGCCTGCGGGTGGATGAAGTACGCCTCGACGCCGCTGGCCTTGGTGACCGTCTTGTTGCCCGACCGCGTCTCAAGCACGATGTGCACGCGCGGTGCGCCGCCCGAGCGCGGCTTCGCTGTCTCGATGCTCTCATCCTGCCGCAGGATCGCGTAGTAAGGTGCGCAGGACGCGAGGACCCGTTCGATCAGTGCGTCGCGGGGGATGGTGCCCTTAGCTAAGACTTCCTTGTCGTTGCGCCCGGTACCATCGAAGACAGCGTTCGCGAGGATCGGGTTCAACGTTACCATGCGTTTGTTGGTGGGCGAGATGAGGTTTTCGCCCTCGATGTAGCTCGTCACGATCGGACGGATTTCTTGGGCTGTGTAGAGCCCGCGGGGGTCGGCGCTCCCGGTGCTGAAGACGGGAGACAGCTTTTCCTTGGGCTTGAAGAGCTCGACTTTCTTCAGCTTCTGTCCGACTGATGCGTCGCCGCCCTCGCTAGTGGTTGTCGCCTTGCCCCCGCGGCCCTGACTAGTTCCTGCTGCGGTCTCCTTCTTTGGTAGACGGTATGGCTTGAAATCCTTGAATGTCTGGTCCTCAAAGTCAATGTCTAGGATGACAACCTCGTTGCCGTCGCGGTCTTTGGATTTGATGAGCCGTGACTTATCCAAGGACTTGATGAACTTCTTGATGTTCTTGAACGAGGTCTTTTTGATCTGGAGAGAAGCGCTCTGCGCAGGAGTAAAAGCAGGAAGGAACGGTTGAACAAGATTGGCCATGACATGAGACTGAGAGAGAGGGAAGGAGAGACCGTAGTTGGGGAGAGACTTGTTGGTTTCCTTGTGATGGTAAACGCCGTAAATGAACGCCTTCCGGAAAGCCTCGTCAACCTCTGCGCGCGTGATATTAGTCGATATCTCACAGAAAGCTGCAGTTGGGAGCTTGCTATACCTTTGGTCGTCAATTCTCTGTCATCCTCATGCGCCGCCACCTCTTCTACTGGTGGCTCTTCACCATCCAATCCTTCAGCCGGCTGGTGTTCATCAGCCGGACCCGACTCTAGAGTCACGCCACCAGCGCCTTCTCCCTCCTCATCATCCTCGAGGTCGGCGGCCTCCAGTTTGGCCTGGAGCTCCTCTAGACCTTCCTTGGAGTACCATCCCTCAAGTTCAGGGGGAGGCGCCGCGCCGGGGTTCCCCGAAGTACTCCAGGACCACAACTCATCCTGGTACCAATGTTCCGTCCGCACGGCATGGCCCCTAGCGCCACGAACCTCTTTCAAGGCGCTGACATCTATTTCGCACGTCCCCACTGCCACTGGCACCGTCGGCGACTCCAAACTGGCTATCGCAACAATTGCGCCTTTCTTGGCCTTCTCGGGGAAAGGCGGGCCGTTTTGGAGGCCTGGTGTCATAAGATCCGCGCCGCCTTGTAACTTCTCCACAACGAAGGATGGAGTGTGTAGCAAGGGTAGCATGCCTGGATTGCGCCACAAAGTGTATACGGTCGGGTACATCTTGTCCTCGAGCTTGAACCAGAGTATGCGCAGCTCCTCTCCGGGGTGAGCGCCGACGTAGACGGTGCCCGAGACTTTGCGCAGGTCCGAGCCGGCGGTGGTGGTGAATCGCGCCGAGTTTGCATTGTCGGGCAGCAGTGAGTTCCTCAGAGCCGTGAGGCCTGCCGTAGCAGCAGCCTTGTCCTCGGGATCGGCGGCATTGTTGACGGGGACCTCCAAGGCCAGTTGCGATATGATGGCGTCGGCAGTCTTGCGGCGATCGGACGAGCGAAGCGGGGCAAGCGGCTTGATCTGGGGGACGGGTCAGCAGCGCAATTAGTTAGGGCAGCTCCAGAACGTACCTGGGGCTTCTTCTTGAACATTTTGGTGGATGTGGTGGTGGGGTGTTGCGAAAGATTCTGTGCGCGGCGTTGGCGGAAGAGCAGCTTGAGTCAGGTTGGCGATGACGTTTACGAAGGTGGAGGGGTACACATGCAGGGGCCCGCGTCCGGGGAGCTGCAGCAGCAATCCATTGCACACCAAGCCAACCTCTGCTAGGATTCGCGTTCTTCGGTTCTGTTTTTCCGTGCTCTGCCAATGCTTCACCTCGGAAGTTTGGCCCTCGAAACCCCTCTCCCGTCTTTAGTGACATAGTGTTTTTGGATACGTCACTAAGCAATGCGACGCGGGGTGACCCACCGTTTAAAGCTTGGGAACATGGCGACGGTACCGATCTTTGTCCTCGTCCTTCCTCCATACCTTCGCAGGCATCATGGCGGACCAAAAGAGCAAGGCTAGGCTACGGCTGATCCAGATCATGGACTTCCTGACCATGAACAAGACGGCCACGACAATCCCATGGGATCCCGACTCGACCAAATTCCCGACAAGATCAGAGCTCCCCAAAATCCCAGGGGCTCCCGACGGAGCTGCGTGGGTATGGGGAGAGAACGACTACATCGGCCGCCTGAACCTCTTGACACCCACGCGCATCTTCGCAGCCTCCAAGGAAATCAAGACGGGCGAGATTGTGCCCATGAATCTTCCGTTGAACGTGCCGGAAGTCCCAGCGTTTCACCGCCAACCCTTCAAGCACGAAATCACGCCGCTTGCGGTCAATCTCGCCTACGACGACCTATACTCCCTCAACACGCAGAGCGGAACGCAATGGGATGGCTTCCGACACATGTCCTGGGTCGCGACCGGGACCTTTTACAACAACACCAAGGGCGACGACATCACAGGCCCAAGCGCGAACTACAAATGTTCCATTCACCACTGGGCAGAGCACGGCATCGCGGGACGGGGCGTCCTGCTCGACTACCGCGGCTACGCGCACAAAAAGGGCATCAAATACGACCCGTACGAATACTATCCCATCAGCTATGAGGTGCGAGTCTTGACTCCAGACTGAAGGCAGTATACTGATTTCAAAAGGAGCTGTACCAATGCGGCAAAGACCAAGGCATCGACATCCGGCCAGCGGCTGTGGGCGGCGACATCATGATCGGAGACATCCTCTTCGTGCGAAGCGGCTTCGTGGAATCGTACAACATGCGGTCGCCGAGCGAGCGGAATGCTCTGGCGAGAAGGAAGCACGATTTCGGCGTCAACGATGGCCAGAGGTGGGCCGGATTAAGTCAAGAAGAGAGAATGATCGATTGGCTCCACGACTGCTACTTTGCAGCTGTAGGCGGCGATGCGCCTGCGTTTGAGGCATGGCCGTCCCATGAGGGTAAGTCTGGCCGACATGCTGGAGGCGCGGGAGCTGACCACCAAACAGCACATTACCTCCACGAATACATATTGGCATTATGGGGTATGCCGATAGGAGAGATGCTTGATCTAGAGAAGTTGGCACAAAAATGCAGGGAGCGGAACAGATGGACGTTTTTCTTCACCAGCTCTCCAGCAAATTGTCCAGGTAAGTTTCGATGCCCAGCACAACCCGTTTCTTTGCTAATGCCTCGCAGGCGGTGTAAGTACACATGTCAACGGGCAAGCTATCCTGTAAGTTACGGTTTTGTACAGCGCGACAAGCAGGAGGCTCTGTTTTCTGCCAGGAGGGTGCAGTGTCATCTCATCACAGTTTTCAAAGCATATTCAAATGATACTCAGCTCAGCATAGCTGCTTTCTTGCTATCCAACAGCCTTCCAAAACACACAGAATATAAACCTTTCTCTCTCACCTCTTACCATCAACAACAACAACATCCGTTGTGGTCTAGTGGCTAGGATTTGCCGCTCTCATCACAAGAGCAAAAACACTCTAACAGGTGCCGGCAAGGCCGGGGTTCGATTCCCCGCAACGGAATATCCTTTTGCTGCCGTGCACAATGGCGTGCTTTTGGTGTTGCGAGCTTTTTTTTTTTTGGTTGCTGTTGGGATTGGTTGTGGAGAAAAGCCGACGAAAAAACACCGCGGCCACGCCAAGCGAGATGCCTCGGCTCTTTTTTATTTTTGGACCACGAGACTCCCAGGGCTCTTCGGTGTAGAGACCGAGGTGTTCCGTACGCTAGCAATGTGTTGGTATCAAGATGCTCTGAAGGATAAGACGGCCAATCAAAAATTATTGTAAAGGGCGAGTCTAAAAGTGTTGCAGGGGTGACGATGTCCATGGTTTATATGTCCTTTGTGGGATACTTATCTGGCTACGGACTTCGGCTTTAGATGCAGCTAGAAGCAAACCATAGAGAGTAGGTCATCTAGTTACAAAGGTATGTAGTGCTATTAAATTTTTCGAAAATCTGAAAATTCAGTGCGACTTATAATTAAAACACCCCTGTTTCTGCGAAAAATCGTCCGCTATGGGGAAAAAAGTAGCAATGTAGTGCTTGAATATATGTGAATTCGAGGCGATCTGGCTTACACTCGCTTTTATAAGATATTACTTGCTGCAGGGATATACCATACCACCGCATCTGAAAGATATCATTCAGCGTGGGGATATGAATAACATCGTAGCGTATGCGAATTTTCCTCCACAGAGCCCCGCGGCTGGCTGCTACTGTTAACATGAACACGAAATGTCTTTTCATAAGATTCATACTCGCACATCTGATCACAATTTCCTCAAGACCCATCAAGCCAACAAGTACCAACAAATTCATTGATTCATGGACAACAACTCCACCCAACCATCCATGCATGCACCCAACCAACCCAACCCTCCCCAATCCCAGCCCTCGCGAACCATATGACCCAGCCCCCAAACCACGCACATCCAGTGATATCCTACAAAAAATCATCCGAAAGCAGTAGAAAAGTAGCAGAAAAGAAGTAGACGAGGAAGAAGAGAAGAAGAAAGAAGCATAAAACATCGAGACCAAATAAAAATCATGCGTACCCAAGGCGTCTCCCCACGCCGTGTTTGCTTCGACGCCTTGCTCAAACGGAACCACCAAATCGCCAGAACAAAGACAACAGAAAACATATTAAAAACAAAGATCCGAAATCACACTCCCAAGCGCCGGCGCCTCCCTGTTTCCTGTTCCCTAGCGTGTACGTGCGCCTGTGTGCAAATGGATGTGTCCGCGCCTGCGCGGCAGCGTTCTTTCTCTGCGGCTGGCCTAGTCGTCAAGCAACGTGCTTGAACTGACACGCTGGTGTAGGCTCCGCGCTTCAGTAGAAGCCCCCATCGCCCGCGACGCGGGTCTCTAGGTGCTGGCGGGTGCATGATGATGACAGTGAGTGAATCCACGCTTCTCTTCGCCACTTCAACACGCGTTCTGGTCCTTTGCGTCCAGAAGGCGGTCGATACTAGCCGTGAGCTCCGCGACCCTAAACGGCTTGGACACGACGTCGTCCATGCCCGCCTCCAGGGCCGTGTTGACCTGCTCGATGCGCGCGTTCGCTGTGATGGCAATGACGTTGACCGAGCTGATCAGCTTGCCCTCCTTCTCCATCTCGCGGATCGAGCGCACGCACGTCAGCCCGTCCATAACCGGCATTTCGACGTCCATCAGGACCACTGTGAGGTTCTGCCCGCGGGGGTTGTCGTGCCACCACCGCGTCCTCATCAGGAATTCGATGGCTTCGCCGCCATGGTTTGCTATGCTGACCGTGTGGCCTAGCTTCACAAGTCCTTTTGACATCACTTGCTGGTTGATTTTGTTGTCTTCAACAATAAGGATGTCGAATGTCCGTGGAGATGGCAGCGAGGTGTTCGGTGTTGATACCGACAGCTGCGTCGATACCGATGCTGGAGATTCCGAACGGGCTTCGTCGTACAGGCTCGGTGCGTTGAGGTCCAGGCGACGGATCTGCGGTTGTTCGAAGGTCTGCTCGATATTTTGCGACTGATGTAGCGCAGTGGATTCGGGTGGTAGTGAGTGTCTATGCGGCAGCTCGACGCTCATCTTTGGTATAACCCGGCGCACCTTGACATAAAAGGCAAAGGTCGACCCCTTGCCGGCTTCTGACTCTACGCCTATAGAACCTCCTTGCAGTTCGCAGAGTTCACGGCAGATGAAGAGGCCAAGTCCCGACCCACCATAGTGGACCATTGTCCTAGGAGCTTGCGAGAAGCGCATGAACAGAAGTTTCTTCTCATCGACAGTAAGACCGCATCCCGTGTCTTTCACAGAGAAGTGTATGTAAAACTGCTCGCCTTCGCCCCAGTCCTTAGTCCTCAAAGTCAAATCTTCTCGAGGTTTACGGAAGTCCAAGTACTGTATGCCTTCTGGGCTTTCTTTTGGTCGCTCTTTCGATGCGCTCAACCTGACGGTGATCTGGCGTTTTGCCTCGTACTGCGTGAATTTGATGCTGTTTGTGACAAGATTGATAAGGATTTGCTGCAGGCGCATCGAGTCAAGTAATACCCAATCGACGTTGAGGTTCTTGAATGAATCGTCAATGATTGTGTTTGACGATATATTTGCAGCGTTGAGTTCTCCGCCAAACATTTTCTTGAGGTCTTTGACTAGAGAAGTAGGCTGCATTTCGACAGGAATGATAGTGAAAAGGCCGGAATCTAGTTTGGAGATAGTCAAGACGTCGTCGATTATACGCCTTTGGTGTTGTGCACAATGCAGTACAGTTTTTGCGGCGTCAATGCTGCTGTCAACCTGGCCCAGGAAATCTGGGGCTGTTCTATCCAGCGCACGTAGTGAGGTGATGATGTCGTCAGCAGATATCATGATGGCGCTCAGAGGGTTGCGCATCTCGTGAGATGTAACATCGATGAAGTTCTCCTGTTGCCTCTTAGCTTCCAACGCGTCCTCCATCCTCTTCTTCTGGATACCTTCAGCCCAGCGCACGGCAGTCACATCGGTTACTGAGCCGACGATAGACCTTAGCCACCCATCCTCCGTAACGACGGAAAAGGCGTAGCAAAGTATCCAGGTGAAAGGGTAGTCATCATCCACCGGACTCGGTTTCCGGAAAGACCTTGGCACACGGAATTCAAAGCTTATTTCCGTTTTTGACTCGATGAGCATTTTCCAGGCCCTTTGAACACTGGGAACATCTTCCGGATGCATTCGCTGCCACAATGGCGACTTCCATGACGCGGTATCTTCCCTCGAATCGCCAGTAAGCTCATACCATTTCTCGTTCCGGTACCTGTATGATCCAGCCATATTTTCAGGTGTAAATTCTATGACGAAGATTCCGGTAGGAACGGCATCAGCGAAATGCTTCAGCTGCAGTTCGCTTTGTTCAAGCTCCCTGGTCCGATCGCGAAGTTGCTCTTCGACCTTTTCCTGGTCAAAAGCGGCCTGTTCAGCAATTGTACGGCCGCGCCTCGTCTCTTCCTCTAGAAGAAGAACGGATGCCATTGAAGTAGTGACTTGACGTCTGATGAGTCTAATAAACGTCCGGTAATCTTCATCATACGGTCTATGGGAGTTCAAGCCTATGACCAAGAAACCCAGCGTCGTATTCCGGGTCGAGCAGTGTCCAGTGGTTGGGCGTATGGCACAGATTACAACAGAATTGCAGGGTTCATTCCAGATTGGGGAATCTATGCCGTGGATCAATACAGCCGGCAACCGGCCGTTCTCCAGACTTAGCAATATCGGTTCCTCGGATTCTGCAGCTTCTTTGAAAAATGGCGTAAAACCTTCTCGGCCCAATGAAATATCGATCCTAGTCGCTAAGGCTGGATGACCCTCCGGCACACCCGTGCTTCCCTCGAGCTCGAAGCGCCTCGTAGTGGTAACATTATGTCCAGAGAGTCCAAAACTCAGATGGTCGCTGACGGAGTACAGAATGGTGAATGGTACATCATGCTGATTCGTGTCGAGCCCTCGAATAACGTGTTGCCAGAAGCTTTTGGTGTCTTGAGATCTAGACAGTAATTCGCCAAAGCTGAGAAGGGAGGACATCCTTCTCTCGGTGATCTTTTGGTTCGTCGTTTCGAATACTGTCTCGTACCAGGCTACGATTTTGTCTTCGATCATGATAGGCGTAAAACTGAATGAGTAGTAGGTCTCCTCTTGTATTCCCTTGCCTCTGTTCAAAAACAGAAGCATGTTCTCAACCATTGCACCTGTACCAGTCTCTTCGCAGCTCCGGAAAAAAGGCTGGAAACCGTCCCAAGCCTCGGCAAAACCGACCCAGGGTGGAGATCCCAGCAAACTGGGATGCTTGTCACCAACCAGGGGAGGATACGCATCGTTGTAGATCATATTTAGGTCTGGGCCCCAGAACAAAATGGCAGGGTTCGGACAGACCATAACAAAGTTACACAAAAATCGAAGCAGTGGTGACCAATTTTCCATGGGCCCTAATGGGGTAGACGCCCAATCTACATTCCTAGCAAGTTGAATATGCGACGAGATGTTGGGCGGAGGTGGCGTCAAGGTCCAGTCATATCGCGGAACGTTGGCAATAGGACACTGTATATACGAAGTGCTAGTGCCTGGCACGGCTGGAACTGGGCTCACTGGAGGCGGATTGCTTTGCCGCCTATCCAGATTGGGCATACCATCTTGTCTGCCAAACTGTTAGTTAATGTCTGAAGTTACATTCTCTACGGTCTGATGACAACACAACGAGACTCGAATGAAAAAGGGATATGATGACTATGCCATCGCGAAGCTTCGGCAAGAGTGATGAGGCTCTATGCGTTCTGTCGGTATGCAGTGACTCTTGCAGATAATACGAAAAGCTTTGGAGGCCAGTTCATGTGCATGTCTTATGCTCATGACCATAGTGGATCTGCGGGAAGGAATGTGGCGAAGTACGAGGCGCGTGGAGACATTTGAAGCGGGGACAAAAGGCTGTGCACAGATGGACTGGATGTGCTTTTTGAAGGAGGATCGCATGATCTGCAGATCAAGCAAGAGTGGGGAAAGGAAACCGAACGTACCCATTGTTTTCCTCGACGCACGTTTTACCGTTTGCCCAATGCAAACTGGAATATGACCCAGGAGCATCCACTCCATGTCGAGTGGGCACGCCATGAACAATCTTCCACCGTTGTCGAAGGGTTGATATGCCCCATTTGTATCCTCCGTATGAAATCGAAGGCGATATTTTCCTCAGCCCACGCTCCCGCGTCCCATGGTCCAGTATCCATGACCTGAATAGCGAGTAAGTGACCCACGCGGGATGATCGTGAGGGTCCGTATTCTCCACTCCTGCCACAATAGCCAGCAGCTTTGAGGACTCTCGCAGAAACTGGTTCTGGTATACTATCGGCAACGGCTGCTCAGCGGCTTTGGTGGTGGCTGGGGGCGTGCTCGCGTCTGGAACCGCTGCGCAAAGGTCGACGACGAAAGTGGGTTTCTGGTCGAGGTCCAGGTATTCGGTGAGCGGAACGTCGCTGAACATGTCGGTGGGCCTAGCACATGATAAACCTGCGCCTGCTTCGTCTTTGGGTGAGCCGTGGCCAAAGACGGAGTACCATTGGTCCCTCTCCTCCTTGTCGCTCTGCTGCGGCCTCTGGGCGTCATCCCTACTCCAAATCGAGGCCAACATAGCTTCCTGGCCCGGGTGGGCAGCTTAAGGCGGGGTCAATGCTACGATCCGAGGCAGACGGACTGGGGCAACGGATCGTACGATGGGTCCTTGGAAATAGGTGCGGCAGTCTAGAATTGGCGGGCGAGCGGGAGGAAGAATAAGGTAAACCGTGGCGGCGGCAGGCTGCGGGAGCGGGTACAGGGCGAGAAAGAGGGGTGGCGCAGGGCGAGAAAGCAGGAACAGCGGGAGTGGACGAGTTTTTGGGGACGGAACGACGGGTATAGCACGGGCAAGATCGCGGGACACGGATGCGGTGGTCTTGCGAGACGATCCGATCGCACCTATCGATCGCCGATGCGCAACAGTCATGAGCGCTCCTCGTCATGGACCCCGAGCGTTGCGGGCAAATTGTTTGCCTGCCGCCAAGGCGTGGCCTGAGGGCGTCCCTGCGCCATACCAAACCTGCTTCTATCATCGTCGTCACTCGGAGTCGGAGAGCCCCCCGCGCAGATCATGGCACGCTCAAATGTCCAATTGGTGCTTCTTGGGCTCCATCGCTCTTTTGCTGCGGGTACACGATAGACTAGAGAGCGTTGGAGAAGCAAGAGACACGCTCTCGTTGCGCTAAAGTTTAACACGCCGCCGTCGCTTCCGTAAGGCTGACGAATCACTCGTTGCGCAATAGGGCAATGCAGTGCGTCTGTGCTGTGGCTGAAGACAGGGGTCACATCACCGCTCCCAACACCGTCTCCCTCAGCCGCTGCATCTCCTGCTCCTTTGCCCTCAGCTCTGCCTCCAACGCCCTGACCCGTTCCTCCAGGCTCTTCTCACTCCCTTCGTCTTTCGTCTCTCCATCCTGCCCCTCGCCCTCCGAGTTAAGAATCAACCCCTTCACCAAAAACTCTCCTCCACACCCTCCGAACAACAGACTCCAGCTCACGTCAAATACCTCTTTGATCTTCCTGCCATCTCCTGGCGTGCTTTCGCTTGCTCCGTCATCATCGTCATCGACTGGACTCTCGTACCCATCGTCGCTCATCCTGAACCTCTGCACCGAGATCTTTCTCGTCCCGCCAACAATCCCATTTCCCCCGAGCCCCAGAGGTGCAGCCAAACCAAGCCAGCTGGCGCATGTGATGCCAAAAATAGCCTCATCTTCTTCTCTGTTGTTGGCGACCGCTGATCTTGACGTACCCTGATTCTGCGCCTGTAGGCGATCCAGCAGTGCGTGGGCCAGCGCCTTTGCCTCGGAGCCGCGCAGCCGTTTACGATTGCTGATTTCAGCGCGAAGGAGCTCAGCAGCGAGAGAACGACGGAGATCTTCACGCGTAATCCTAGGAAGCATACTTCCTGCAGCTTTGGTGAGTTCATCAAAGATGCTTGTTGCGTTTCCTTGCGATGCACTATCGTCCGATTCGCCGTTGACAAGCACCGTCGGTGTCACGAGATGTACCGGACCACTCTCACGCCGGGGAACTTGTAACGAAAGACGCTGGCCGCGTCCCGGTCCAGAAGAGGCTGGAACAGTTGGCTGCGCTGATGCTGTTGACACAGCCGAAGCAGGGGTCGGTGGGAACCGGAACATTTGCTGTTCTCCGGTTACACCCGTTTCGGGCTGTGCGCGTTCCTGGACAGGGGTGGGGCCCGGGGTGTTGCGGCTCAAGTCGATAACCGGAGCTTCTTTGGTATTGGGATTTGCCGGAAAGGTTACGTAAGGCCCGTCACGAACAGAGCGGTTAGCTGGCGGCCGGCCGCGCAACTTTCCATTTGCTCCGCCGCTGCTGCTCGGCCAAGCTGAAGAGACAGCAGGACCGTGGCGCCGCCTTGCCCGGGGTCGAGTTGTTGAAGGCGTAACGGCAGACAGTGGCTCGTCAAAAGCCGAGTCCGGCGGACGTCCAGTCATGGGACTAACAGCAGACAGCGGATGCGGGCTGTTAGGATTATCCTGAGCATTTAGACGCCAACGGATATGTGCTCCTCCAGGTGCGGTCATGGCAGAATTAGGAGATAACCCTCTTTGCAAATTGCTCGGTGTGGATATCGTAGCGGTTGCCCAAGGATCATTGCTGACAAAATCATCCGGATGAGCACTCATTGGAAGCGCGCTATTCGGGCAAGCAGACTGTGGATTAGTCGAAGTGCTAAACGCAAACGACGTATCCAGATGGGGTCTCTTCGGTGGAGGGGTGGAATCGTCATCACCCATCACATCGTCCGTCTTCTTCCTGCCACGTTTGGGACGGTATGAGGGATCCAGTGCGCGGATTGCAAGATCCTCCTCCAAGGGAACACCATCCCGTCCATTCTTCGGGAAGGGATCATGTGGGGGAGGGATTTGAGTGCAATACCTTGGCATCTTTCCTGTAAGATATTCGAAAAAAGCATCAATGTGCATGGCACGCATCCATCGCTGCATGACGTTAGAGCCGGCCCTACTTTCCGGAGATGAAAAGCTATGGAAGCAACGTCGAGACCCGGTTAATCTCGTTCGTTAGGCATGATAGTGGAAATATGGAAACGAGGGCCTCTCTTGGGTTTCATAAAGCCTTTTGTCACACAGAACGATCCACGTTTTGAAGCGAGATCTGCTTCCTTGCAAGGCGACGCCAAGAGACAAGACCTGAAAATCCGATAAACGAGCTTGCACGTACCTTCAACCTGACACTGTACTGCTGTATCTTCTGGCTGCTCTGCCCTTTGGAGATATTTGGAGCCTCTACGCCCAATTCCAACGCGAGTTGGGTCCATGTCTTAACTTCTCCTCTCTCAAGCCTCGCTATAAGCTCGAACAGCTTCCAAGCATCGAACGTCTTATTGTCGCTCATTGGCAACTTCCTAAAGTTCCTTTTCAATTCCGAAGTGTCATGGTCCCTTGAAAAATTGGGATTGCAGTACAAGATGAAAGCCGCATAGGCATCAGCGAGAGTCTCGTCATCGACATCTCGTAGCGGCAAAGATCGATCGCCAGGCGCAAAGGAATAAGCAGCGCCATTGAAATGTGGAGAAGCATCTTGCGAAGGGGTGGCAGGCGTGACTGTGCTATGAGAGGTATCGGCGTAGAAGCTCAGTGTGCCACCTTCCTGTTGTGGCCGGTGGGGAGACGAGGAGGCGTGCAGGAAGCGGGCAGTACCCTGAGTGGGGCCCAAGGCCGGGTCGACCGGGGCCATCGAAGCATGCGGGTACTGATGGTACACGGGACTGCCAGAGCTCTGCTGGTGATACTGATGGGCGTGAGGAGAGAGATGCAGCGGACGTTGCGCCTGAGACGGCCCCTCTGCGCTAAAATCCATACTGCTTGGTACTCGTCTCCTAGTCGCGCCACAGCGGAGGTTGATTCACGACCTGCAAGCACGGACTGGTAGGCCGTGAGCCTCAACTATCAGCGGACCGTTGGCAGCAGGACATTCATGCTATCGTACGGAGGGCTCAAATCTCAACTGAGTGCGAGGCGGCGAGAGAAGCGGGCGAGGGACGAGGATGGTGGACAGGCAAATTAGGGAGGCTTTGCCCGTCTTAAGGGAGATTTGAGGCTATTTTCAGCACATTTGCGGTCCCTTAGCTTGAAACACATGCGCCACAAGCTAACCCCGATGCCGATGCCTCGGTGCACGTGACTACCCCATGCTCCTCCGCTGTGCCGAGGTTTGATGCATGTGCCTTCGTCATGATGCCTCTGTAAGCTCCGGGGTACACCACCATCTATCCCGAGTCTTTTTTCTTTTATATAGCTCTGCTGTCACGCCGAGCCCCTCTTTTTCCCTGCAAACCCTCTGTGCGCTTGACGCGCTGAATCCACACGTCACCGCAAAACCCTTTCACCATGTCGTCTGCGCAGGCACAGGACCTCAGGAAGGCCGAGGAGAGACACACTGCCAATCTACCCAGCACCGCGGCAGCTCAACAGAGCGACAATGTTGCTCATGCTTTGGCCGGTGCTGGTGGTGGGCTGCTGTCCATGGCTTTAACGTACGCTTCCTTTGACCCCGCCACTGGATAGCATCTTGCTAAGTTAGGCAGATATCCCTTGATTACCCTCTCCACCCGTGCTCAGGTCGAGTCCAAGCGCGCTCAATCCTCCGCCCTCGATGCTGTCCGCCACATCCTCAAGCGTGAGGGCGTTGCCGGCCTCTACGCCGGCTTAGAGTCCGCCCTGTTCGGCATCAGCGTGACGAACTTCGTATACTATTACTGTGCGTAGCAAGTCGCAAACAATCGCCCTCCTCTCCATAAAAGGCTGATAGTTCGCAAGGGTATGAGTGGACTCGTTCGGGTTTCGAACAGGCAGCGGTGCGGACCGGCCGCGCATCGAAGAAGCTCACGACCATCGAGTCGATGATTGCGGGCGCTATTGCGGGCAGTGCTACCGTCCTGCTCACCAACCCCATCTGGGTCGTCAACACTCGCATGACGGCTCGTAAGTCCGAATCAGAGGAGCAGGTCCTGCCTGGCTCAAAACCCGTGAAGAAGCCCTCAACCATCGGCACCCTCCTCGCCATCATCCGCAACGAAGGCTTTCTGCGTCTCTTTGCTGGTGTCATCCCCGCCCTCGTCCTCGTCATGAACCCCATCCTCCAATACACTATATTCGAGCAGCTGAAGAATGCATTGGAAAAGAGAAGGCGCGTAACACCCACGGACTCCTTCTACCTGGGCGCCTTTGGCAAGCTGCTGGCCACCAGCATCACATATCCCTACATTACGGTCAAGAGCCGTATGCACGTTGCTAGCAAGGAGGGCCCCAAGGACGACATGAGGACGAGTTTCCGTCGTATTATCAACGAGGAAGGCTGGGCCGGCCTCTATGGAGGTAGGCTCCTGTTCCAACTGTTTTTGTTGCCTTAACTAACACGTTCTAGGAATCGGGCCCAAGGTCACTCAGAGTGTCATCACTGCTGCCTTCCTCTTCGCGTTCAAGGATGCCCTCTATGCAGCGACCGTGAAGGGCAGACGCCTGATTGCTTCCAAGAAGTAAGCTATCAGTGTCATACACATCGCCGTAACAGGCGTTACGAAGCACAATGAATAGCAGCCAGGATCTATTTGATCCATGATCATGACAATGGGCTAGTGTGAGATATTACGATCGTCTTTTGTCTCTCCCCGGTAAGTTCGGGTAGCAATTTGTATATGTGGCATCAGCTTCCTGGAAAGGAGCTGTGTCGGCTTTGGATGTGCGTATGCCGAGCTGGTCTACTACTCCATCTAAGTTGATGGAGGTTCTGTACTCGAGGATAAAGGCGCATTGTAACAATCAGTGTCAACTGTTGCCAAAATTCGTGTAATCTACGTGTATTCAATAAGAGTTCAGTTGCGTGTGATCGTTTTTGACATATACCTACACTACCATCATCATATCTTGCAGTCCGTTGAGTACGAGGATTCGTGGCAAAACCATTTCCGTTAATACGAAGAGAAATTTAATCCATTTCTAGCCCATATTTTGTGGTCATTTTGTTTTGTCTTCAGGTACATTGTATTTGCGAAGGGGTGATGAACCGTAGAAATCCTAAAGTAAAGATGGCATCATGTCCACAGAACTTGTTGTACGTCGAAGAATGAATATATTTAAGCATATATTTTGGCTGCTCACCGTGACACAACTTAGGCTCACAGTTCGGAGATCGACACCGGGGAGTTAACTCACCAACAAGTTGAGAAACAGCCTACCTATGAATATGTTCATAGAAGCCATATTTTTCGGTCGCATGCATTTATGTCAACATGAGACCTGCGTCAAAACGTGAACATGAAGTGATGCACGTGGACACAGCCAAATGAAAAAGTGGTGCAAACGAAATCGTGACCGCGAAAATCGGCCCACGAAAATTGCGAACGAAGTCAGGATCAGAAGCTTAAATATAGAGTTGAGCTTTGGCGAGCGTACCCAAAATTTTTACTGGTACATTTATGCAATAAGTGAAATAAATTTCCAACAACTTGAAAAAGCTGCGTGGCGCAGCGGAAGCGCGCCGGGCTCATAACCCGGAGGACAATGGATCGAAACCATTCGCAGCTAAAGTTGTCAATCTTTTTTGCATTTTTTTCTTTCGCGCTAGACAAAGCGCTCAACGTTTTTCGCTTCGCTGGGGACACAGGGCGGGCCCAGGGGCGTCTCTGGGCGGGTCCCCTTGACCTCATCTTCCCTGCCTCTCATCTCGGTCCGGACAACTAGCGCTCCCGATGCCGATGGTCCGCGCTGGCGAATCGCTGCTTTCGCAATGGACACGACAGCCTTCTCCTCGGGATTTGGAAACGAGGCGTCGGATTTAGCTTGTGTGGCTGCCTTTTTCTTACGTGAACAATGCTTGGCTGAGGGATGCTGCCGCGGAGTTGTTGGAATAGGGGCGGCCACGCCCACCCTCCAGAATAGGCGGAGCCGTGGCACGACGTGTCTTACCTAAAAGTCTCGGACAAGAAGGGCGATTAGATGTCCGATGCTTCGGTCTCCACACCATGACGAATGCCTAGCAGTAGGTAGGTAGCAAGGGAGTGCATTTTCAAATGTTTCAATTTTGATATCTCCGAGTGTCCAACGGACTACCGTTCAGCAAGCAAGGCGAGAACCGCTATTGCAGATGCAACTTTCAGCCATCACTCCCGCTCAGAGCGCCAGCTTTTGTTTTCCGGAATGACCGCTTCTCCGCCCTGCCCGTATGCTCCCAGTATGACCCACTGAAACGCTGAGCACCGCAAGCTATGCAGATTAAAGCAATAAGAAAAAAAAAAAAAAAAAAAAAAAAAAAAAAAAAAAAAAAGAGCAAACCGCCATATTCTATACTGTTACAATAAGAGCGGCGGTGAATTCCCGTGCCGCTCAATATGCTTGAGCTCGGTGTTGGGTTTTGCAAGATCAATTATGCAGCCCACTACAAGATTCTCGTTGAGCAACAATCAAGATGTCCTCACATACCAGGCAGCTGGAAGCCAAATCCCGGGACAGCCGGAGGGACACCAATGTTCTGAGGCTCAGGGCGATGCTCCTGAGAGCGAGGGTCGGGACCACGGACATTGCGAGGTCCGCTAGGATCGTAGCCACCACCACGGCGACCACGGTTTTTGAATCCTGGCTCGGGACCCATGCGACGGCTGATGGCTGCAATGATGGTCAGCTTATTTCATGTATTGGGTGAGAACTGTAAGCTTACCTTTTGATGACACACCGGCACCGATCTCAATGTCTGGCTCTTCAATGACCAGACCTGTCTCCAACGACCGTCCGCCAGTGCCGCCGTACTCCGAGTTGATAACCCATTTGCGGTCGGCATCGGTGAGACACTCAATTGGGATGACGCTAATGCCGGTGCTGTAGTCGCTGCATTCGCGAGGACCGAACCCGACGCCCCATCGAGTCTACGAACTGTGAGAAAATGTATGGATGATGAGATATTACTGTTCTTACCTGACGCGCCTTGTTCAGGACCTGAGGGTCCTTCATCTTCTCCATGCCGAGCTTGGCTTTGACCGAGTCTTCACGGTTGGCCATTTTGACGAAAGCGTGATGCTTATCACGGTTGACAATGCACGTTTGGACCTCACCAAACTGACCGAATATCTTTCTTAGTTCGCCTTCGGTACCCCTGGAAAATCATGTCAGAACAAACAGGATATGGTGCGAGCTCGTCGGTAACTTACGAAACACCCCCAACGAACAAAGTTCGGCTGAGTACTGCGGTAACTGTCAGTATTTGCGCTACAATAGCTGAAGCTCGTGTAATTACCTTTGATGGCACCCTTGGGGAGGCTCTGGTCGAACTGAATATACTTTTCCTTCTTGTTCTGCGGGCCGTTGTTCTGCTGACCGGAACCTTGTCCGGGGCCTTGACCCTGGCCCTGGTTCTGGCCCAGGCCCTGGCCCTGGCCCTGGCCCTGACCCTGACCCTGACCTTGTTGCACGGCGGGTGAATTACGGTGCTTGTCACGTCGATTCCTACCTTTCCTCCCACGGCGTGAACTACCAGTGCCTTGCTCGGGCGGTTGGCTGCCAGAAGCGTTCCCACCGCCATTACCAATACCACCACCGGCGTTGGGTTCGTAGGTGCCATAGGTTGGACTTTCACGACGGTTCACTGGAGTACGCCGACGGTTGCGATCCGGGGAGCGACTACGATCACGGTCTCGGTCGTGTCCACGAGCATCGTCCTCCCGAGTTCTATACTCTTGTGCACTCTGCCCCATGGGCTGTTGGGCCTGGGCATTGAACCCAGTCTGCGCTTGCTTATTGAGAGCAGCAGGACCAGTCGGAGGGGCTACTGGTGCAACTGCTGGAGCGGCCTGCTGGGGTTGCGCTGCGCTCATAGCCCCAAGAATCTGAGCTATCTGTGCCGCAGGCATTTGTTGCTGCATTAGAGCGCCTAAGAACTGCATGAACGCTTCAGTGCCACCAGGCATACTCTGGAAAGCCTGAGGCATGATCTGGTTGAGTTGGGCAACGTTCGCTGCGGGGGGCGCAGACGGTGGTATAGTCGATCCAGCGACGCCATTACCTTGTCCGTTGACCTGGGGTACATACGATGGCATGGTCGGAGCAGTCATAGTCTGGCCTACATTCTGTTGCTGCTGTGGGGTAGTTGAAGTGTACTGCATGCCGTTCTGGTAAGGCGCGTTTTGCGCTGGCACAGTCGCCTGTCCTATGTTTGCAAGGTTGGCCAGCAATGAAGCAGTGCCGGATGAAGCGCTCGCAGGCGCTGCTATTGGTGTTTGTGTTTGAGGTGTTGAACCAAGAGAAGTTGCAGCATTTACCGTGGCATTACCAACAGGGGTGCTTGTCGACGGGAGGACTGCTAGGACAAGGCGAAACATCAATCCAGTGTTCTTTTGGAAATGGTGTCGGCACGAACCAGATGTCTTACCTGTTCCTAGACGCTGCTTGAACTCTGCAAGCATGTACTGGGGAAATGTGTTGCCGCGCTCCCAGATGTCGATCATCTTAACAATTCTCTCCTAATTTTTGGCACGCCAAAGTCAATACTGGATGTACTTATGCTGCCTATGCGTCGCAACGAAGGCGGCAGCGCCCAACCGTTCACGGATATTATGGGCGTACCTTTTGATCGGCCGGCGCGGTTTGAATGAGGTCATGCATGAGCGTAGGAAGTACTTGGGTCGCGAAAGCTACTCCGATGGTATTTGGGCTTTTTGTGACATCGCCAGCCGGGTCTTCCCTGGACTGGCGAGCCTTCTCGACCCACTGGCGCACGACGGCATCGAGGACATACAATACGCCAAGCTTATGAGTAGAGGGAGTGGTGGTGAAGCGGTCGCGAATCGTCTGGACTATGGAGGGGGATTGCTGTGAGAGAGAACAAAAGTCAGTTGCGGGTGTGCGCAGAGCGTGGAGGGCGGAAGATCCTACGTTTACGTTGGCGATGCAGAGGTTGGTGATGGCTGAGATTTTGGACTTGTTGGCTCCTGGGGGCTTCAGCGCAGACAGCGACAGCAGCAAAGTGTTCAGCTCTTCCATGGCTGACATGTCTACTCCTACGTGGGCAGCGCCCGGACCCGACTCGAACAAAGGGCCGCTTCAGTGGTGTTCTGGGGCCTGTTGAACTGAGCACCTAGAGGGACTACGTCACTGGGTTCACCGGGCGTGGAGTCAACTCGGACGCCTTGTCGCGCGCACCGACGGGGTCGCGATGCAGAGTGTGAGAGCTGGGCCGAGGTCTCGTGCTGAGCCGGAAGCTTACAGCGGCTCACTCGAGCGCGGATACGATCAAAGGCTTACTGGCCGACAGCTGATATGGCGCGAGTGAAAGCGAGAGTTGTGCGCGGCTGCGTGGCGATGGTTGTGCTGCTCCGCTTCTTCAGGAGGGAGGAGCTCTCTGGGGGATCCAAGGCAGGCCGCCAAGCCGGGCGAGTCACGGGATGCGCTGCGCGAGTGAGAGCGACCTTGGGTGAGCAGCAGCGCGTTGGGCCTGGTGCCACGAGCGAGCGAGCGAGGCAGATGCGACGTCAGCACCGTGTCGGACAAAGGCTGCAAAAAACCGTCTCACACACAGCGACCGTCGCAAGTGATGTGCTGCGCGCGCGCCTCACCCGCAACCCGCATTTCTTCGTCGGATGTAGTTCGGAAGGACTGACGGAAGCGCGCGCAGTGACGCACGGGGTCGGCCATTCCCGATCGCCGGCCGAGGACCTGCCTTCAAAGCTTTCTGTTGTTTCTCCGCCATCCTCCTCCATCTTTCTCCATCATTCATCCATCCATTTCCCTCCTTCTTGCCCACCTTCTCCCTTCACAATGGCTTCAGCTCTGCGGCTAGGCTCTGCCTCTCTGCGCTCCGCCGTCAAGGCCCCGGCCCGCTCCGTCGCCTTCAACGGTCTCCGCGCCTACTCCAGCAAGACCACGGTATGCCTCTTTGTCAAGCCCTGCCCGACTTCCGCGCTGACCCGCCGCCCCAGTCCCTGAAGGAGACCTTCGCCGCCAAGATCCCCGGCGAGATTGAGAAGATCAAGACGCTCAAGAAGTATGTCGCCGCCTCCACGCTTCCGCTGCCCGCCGCAGCCCGCTGACGTAGGACAATAGGGAGCACGGTAGCAAGGTCGTTGGCGAGGTCACCCTCGACCAGGTCTACGGTGGTGCCCGTGGCATCAAGTCCCTCGTCTGGGAGGTGCGTAGACTTGCCATTGGCTGCCATTGCCCCTGCTAACAATCCCCAGGGCTCCGTCCTCGACTCCGAGGAGGGTATCCGCTTCCGCGGCAAGACCGTAAGTTTTTCAATTCACATCTTCAATGGGCTCCCACTGACCATCCTCAGATCCCCGAATGCCAGCAGCTCCTTCCCAAGGCCGCTGGTGGCCAGGAGCCCCTCCCCGAGGGTCTCTTCTGGCTTCTGTTGACCGGCGAGGTTCCCTCTGAGCAGCAGGTCCGCGACCTTTCCGCTGAGTGGGCTGCCCGCTCCGACGTCCCCAAGTTCGTCGAGGAGCTCATCGACCGCTGCCCCAACGACCTCCACCCCATGGCCCAGTTCTCTCTGGCCGTCACTGCCCTTGAGCACGAGTCTTCCTTCGCCAAGGCCTACGCCAAGGGTATGCCCAAGGCTCAGTACTGGGAGCACACCTTCGAGGACTCCATGGACCTCATTGCCAAGCTCCCTACCATTGCCGCCCGCATCTACCGCAACGTCTACAAGGACGGCAAGGTCGCTGCTACCCAAAAGGACAAGGACTACGCCTACAACCTGGCCAACCAGCTCGGCTTCGCTGACAACAAGGACTTCGTCGAGCTGATGCGTCTGTACCTGACCATCCACTCCGACCACGAGGGTGGCAACGTCTCTGCCCACACCACTCACCTGGTCGGCTCTGCCCTCAGCTCCCCCTACCTCTCCCTGGCTGCCGGTCTTAACGGTCTTGCCGGTCCTCTCCACGGTCTTGCCAACCAGGAGGTCCTGAACTGGCTCACCAAGATGAAGAAGGCCGTTGGCAACGACCTTAGCGACGGCGCCATCAAGGACTACCTCTGGTCCACCCTCAAGGCCGGCCAGGTCGTTCCCGGCTACGGCCACGCCGTCCTCCGCAAGACCGACCCCCGCTACGTCTCCCAGCGCGAGTTCGCCCAGAAGCACCTTGCCGACGACCCCATGTTCAAGCTCGTCTCGCAGGTCTACAAGATCGCTCCTGGCGTCCTCACCGAGCACGGCAAGACCAAGAACCCCTACCCCAACGTCGACGCCCACTCCGGTGTCCTCCTCCAGTACTACGGCCTCACGGAGCAGAACTTCTACACGGTTCTCTTCGGTGTGTCCCGCGCCCTCGGTGTCCTTCCCCAGCTCATCATCGACCGCGCCGTCGGTGCCCCCATTGAGCGCCCCAAGTCGTTCAGCACTGAGGCTTACGCCAAGCTGGTTGGCGCTAAGATTTAAAGGGGTTTGGAGGAGTATAAAAATTAGATGGATGGGCAATTTGTGTATACCAACGTAGGATGATGGATGAATATGTTTCTGGGCGTGGCCGATTGGCCTGCCTGGAATTGTAGCGTGTAATACTATGTCCGGACTGGATCCAACCGTGTAACCTTTTTTTGTATTTGCTGCACGCCTCGTTGAGGGTTGAGGGGGGGTGATGCAATGAAGCATAAAGTGAGTTAGATTGGTGTTGCGGCGCAAATCCTCCAGCTGCCCGTAGCTCCCGGCGCGACGCCACCAGCAATGGCGCCGCGGCCAATGAGGCAGCGCGGATGCAGACGCCGCAAAAGCAAACGAGAGCGACCGTGTCTAGCCGGCAGTCGGGGAAGTCATGCTAGCATGCTAGCGGTGAGGCGGGGACCGGGTTGCGCCATGTTGGGGCTGATCAATGGGGCTGAACGGGCTTCCGTTGAACACTGGAGAGGATCGCTGGGGAGCCGAGCGCAGTCGGACATTGAGGTGCTCAACAAGCCGACAGGATGCGAGCTGGCCATGATTTACCTGATGTGCACCCGCAGGCTCCGGTTTCTCCCTGCGACAGCCAGCTGTAACCGCGGCTGCGTGCGGTTATCTGGCGGAGTACTGGAGCGGGCCCCGTCAAAAGCGTCCCCCGGTCTCGTCCCCAACTGCTTTGGAACCCTGCCCCATTAAACTTGGCAAGAAGCTCCGACGCCATCCCGCCCGTGAGCGGACTCAGCCCGCTGACTATCTGACGCTTAGGTAGGGGACTTACGTCTACTCAGCCCGCTCGCCTACCCACACCCCCCCCAAATAACTACATTCCGTCGGGCCCTCTTCTCCTTCCTCCCTCCTCCATCACACTCCCTCTTTGCGAAGAAGCACCCTATCGCCTTGGTCAGGCCCCCGCAAACAGCAGAAGCACCTAGATCATGTCCTCTCCCGCAGCCACCATAGCCGGCGCCGATGCGCCCCCCAAGCTTGAGAAGAAGCCCGTCAAGTTCAGCAACTTGCTGCTTGGCTCGGGTCTGAACATGTTCGAAGTGTCGACGCTGGGCCAGGTAAGTCGTCGCAATGTCGCTACGTCGTCATCGCTGTCGCATACTAACGTCGTCTAGCCACTGGAAGTCACCAAGACCACCATGGCTGCCAACCGGGCCGATGGCTTCTCAGGTGCCATCGGCCGCATCTGGGCTCGCGGCGGTATCCTTGGATGTAAGCTCGACGGACCCTTCCCCGATGAATTGATCCGAGCGTCATGCTAACATCCCCCCGACAGTCTACCAAGGTCTCATCCCTTGGGCTTGGATCGAGGCCTCCACTAAGGGCGCTGTCCTCCTCTTCGTCGCCTCCGAGGCTGAATACCAGGCTCGCGCGCTCGGTGCGAACTCCTTCGTCGGCGGCATCTCTGGCGGCATGGTCGGCGGCCTGGCGCAGGCCTACGCGACCATGGGCTTCTGCACTTGCATGAAGACGGTCGAGATCACCAAGCACAAGGTCGCAGCTGCGGGTATGAAGCCTCCTGGAACTATGGAGACGTTCATGGACATCTACCGCAAGGAAGGTATCCGTGGTATCAACAAGGGTGTCAACGCTGTCGCCGTACGCCAGGTCACCAACTGGGGCTCGCGCTTTGGTCTGTCGCGTGTCGCTGAGACGGGCATCCGCAAGGTCACAGGCAAGGAGCACGGCGAGAAGCTGGGCGCCCTGGAGAAGGTCATTGCCAGCACTCTGGGTGGTGGTCTCTCTGCCTGGAACCAGCCTATTGAGGTCATTCGTGTCGAGCTTCAGAGCAAGGTCGAAGACCCCAACAGGCCGAAGAAGATGAACGTCGCCAACGCGGCCAAGTACATCTACAGCAGGAACGGTATCAAGGGTTTGTACAGGGGCGTTACCCCTCGTATTGGTTTGGGCGTTTGGCAGACGGTTTGCATGGTTGCTTTGGGTGATATGTAAGTTTTGCCCCACTCCTTCCCCGCACCATCTTGCGGCAGTCGGCTAACCCGCTCAACAGGGCCAAGGAATGGGTTGAGAAGGTCACCGGCGAAACGGTCACCGCGAAGCACTAAAAGGCGTTAGGGTTGGCTCAGGATTGGTCTGTCTGGCACGAATATCAAAACCGTGTGGACAGGAGAGCCCCGGCGGACTGATGATGAGCAACGATACGCTCTTGATGCGAGCTTGCACGCACATGCACTTAACCGCTATGTGTAGTGTGCGGATATGTTTCCTTATATTTTTACCTTTCTTTGCCTTATGGGCAAGATGGATTATAGACTTTAAACTTGACTGGGATTTTGTCTAGCTTTTTCAGATCGCATCTTCATTCCACGAGTTGTGAGCGAGAGTAATGCGTCTCAACAATTGATGGTCCAATCCCTACGACAACAAGTGACATTACTAACACAAGGAAGATAAGGAGCGCTTTATCGTCGCAATCCTTTTCATACCTAGTGTGGCGCTTTTACAGCAGTTTTCATAGAGCCTGTTCCGGCACTGCCAAGTATACCTAGTCTGTAGCTTGTGAAACGCCAGCAATGAAAAACCCGTCCTTCTGATTGACAAGGTAAAAATGTATGTTGCCGAAGATGACAATAACGTGATTGCACATGTCGCCGAGGTACCAAGAGGGAAAAAAAAGATATGCAAAAAAGCAAAAGAGAACTCCCCCGGACAGGCTTGAACTGTCAACCTCCTGATAGCCAAACGACCTAAGTCATTTTAACAGTCAGACGCGCTAGCCAATTGCGCCACGGAGGATTCGTGGTTGGAGTTCTCACACTTTTATCTATGACGTATGACTTCTCACATGATACAGCCTTCGAAAATTCCAGAGCACACCAGGACGCTCGAAGGGGCCGAGGTTGTCACGTTGTGAACCCACTCGCGTGTCTGTGGATCAGTCGCATCCGGTGCACAGGTTTGGTTTTCCACGCGCCCTTGGCGCGGTACCGTGGGGAGAGTGCCAGACATGCTGTGCGGATCTCTCGACAAGCTTCCCCCCCGGAATATTGTGTGATATTAAGGGGGCTGGATAGATTTGCGTGCAGGTACGGCCGTACAGCAGATGATTCGCAGATCGCTGGCGACACGGAAGCAACGAGGGCAGCCATGACGGCTTGCTGCAGTGGGTGTTGGCGTGGGCCGAAAGCTGGCGGCTCTTTCACGCTCCAACGTACTCCACCACCGATAAGGCGTGAAGAAAATGGGAACGGGCAGCATCGATCATTCCGAGACCTTGCCCCAGGACATGACTAACGAGGCGCTCAGCACGCGTGCTTCTTCCCCGCGAAACGCTAGCTAGCATGACCCGGCGCGAAGCTCACGAGAACTGTTTTTTCTCCAGGTTTCCGGGGCCACATGACTGGGTGAGTGGTGCCTGCCTGAAAGCCGATCGTGAAAGGGCCTCCACCTGCAGGGCTCGGGGCTAGGGACAGACCCTTTACGCTACACCGTTAGCATCAGCTAATCCTTGGCCACCCAAGAGACGCAAATGATACGAGTAGAGAGACGCAACAACGCAGAGTCCAACCTGTTCCGGCGAGCGGGCTGATGCTGCCGTGCCCATGCTGCTGATCGCGTCTGCGCCCTGGTCACCGCTGATTGGAGGCCGAGCGCAGCTCCAAGTACCCGGGGTACCCTAACGCGCGACCTGGCCTCCCGTCACTCGCAGCAGCAACTCCACAGAAGCAGGTCGATGTGATCCACTTGAACCCTTCTTGGCTAAACCTGACCCGTCCTCGTCTTACCGTCGCTTCCTGCATTGCTGGCTGGCCCGACTAACGTCACCGGGCCTACTTTCTCTCGTCTGCATAACACCGCCATCTAATCGTGGAGACGGGCTGCTCCATTCCAGCCCACTACACCATCAGGATTCCTTCCTCAAGCGCCCGGAGGCCGGCCAACATTCCCCTCCACACCTTTTCTTCTTCACGACGTGACAGCTCTGACCAGGGCCACCTGCTTCGCTCATCGGCGGACGAGAAGCGACATTCCTCGGATTCAGACTTCTCCCTCTGGAGCGACACCGGCGACCTTGTCGACCAGTTAGCCGACGAGGAGGACCCCTTGCAGATTCGACTTCGCCGATCCCAGGATCTCGACGGCTCTTCGACACACAAACGACACCCATCCAAGAAGCGTGTACATTACGACTCCTCCAGTCGCAGCAACGAGAAAGCTGGACGCGTTAGAAAGGAGGACATCGTCGTCCCGACCCCTCCACGGCCCATTGCCAACCGAGGCGAAAGGCTTCTCGCTGCCATCATGGCTCCCAATGATGGACCCAGCCGGATTCACGGCTTGCACGGCAAGAAGCTGATGTGCGCACCACCGGTCCATTATTGTGGAGGATGTATGGGCTGACCATCACATGCAGTTACTTTACCAGCGTGTTTGTGTCGCTGGGTGTCTTTTTATTTGGCTACGACCAGGGCGTCATGTCGGGCATTATCACGTAGGTCCCCAGTCGGCACATGTCAGAAGTTAAGCTGACCAGTACTTTCTCAGAGGATCCTACTTCAAAGACTCCTTCAACCAGCCCACCCGCGCCGAGATTGGAACTATGGTAGCCATCCTCGAGGTCGGGGCATTCATATCATCGCTGGGTGTTGGAAAAATAGGAGACGTGATTGGACGTCGGCGTACCATTTTGTACGGCTCGCTTGTCTTCGTGGTAGGAGGCGCTTGCCAGACATTCGCTACTGGCATGCCCATGATGATGCTGGGCAGAGTCATTGCAGGTCTCGGCGTTGGCGCGCTGTCGACAATCGTCCCCGTATACCAGTCTGAGATCTCACCACCCCACAACCGCGGCAAGCTGGCTTGTGTTGAGTTTACGGGCAACATTTGCGGCTACGCGGCTAGTGTGTGGGTAGACTACTTCTGCAGCTACATCAGAAGCGACTGGGCGTGGCGCATTCCCCTGCTCATGCAATGCGTAATGGGCGGTCTGCTCGCCGTGGGTAGTTTGTTGATTTGCGAGTCGCCAAGGTATATACTACAATCAAGAATGTCTTCATGCGGCAAAAAGGATGCTGACGTTGCACAGGTGGCTGCTCGATAACGACCATGACGAGGAAGGCATTGTCGTCATCGCCAATCTCTACGGAAAGGGTGATATACACAACCCGAAGGCTCGCGAGGAATACCGTGAGATCAAAATGAACGTCCTCATCCAACGCCAGGAAGGCGAGCGCTCTTATTCCGACATGTTCAAGAGATACTACAAGCGCGTCTTCATCGCCATGTCTGCGCAAGGCCTTGCTCAGCTGAACGGTATAAATGTTATTTCGTACTACGCCCCGCTGGTGTTTGAACAAGCCGGTTGGGCTGGCCGCGACGCGATCCTGATGACCGGTATCAACGGACTCAGCTACCTTGCTTCCACAATTCCACCCTGGTACCTCGTGGATTCCTGGGGCCGGCGATTCATCCTACTTTCCGGCGCTGTGGCTATGATATTCTCGCTGTCAGCCATCTCGTACTTTATTTATGTCGATATTCCTATCTGGACTCCTCGATTGGTTGTCATCTTTGTTATGATCTACAACGGAGCTTTCGGAGCATCATGGGGCCCCATTCCTTGGTAAATCCCGGCAACTTTCTGATCACGTGCGAATATTGACTGACGATCTGTAGGCTTTACCCTCCGGAAATCCTTCCGTTGAGCATTCGTGCCAAGGGCGCCAGTCTAAGCACTGCTACCAATTGGGCCTTCAACTGGCTTGTTGGTGAGATGACGCCTATCCTGCAAGAGTGGATCCAATGGCGCCTGTACCTCTTGCATGCCTTCTTCTGTGCTGTCAGTTTTGTTGTCGGTAAGTCGACGTTTGTGGATAGTCTCCGCTGCTCCGAGCTGACAGTGTTTTAGTCTGGTTTATCTACCCCGAGACTGCAAACGTGCGCCTGGAAGATATGAACTCGCTCTTTGGTGACGCTACCTCGCAAATGCCGACGCCGGCGACGCTCGCCGAAGCCGAGTCTCTCTTCAGCGGCGGGCGCGGATCTCCCGTCCCGTCACTGGATCTTCGTCGCCCTGGTCAGCTTGGTGCTGACAATGCTATTCCCGGTCTGGACATTGACCCGCCGAATGTGCAGGTGGAGGGCGGCAAGCCGATGCTCCCAAGCAAGACCTCCAGCAGTGTCACAGAAGGCGTCGGCGGCTGGATCTCAAACATTATTAAGCGCAACAAGGACAATGGTGAGGGCGACAGCCAAAGTAGTGGGTACCGGAGAGTCGAGCAGAACGAGGATTAGGGAATTGATGGATTTTTGTCGGTCACTGGTTGTCGACGCGAATGAGCATAGGGGAGTGGATAGAGGCGTTTTTATGGGCGAAATTTGGCTAGACAAGCATGATCAAAACACAGGGTTGCATGTTTCTCGACCTGTAGACGGGGAGCGAGGTTTTGTACATCAGGCGCAAACATACACCTTACAGAAAGCGCAACCAATCATGGAATTTGCACTGGCCTCACCCTTGGCTCCTTGCGATGGCGGCGTGCGCGCCGGGAACTACGAAACGTGTCCCCTTGATGTTGCGGTTAGCGTGGCCCTTGCGTGCCTTGCCCCCCCGAGGATCGCCGTGCGCGTACTAAGCTCCTCTCCCTGCTCTTTGCTCAGCTCACATTGCGAACCACTGCACAGAGAGCGGAGCGACGTTGCCTGTCCTCTGCTTCGTACAGCTTGTAATAATCTCTTCTTTCCCTCCTTTACTCTCTCTTCCTTTCCTCCATTACACCCATCCTCGGGCCCGCGCATCTACGGCTGAGCTCTCCCCGAGCTACTGAGGGGTTATCTTTGACCAAGCATGGCTTCGCAAGGCTATGCCACCGGAGCAGAGGCTCAGGCAGAAGGCTTGCGCCGAAGAAACATCCCCAATGGCGATGGTCAAGTTGGCTTGAGCCCGCAGGCAGCGGAAAAGAGCAAGCAGAAGGTACGAATGCGTCCACCGTGGAGCTTCAGCACCACCATCCTAGTCAAACTTCGGAAGGCTAACGACCAACTCGCACGGATACAGTCCAAGAGCTTCCTCCAGATCCTCGATGAGACCGAATATATCTGGGCGCCTATTATGTTCACCTTCCTTGCCTTCTTCACCCGCATGTACAAGATCGGACTCTCCAATATCGTGACCTGGGATGAGGCCCAGTAAGCTCCGGCTCGCACCCCAATATTTCCTCGTACATTCGAGGCTGACAATGCTCTAGCTTCGGAAAATTCGGATCGCACTACCTGAAGCGTGAATTCTATTTCGATGTCCATCCTCCGCTCGGAAAGATGCTCGTTGGCCTGTCTGGCTTCCTGGCTGGTTACAATGGATCCTTTGAGTTCAAATCCGGCGAGACCTATCCCCCGGAGCTCAACTACCAGTTTATGCGAATGTTCAACTCTACCTTCGGCGCGCTTACCATCCCGCTGGCATACTACACCGCGAAGGAATTGAACTTCAGGAAGCCCGCCGTTTGGCTTTGCGCGCTCATGGTTCTCTGCGACAACTCGCTTGCGACCATCAGCAGATTTATCCTTCTGGACTCGATGCTGCTGTTCTTCACTTTCACAACCGTATTCTGCTGGGCGAAGTTCCACAAGCTCCAGAAGGACCCTTTCTCGCCTGAGTGGGGCCTTTGGTTGATGTTGACTGGTGTTTCGATTGGCTGTGTTTGCAGTGTTAAGTGGGTCGGTTTCTTTGCTACCGCATTGGTGGGTATCTACACCATCGAAGACCTCTGGAACAAATTCGGAGATCTGAAGATGCCAAAGGGCGAGCTTGCCGCTCACCTCGGCTTCCGTGTCTTTGGTCTCATCCTCATCCCCATGATGGTTTACCTCTTCTCTTTCTGGCTTCACTTCTTGGTCCTTGAGAACAGCGGTCCTGGTGACGCCCAAATGAGCTCTCTGTTCCAAGCAAACTTGAAGGGTACGGAAGTTGGAAAGGACAGCCCTCTCGAACTTGCTTATGGATCTCGCATCACACTCAAGAACATGGGTTACGGAGGAGGTCTCCTTCACTCCCACATTCAAACTTTCCCTGAGGGATCCCAGCAGCAACAGGTTACCTGCTACCACCACAAAGATGCGAACAACGAGTGGTTCATTTACCCCAACCGCTTCGACACTGATTACCACCCGGAGGAGGCTCTTCGCTTCCCGAGCAACGGAGACCAGATTCGTTTCATCCATGCCCAGACCGGTCGCAACCTGCACTCCCACTCCATCCCTGCTCCCGAGACCAAGGCCGACTACGAAGTTTCCGCTTATGGTAATGTTACTATTGGCGATAGCAAGGATCACTGGACTATTGAAGTGGTTCGCGATGCAGCCTCCAGTGACTATTCGAAGATCCGGACCTTGACCACTGCTTTCAGATTGAAGCATAGTGATCTCGGCTGCTACCTGCGTGCTGGCACTGTGAACTTGCCGCAATGGGGTTTCAAGCAAATCGAAACCACGTGCGACAAGAAGAACAACCCCAGGGACGTGTACACTCACTGGAACGTTGAAAGCCACTTCAACGAGAGGCTGCCTGCCAGCGAGCCGGGTTCTTTCAGGTCTCCCTTCTTCCGCGATTTCATCCATCTGAACGTGGCTATGATGACTTCTAACAACGCCCTTGTTCCTGACCCGGACAAGCAGGATGATCTTGCCTCGGCTCCTTGGCAATGGCCCATCCTTCACGTTGGTCTTCGTATGTGCGGCTGGGGTGACGAAAGTAAGTTTCTTAACGTTCCTCCAAAAGTTGAAATCGTCACTGACATATGTAATTGTAGCTGTCAAGTACTTCCTGCTTGGTAATCCCTTCGTCTACTGGTCTACCACTGCTTCACTCCTTGGTGTCGGACTCTTGGTTGCTTGGTACCTGATCCGCTGGCAACGCGGTTATGACGAGCTCAAGCCCGCCGAGATCGACCAGATCCATTACTCTGGCCTTTACCCTGTTCTTGGATGGTTCCTGCATTACTTCCCTTTCATCGCCATGGCGCGTGTCACCTACGTCCACCACTACTTCCCTGCTCTGTACTTTGCCATCCTCTCCTTCACGTTCTTGGTTGACTGGACGACGAGGAACCTGCGTAGGCAGCTGATGTGGACCATCTATGCCGTCCTCTACGTTCTGACGGCTGGTCTCTTCATCCTGTTCAAGGACATCACGTTCGGTATGGAGGGCGACAACAAGAAGTGGGGGTACCTCAAGTGGTTCAGCACGTGGCGCGTTACGGACTAAGCGCTATTTTCTGGATCATCATCCATGCTTAGGGTATTTGATAACGGATTGGGACAGTGGTAAGAAATGACACAAAACAAAAATTCTTAAACGGGCACTGGGCCCGAGTTTGATGCGTACAGGTTCTGAGTTGAAGTTCAGCTTGTATTACTTCCTTATCCAAGGCTTTCCTTATCTTATGTCTAGCAAATGCAAATTAATTGTTACCCTGTTCTTTGCTTGCGTTGCCTGATTATCAGTGAGTGCACAGTCTATATATATATTCGTAATGCGTGATTGGAAGGTTAGTAGGCATTCACTTTCATTTGTGTATTGCTCTTGGCAGCACGGATTCCCCATCTGCTTCATGCCTTTAACTTAAACATCCAAGGGATTGAGGTCTGAATGCAACTAACATTCTCATCTACTCGGCTCACATCCCTTCTGTGCTCCTGCTAGAAATGGCAAGAATGCATGGACATGTGTGCCGTAATCCTTGTTGAGCCACATATGCTTTATTTGAAGTGCCGAGTGGATGTATTAGATGTACGAGGACTTGACACTCGAGCCTGATTAGATCCGACTATTGTCTAAGACTAACGTCCGTCATCGCGAACCGAGATCTACCGTATAGCGAGATAGAGGACGATATAAGCAGTCCCTACAAAGTACTTCTTGCCTAGCTCCTATCCCGAGTCCTAGGTATGGGTGAAAAGGTCTTAGAGCACGCATAGACTCTACATATCTTAGCTGGGTCTCTTCTTCTACTCCATATAAATATTACCATCTCGCTTCACGGTGAATCTCGCTTTACGGTGACGGACGTTACTCTTCATGGACTGGCCTACAATCTCGGCATGAATACATTTAAAACCCAACTCTGTAACGCATGCTAACTCCGAAGCAGATCACTCTCAAAATGCATTTGCACACATTCAATGTCACAGTTCGACACCATACGTGACAGCAACAACTTCGCCTTTCACGACCGACGCAGATTGACACCTTTACAACTTCTGTCAACTACTGTGAACATCTACTTTTCCATGTCCGATCCTTTGTCACCCCGTCTTACCCCCCCCCCCCCCCCCCCCCCCCCCCCCCTTCGCCCTCCTTGGGGGTCCTGATAATGCCGATGTCATCGTAGATTGGTGCTTCTTTGGTGTCGTCTTCGGTCAGAGGACGCACTAGTTCCAAGTTAGTGAAGGGTTGCTACGGCCAACGAGAGATATGCTTGAGCTGTGGTGGCAGGCTTTAAAAATCTATACGCACTAATTTCTCCCAAGAGTCTATCGTCATCTTCTTCGTCTTCTGTAGCTTGCGTTTGTAAGTGCGGTTTCTATCGTTGATCAGCGGTGAGTGGTTCTTACCTTCCATCTTAGGAGGATTCTTGTCCTTGTTCTTGTTCTCTGGTGGTTTCTTGTATTTGCTCTTGTTCTCTGGCTGGTTTTCATTCTTTCCATTGCTCTCTGGTGCTTTCATGGTGTCGCGGTTATCTCTAGTGCCTGCCGTGAGCGTGTAAGTAGCTTAGGGATATGAAGAAGGAAGTAGATAACCTGTGAAGCAAAGAGGTCGAAGAGAGCTGTTGAACTGGATAGAGAGCTGCCAGGTGCGAATATATAGGCAGTTGGGCTGATTAGTCAAACCTACTAGTGTTGCAACAAACAGCCTACAGACAGGTGACTGTTCGCTCCAATCAAGCGCGGGTCACCTGCTGCGTGCTTATTTGACCCAATCAGAAGCCTGTTTGGCGTAGTGCGCCCTTGTCTGTAGAAGTGGAGATTTAATATTTAAGTAAATCTTAACTTTTCTTGTCAGCTACCTCCCTTTTCTGTATAGAAGACAGGGAATATAAATCGTAAATCCTCGTATATTTGATGCACACTGCAAACAAGCACGCAGAATACTAAATAAGACACCTATTTGCTTAATCCAACAGGGGTCGCCTACTGCGTGCTCGGTTGTTGGCCTAGTAGAGTAATATTATTAACTTGGTACTAAATCAGACATCTGGTTGCATGCGGTGCTTGTTTGTTGCAACAAGCTTTCTCCGTGAGCGGGTGTCCAGAGCGGTTCTTTTATAGCTTCTTTTTGGATACCTTCCCAGACGGCCGTGATGCTTGGGATTCGAGTAGCCTGAGCGGCTACCAGGTTCGGGCATACGTTGTTATAATCGTATATTAAAGACCGTAAGCGAACAGTCTCCGCAAGTACAACTTATATAAACTGTCAGTCAAACGTGAAAGGAGAATGTCCCGTGGTCTCAGTGGATTTCTCAAGGATCGATACTAGCGAAGTGATTGAGAAATTCGATATTGAGAGCAGGCTGCTATCACGTCGCTTGGATGACCTTTTGCCAAAGATGCTTTTCAACTACCAGAAAAAGCTAAAGGAGCGATCAGAGAAGGTGTTTTAGTGTATAAGAGCTGAGATGTGGACCCTCGGGAAAGTGTATATTGTCTTGAGAGTCTGTGATGCGGAACATTATTCGCATTCCCAATTATGTCTTTTTGTTCTCTCTCATATTCCGTCTCTTCAGAACTGTTTTACATTACCCTTGTCATAGCAGTTGTAACCGTCTATGCTATCTTACTTTCTGACTATTGTCATCAGTCATTAGCTGTTTCTCTTAGCGACGAAAGTGACATAATCTCACAGGAAAGCAGCAAGAAGATTTCCTTTCTCAACCCACTCCTACTGTCTGTCAGGTGCGGAGACCCAAAGGCCAAGGAATGATGAAAATGAATACTAAAAGTGAAATGATTAGTGACAACTCATTCGAGATGGTCTGTGTGGCTAAGTGTGACAAAGGCTGCATGGATTCAAGGTTTAGGAAGAAGAGACAAAGGTATATCTTCTCGTAGTACCATGAGCTATTTTTGTGCTACTGTCAGATATCAATCACGACTTGCTCAAGGTGGCTTATGCAAGGAACGGAAGTTACCTGTAGTAGTGTGCAGGGTGCGCGGGTAGCCGCTTGAAACAGATGTCGTCACTGCTTCTTGTGTCATATTTAGAGGGATTTCCCCTGCGGTTGACATGGATACGGTTCCGAAGCGATGATTTCCTAGTTTCATATTTCTTTTGCTCGAAAAGCCATTGGTCCCAGGAGAGCAAAAGTAGAAGCCAGTCTTCCGAGCTCGTCTCTCCGAATACGCAACTGCACCCAAAATAGGCCAGAACCCTTGTCCCACCAACGGTTCTAAGGTTCCGTCGCGCAAGATCCATGGTTTACGACAGGAGGTCCACCTGCGGGTTCTTGCATATTTCTCGTGCCTCCCAGCATCCGTCTTGTAACACCTGACAACGGACACTCCGATATCTGACGGCTCAACAACAGATGGGCTCAGCTCACCGCCATTGCCACTCGGCAGCCGGCATAAGTGACCGCGGCTGCCATAACCCCGCACTCCTAACGGCATTGACACCAAGTCTCTAAATTCGTTTTAGGACTGACGGCATGCGGGAGCTGGCAGCCGGCAGGCCTGTGGTACAACCACGCCATTGTTGCAGGAAGCTTGTGCCGTACTAGTAACCTGTGCATGGGAAGCTTGTTCGAACGTGCTCGCTTGCTTGCTGCTGTCAGTTCATGCCCAAAATAGACAGTTGGGAGTTCCCAGCCAGGACATTGATGCAAGCTACCACGAGACGATCCCCCTAACCGGTGCGGCCCGTTTAGATTAGATGCTGATGACCGGGGAAGTTTATCCAGAGAGCCAATGTCAACACCCGTCTGTATGAGCCAGCCCGGCTGCTCGGAAGGGACCCTCGCCGGACAATAGCCGACCTGAGGACCCGATGGTGACATGGGCGAGACAGTCTTGGACCGCGGCGCTGACAATTAAACTCGTGTCATCGGGTGGGAGGGTCCTTGCATGGAACTTCCAAGATGATTTGCTTTATTAAAGATCAGTACGTTGTGTATACAGTCAAGATTGGTTATGACGTTAAAGATAGTCAGCATACCTTGGCTGTTATAACGAGAAACATTGTAAAAAGTCAATGCTAATTTTAAAAGTTGGAAGCTACTGACCAACTGAAACGTCTTAACCAGGTTTGGCTGTATGGGTAACTCTGACTAGATGACAGGAGATGCTTGTACTGTTGTTTAATATTTAAAACTGCTATATTCAGTTGTTGCTTACCAAAAATACTGTCGGCAACCTGTATAAACACAACACAAGCAACGCAGTGCCAACGTTCTCATCTCCAACTAACGCACTCAGAAACACACAAGCTTCATGAGATCAGAAAATTGGCCTTCTGCGGGACCCGTGTATGCGAGTAAGTTCAAACAGCTCCCATCGCATGTCCAAACTCAAAATCGGCAAGACTGTTTCAACTCCTAGGTATCGAATATCGTGAAAACCCCAAAACTCCTCGGAACTAGTACAGGACCGCAGCATTATTTCCTTAGTGACCTCTGGGCCCCCAAGCGGCTCTCAGGTAGCAGAACCAGATAGCGAGCCAACAGCGAGTGGTGCCAACAAAGACCTCAGCTCTTCCTCGAAGGCAGCTTGGGCAGCTCGATCTTTCCCATTTTTGCCACCTGGGCACTGCCAACTTTCTGCATCTGCACCACAGCATCGCCCAATAAAACACGTATTGCGCCTTCCAACCGTCTGTCCCTCTTCCTTCGCATCCACAGCAATATTATTCCTAGAATGATCATATCTGCCGCAATCAGCTTCACCGAGAACCAGCAAAACCAACCGATCCAGGCGATAAGTCTGTGTTTCTTCGAGTGATTAAAGAGGCGTCGAGACTCGAGTTGTTCGCGCAGTGCAGCTACTTCGGCAGTCATTTTGACAAGGGCCAGCTCCACGCGACATCGCCATTTCTGGTCGCTAGTAGGCCTTGATTGCGAGGCTAGGCGTTCTCGAATATTGCCGCCGTTATCCAGGTGTTCTTCGTTGCCAGCATTCTGAGGGTCGTGAACGTTGACGAACTCCTCTTTGTCGGGATTTTCTTCTTCACCCGGTAGAGGCGGGCTCAGTACTCGCATTTGTGACGCCCTCACCCGTGATTGCTGGGGGTAATCGGCCGAAGCGCGTGAAGAGCCAAAGTGCGGGTAAGAGTGCGGGGGACCAGGCACTGCTCCCAAATTACGCAGAGGCGACGAGGAGGATGAAGAGGGCACGTTCGATTTGACCTGGTCCCACACAAACTCAAGCTCGGCGACAAGCTCGCGCGCGTCCGGGGTTGGAGAGGCGTATTTGTGCATAGTGTCTATGAGAGTCGTGATGTAGCGGCGCTTTGCCTCGGTGCGCGAGAGGCCGTTTTGCTGTTTCCAGGCTTCCCTATCGACCAGAAGTTTAGTGAACGGGTTTGTTCGTCCGTATGCGGTAGCAAGTACCATTTCTCGCGCGCTCTGTGTGTCTCCTCTCCAGTGCCTTCTGGTTGGTCCATGATACCGTCGACATCTCCCTCTATAGGACGCTAGTGTTAGACATGCGCCATGTGAAATCGATCCCTGAAGTCGGCGAGCATACCCATGCTCTGTTTGTACAAGCCGTAAAGCTTCAGTCGGATGGCAGCCGGCGGCTTTTCCGAGCCAATCCGTATCTTGTTGACGGTGTTGAGGGCATGGCTGAAGACTCTATCTGGAGCAGCATAGGGGTATGCGTTAGTGAGGTGTGGCGACAGCGGAGGCGTTGGCATGGTGTTGCTTACCCACAGAGTCCGACATATCAAGGCCAATGCGGTGTGATGACGGGTCTCATGAAGGTTGACGTATGAGATAGAGTCGGGCGATAAGCTCCGTGAGACGTGCACGGAACGTGAATGACGGGTTCGAGCGGCGGGGAGAGTCGTTCATGGCGTTCGGTCTTGCGGGCGAGCACGCCGTTCACACATGCCCGCATGTCATGCCGCATCCTGCCGCGGCTAGGAGGAGCAATGGTAGCCGACACGCTGCCGCAAAAAGAGCAAGTATGCCCGCATCAAGCCAACTCCAACCGACCGAAGACCGCAACCATTTTTCCATCAAAATTGGTTCATATTACGCCCATATCTCTCTATTGAATACTCGACTCTCCAAAAACACGTCCTTCACCAGCTGGGACGGGGCCGTCGGCATGCCTGCGGAGCAATTACTGGCCGGAGCGTCCACATCAAACCACCAACCCCACAATGGCGCATGAACCGTCATTTCGCCAGCGGACAAAAAAAAAGTGAAGCTAACAGCCACATGGACTGCCTCCAGTCGGAGTCGAACCGACGGCCTCGACATTACTAGTGTCGCGCTCTACCACTGCTGCAAAGGGTGTTAGTGAATCGTTGAGACATAGAGTTGTGAGAGGAGAAACGTACAGCTATAGAGGCTTAGTAAGCTGTGAGAAAATAATTTGCTTATCGGCTTAAGTACAGACAGCACACGCTAACAGCCTTTCTCGGCCAGCTCAGACAACTCAGCGCCACGTAGCTCGCTATCGCAAGCCAGCCCAGTCTGAATGCAAGCGATGTTTCTCCTCCAAATGCTCAAAATGCGCTCATATGACCCCACCACCTTCCAAAACGACAATCACTGCTAAATGGACAATGACCATGTGCTCTCCACGAGCTGCTGAGTGTTCGCGCTATAAGGGAAAAATTTAGAAAAAACCTGAATCTCTCGACCGCTTGTCGTATGCTGTTATGCAAATCCTGCTTGGGCCTTCTGTCTGTATTGCTCGAAAGATCTCACGTCTTCCTCTTTCCTTTCCTTTCGAGCTTTCTCTGCTTCCCACTCCTCTTCTTCCTTTGCGATCATTGCATGGAATTTGTGTTGTTGTCCGCGGGAAACGTATGTCAAGGGCGCCTTCCTACGCGCTGCTTCCCTAGTTACAAGCACGTGTTTTGTGGTACTGCCTGGCGTCTCGTACTGGGCTTCTCCCAACAACCTTTCCATGACGGTTTTCAGACCTCGGGCCCCAGTTCCCATGCCAGCGGCAGCCTTGGCAATCTCGCGCAATGCACCCGAGGTAATCTTTAGTTCGATGCCACTGAGCAGAAATAGTTGCTCGTATTGTTTGACGAGGCTGTTGCGGGGCTCAGTGAGCACGCGCACAAGTGATTCCTCGTCGAGTGAGGAAAGTGCGGAAGAGATTGGTATACGGCCGACAAGCTCGGGTATCATACCGTACTTCTGCAGATCGGCCGGCTCAACAAGATCAAGTATGTTGAACTCCACTTGACGAGAGCTTTTCGGCGCGTCCGCGGGGGTTTCGGGCAGAAAATAGGGTAGGTGTTTTCTAAAAAGCGCCTCCTCGCCCTTAATAGTGGTATCATGGCTGCCGGACTCAGGGTTGGAAGCACGAACTGGCGCACCAAAACCGATGCTGCCCTTGGAGATCCGGTCCATGATCGTTTTGTGCAATCCAATGAATGCACCGGTACAAATGAAAAGGATGTTGTCCGTACGAACACTGAACGTCTCCCCTTTTGCAGATGGAGGTTGCCCCATGTTTGCGCCGCCACCTGCTCCACTTGAATTACCTCCTGGTGGATTGTAGCTATACCCTGGTCCTTTATTGGCGCTACGCTCCTGTTTTGCCTGTACCTGTATCGTCGTGCCCTCGATTATCTTTAGTAAAGCTTGTTGCACTCCTTCCCCGCTGACATCTTTTCCGTGGCTCACTCGTGCCGTGGCAATCTTATCGATCTCATCCAAAACTATTATACCTCGTTCGGCGGCGGTGACGTCATAGTTGGCAGCAGCGAGCAGCCTTTGCACACAAACATCGGCATCTTCGCCTATGTAACCGGCTTGTGTGAAGGGTGTACAATCCGACATGCTGAAAGGAACTTCGAGCACGCGAGCTAGTGTCTTGGCCATGAGCGTTTTGCCAACGCCAGAAGGGCCGAGGAGGAGGACATTGGACTTTTCGATCGTAAGAGGGCTGTTATCAACGATGGGCTCGGCGCCAAGCCTGTGTTGCAACGGCTGCGGTGGCGGAGGTGGGGGTTCGGGCGCATGCAATGCGTCCCATGGGTTGGTTGTCCGCTGCTGACCTGGAAACTCATCTGCGGGATATAGTGTCAGTTCGGGCACGCTAGGCGTCACCCTGAGCCCTCCGGGAGTACCTTCGACAGGATGCCTATGTATCATTTCCCGTCGCGCCTGTTGCGCAGCCAACTCCTGGGCCTCATCCTCCAGCCTTTCTATTTCTTGGATGCGCTGATAGTGATTGTATATGGCCACGCTCATGACCTTCTTCGCTCGCTCCTGACCGATAATGTATTGATCCAGATGGTGCTTCAAAGCCTTGGGAGTTAATCGTGGCGCCCCCACAATGCTGGCTCCGCCCAGAGGGCCTCCGGTGGGCTGACCGGGCTCATAGACGCCAGTGAAACCCTGATTCGAAAAATCTGAGCGGTGGTATTGGCCGGAAGAATGGGAGGCAGCTGACGTGCTAAAGCTTCGGCTGATGGAGGCGAGGGCAAGGCATGATAAGCGGGCCTGGGGCGAGATGGTGATGGTGAGACCTCCGGCGACACAGGCTCTGGGCATCTTGTCGCTTGGCCCCTGGCGTATGTTGTTTTATGAGGTCGCGGTAGGGTGCAGCGTGGGATGAAGGCGGGCGCTCATGGGGGGTTGACTCAAGCTCGGCGGGGTGTCTCGGCGATAAGCTGCGGGCGGGGACAAGGTGGGCGGGGGCGCGGTGGGAGTCTGGCGCGGCACAAAACGGTAAGGAAGAGGTTCGCAGGCAGCAGCGGCGGGAGCAGCAAAGCAAGAGGGAGGCAAAAGAACAGCAGCGGTGCAGTGGACAGGAGCCGGTGTCGGGGTGGTTTAGCGCGCAAGACGATGTCAGACAGCTCGGCCCAGCACTCCACAGCTCGGGAGCTTGGACTTGTTCTCCCCCAGACAGCCACTAGACCGCAACGGGCAGTAGCGCGCTAATGACGTTGCAGGGTGTTTGTACGTTTCGCAAAGCTGCAGATGGGCTATCGACTACTGCGGCAGGGAATACGGGTGGAGAGTTGCTGAGCGCCCCGCCGCCGCCCATTGACCATCTGGCCATACTTAAACCGCGCTGGCTCTGCTGGTGGCGTTTGTCTCCGCACCTCGTCACAAGCTTCGCCATCATCATCAGTCCCAGTTGTCCAAGCGAGAGCACAAGCTTGAGCCGTCAACAAAACGACCCACCTCCGCATACCAACCTGATTCTCTCCACATTCGCCCACCATGGAGATTAACGACGCCTCAGACAATTCGCTCCACGGCGATTCCGCTGGCTCTTTGCCTGCCGACGGCACTGGTAATGCCACTCATTTCTCTCCGCATCGCATGGCGTGCTGATCGTCTAGGCATCACCCAGGTCGACCCTTGGCTCTCACCCTTCAAGGACGCTCTCAGAGCTCGCTACACCAAGGCCCAGCAATGGATCCAGTCCATTGACGAGCACGAAGGCGGTTTGGAGAAGTTCAGCAGGGTCTGGCGTTTCCGCAACCCCACATCTACTTCGCACGCTGACCTCCGTACAGGGTTTCGAAAAATTCGGTTTCAATGTGGCCGAGAACAATGACATTGTGTACCGAGAATGGGCTCCAAACGCCTTACGGGCTTATCTGATCGGTGATTTCAGTATGGAGCCCTCCTTGGAAATGATAATTGCAGACGCTAATCAGCCCTGATAACAGATGGCTGGAATCGTGATTCGCACGAGATGACCAAGAACCAATTTGGTGTTTTTGAGATCACGGTACCTGCGGCCAACGGCCAACCTGCCATACCTCACGACTCCAAGATCAAGGTACACAAGGCAACTCAGCAGTTTGAGCATAGCTAACTCCACGTGATAGATTTCCTTCGTCGTACCTAACGATCATGCGAGACAAGAACGCGTTCCAGCGTGGATCACTCGAGTCACTCAGGAACTTTCAGTTTCCCCCGTCTACGACGCCCGGTTCTGGAATCCGCCCGAGAAGTACGTCTTCAAGAACGCCAGACCTCCCAAGCCTGCCAGCGCACGTATCTACGAAGCCCATGTGGGTATCTCTTCGCCTGAGCCCAAGGTTGCGACATATAAAGAGTTTACGGCAAACATACTCCCGCGTATCAAGCATCTTGGCTACAATGTCATTCAGCTGATGGCAGTGATGGAACACGCTTACTACGCAAGCTTCGGATACCAGATTAACAGCTTCTTCGCTGCCAGCAGTCGGTATGGGTTCCCTGATGACCTAAAGGAGCTGATTGATACGGCGCATGGAATGGGCATTTCTGTGCTCCTAGATGTCGTGCACAGTCACGCGTCAAAGAACGTGCTGGATGGTTTGAACATGTTCGACGGTAGTGACCATCTTTACTTCCATGAAGGTGCCAAAGGAAGGCACGAGCTGTGGGATAGCAGGTTGTTCAACTATGGAAGCCATGAGGTCTTGAGATTCTTGCTCAGCAACCTCCGGTTCTGGATGGACGAATACCAATTTGATGGGTTCCGCTTTGACGGAGTCACGAGCATGCTATACACGCACCACGGCATTGGAACGTAAGTTTGGGTTTCCCCGTAATCCTCAATATTGCTTTGCGTACTAACCTGAGCAAGTGGGTTCTCCGGAGGCTACCACGAGTACTTCGGACCCGGCGTTGATGAAGAGGGTGTTGTGTACCTGATGCTTGCAAACGAGATGCTACACAAGCTCTATCCCAGCTCCATCACCATTGCAGAGGATGTCTCTGGAATGCCAGGACTTTGTGTGGCATTGTCCCTGGGCGGCATTGGTTTTGACTACAGGCTGGCAATGGCCATACCTGATCTTTACATCAAGTGGCTCAAGGAAAAGCAGGACATCGACTGGGACATGGGCGCCTTGTCCTTCACCTTGACCAATCGCCGGCATGGCGAAAAGACGATCGCTTATGCCGAAAGCCATGATCAAGCGTAAGTTCGTTTACCTCTTAACGGCGTGCGCATGCTGATTTTGCTAGGCTCGTTGGAGACAAGTCGTTGCTCATGTGGCTTTGCGACGCCCAGCTTTACACTAACATGTCAGTGTTGACCGAAGAGACCCCCCTCATCAGCCGCGGCCTGGCTATGCACAAGATGATTCGCCTGGTCACCCATGCCTTGGGTGGCGAAGGCTACCTTAACTTCGAAGGGAACGAATTCGGCCATCCTGAATGGCTCGACTTCCCACGCGAAGGTAACGGAAACAGCTTCCATTACGCGCGTCGGCAATTCAACCTTGTTGACGACCAGCTTCTGCGTTACAAGTTCTTGAACGAATTTGACAGCAAGATGCAATGGACGGAGGAGAAGTACGGCTGGCTGCACAGCCCGCAGGCGTACATCAGCCTGAAACACGAAGGCGACAAGATGATCGTTTTCGAGCGGGCTGGTTTGTTGTGGATTTTTAACTTCCACCCGAGCAGCAGCTTCACGGACTACCGGGTCGGTGTTGAGCAGGCAGGCACGTACAGGGTTGTGATCAACACCGACTCTCCGGCGTTCGGAGGTCACGGGAATGTCAAGGAAGACACGCGGTTCTTCACGACGGACTTCCCGTGGAACGAGCGCAAGAATTTCTTGCAGGTGTACATCCCAAGCCGTTCGGCACTGGTGAGTTTCCCGGCCAAGGTTTGCAGTGAATTAATGCTAACAAGCACAGGTGCTCGCTCTCGAAGAAACGCTGTAGATTCCCACGTGATTGGAGAGAGGGGTTGAACAAGGGTATGAGGGGGAGAGAATGACTTGGTTAGATTTTATGCTCCAATGACATAGTGATGCACATGGATGTGACAACAGCTCTGATGGGTGAGCTTGTCTTCGCTTCGCTTCAGGCGTGCACGTGATTCGGTTCGCAGCAAGCTCCAGCAGTCGTAACCAGGAATTGATCAGGGCATTGCCGCGCAAAGAAGGCAGAGCGGCGTGTTGACGAGTGAGCGGGCCTGGCTGGCTGCCGTGGTGTTGATTCTCCCGCACAACCGACGCGCCCGGGCTTAGGTCATCCGCTTGTTTTCGACTAGCGCGGTTCGGGCTCGGCTGAAGTCGTAACTGAAGGTTCTCTCCAACTCCCAGTTGAGCTTCATCTCCTCCCATCCGCACCTCTCCACTCCCATCTACATCGCCCTCCGACATCCTTCAGAATGCTCAAGAGGTACGCCCCGGCCGACCTGCAGATGCAATTGGCACCCATTGGATGCTGACTCGATGGAATTGCAGCGGCATCACCCGGTCGCTGAGAGCCTCAGCGCTCCGCCGGCCTGCGACCAGCGCCTTCCGCCCCATCAAGAGGAACTTCGCTCCTGCTTTCGGTGCCCGCTTCGCCAGCTCCGCTGCCGCTCAGGATGGCAAGATCCACCAGGTCATTGGTGCCGTTGTTGACGGTATGCGAAAACTTTTTCCCTCGATTGGCCTGTCGCCGCCGCCCGAGACGACATCGGCCTGGTATCGTCATCATCAAACTAATCAATCGATGCAGTCAAGTTCGATGGCGACAAGATGCCCGAGATTCTGAACGCCCTGACCACCGAGAACGGTGGCCAGAAGCTCGTTCTGGAGGTCGCGGTAAGAAGACACCGCAAGGCGATATAGCGGGGCAAGCTGGCTAATTGAATCCGCAGCAACACTTGGGTGAGAACGTCGTCCGCTGCATTGCCATGGATGGTCAGTATTTGCCAAGCAATTGGTTTAAGGTGGCATCGTAGCTCACAGTTGGAACAGGTACCGAGGGTCTCGTCCGTGGCGCCAAGGCTCTCGACACCGGCGCCCCCATCAAGATCCCCGTCGGCCACGGTACCCTTGGTCGTATCATGAACGTCACTGGTGACCCCATTGACGAGCGTGGTCCCATCAAGGCGTCCAAGTACGCCCCCATCCACGCCGACCCTCCCCTCTACACCGACCAGTCTACCTCTGCCGAGATTCTCGTCACTGGTATCAAGGTCGTCGACCTTCTCGCCCCCTACGCTCGTGGTGGTAAGATTGGTCTGTTCGGTGGTGCCGGTGTCGGCAAGACTGTGTTCATCCAGGAGCTGATCGTAAGGATGACCCCCGCGGGATATGAGGAAAACATCGCTAATGAGGCGACAGAACAACATTGCCAAGGCCCACGGTGGTTTCTCCGTCTTCACTGGTGTCGGTGAGCGTACCCGTGAGGGCAACGATCTGTACCACGAAATGCAGGAGACTGGTGTCATTCAGCTCGAGGGCGAGTCCAAGGTCGCTCTGGTCTTCGGTCAGATGAACGAGCCCCCCGGAGCTCGTGCCCGTGTCGCCCTTACCGGTCTGACTGTTGCCGAGTACTTCCGTGACGAGGAGGGTCAGGATGTGCTTCTCTTCATCGACAACATCTTCCGTTTCACCCAGGCCGGTTCCGAGGTGTCTGCCCTGCTTGGTCGTATCCCCTCTGCCGTCGGTTACCAGCCTACGCTGGCCGTCGACATGGGTGCTATGCAGGAGCGTATCACCACCACCCAGAAGGGTTCCATTACCTCCGTCCAGGCCGTCTACGTCCCCGCTGATGACTTGACTGACCCTGCGCCCGCCACCACCTTCGCTCACTTGGACGCCACCACTGTCCTGTCCCGTGGTATCTCCGAGTTGGGTATCTACCCCGCCGTCGACCCTCTTGACTCCAAGTCCCGTATGCTCGACCCCCGTGTCGTCGGCCAGGAGCACTACGACATCGCTACCCGCGTCCAAATGATCCTCCAGGAGTACAAGTCTCTGCAGGATATCATTGCCATTCTGGGTATGGACGAACTGTCTGAGGCCGACAAGCTTACCGTCGAGCGTGCCCGTAAGATCCAGCGTTTCCTGTCGCAGCCCTTCACCGTCGCCCAGGTTTTCACTGGTATCGAGGGTAAGCTGGTTGACCTGAAGGACACCATCCGTTCCTTCAAGGCCATCCTGAGCGGCGAGGGTGACGACCTTCCCGAGGGTAAGTTTTTTCCCAGATCTCCGGGTCAAGATGCACAGATCACTAACGAGTCATTGCAGGTGCTTTCTACATGGTTGGTGACATCGAGTCGGCCCGCGCCAAGGGTGAGAAGATCCTTGCGGATCTCGAGAAGTCCTCGTAAAGGACTCGATAAGTGGGGGGGTGCATCCGAGCGGATGTGTCCGCCGTTGACAACCCTGCCAACACATGCGAGGTGCCGGATGCTGGCGAGAGGTTTTCTCTGTGAAAACCGTCTCTTTGTTTAGCGGGGAGATGATCCCAACTCCCTCCTAAAGACACAATTTCTGTACAGAAGAGGAGCGGATTCTGTGGAGGGGGAGGAGGTTTGGCATTTGGCATGCATTCCTCGCATGTGCAATCTGGCGTGTAATCCTAAGCTGAAGCCGTACACCATCTCGAAATTATTCCCTTGCGTTCGTAGCCGATGAATCGTCTTTGATGATGATTTACGATGATGATGATGGCGATGATGACGATGACGATGATGTATGATGTATGATGTTTGAATGTTTTGATGTGTGCCTAAGGTGGCTACCTACCTAGCTACTTGCCTACCTTGGCTAGCTAGCTATCCATCCATGCTCTTACTTACCTCTCCCCTTGCCTGTTCTATTCTGTGCATACATAGCATAGCATGGAGACGCTCGATCGATTGCTTGCTTGCTTGCTTGCTTCCAAGCGACGTCTGCATGGCATGGCATAACATGGCATGGCATAGGCTGCGCACCATCATCTATGCACGTACGTACGTGCTACCGACGTACAGTACAGTACCTAAGGCAGGCCAGGTCAGGTCAGGCCAGCATGGAAGTTGCCGTCGTCTCTCTCTCTCTCTCTCTCTCTCTCTCTCCCCTCTCTCGCGCGTTTTGGACACGGACGGCTCGTCGCCGGCCGCTGCATTGCGTTGCGTGCATTGCATGTGCTTGTGCATGGCATGGCGTATATAGATAGCACTGACTTATTTACGCACTTTGCTCATGCGAGGGGCAAAGGGTGAGGGGTAAGGGGGAAGGCGGGGTTTCTGTCTGCTGTCTGTTGGCTGTGTTTGCCCCGCTTGCCTGCCTGCCTGCTGCTGCTGCTGCTGGTTGCGGAGATAGTGGTTGGGTGGGTGGCGTGCTTGTATGCGGGGGTTGGTTGATAGGGACAGTGAGAAAGAAGGTGCGTGCGTGGTTCATTTAGTGTGGGGTAATACGAACGAGCAAGCAAGCAAATAAAAGCTCATTCATTCATTAGTTAGTACTCGTACTGATGAGCTCTGTCAAGTATGCATGCAGGTAGGCAAGTTGATACCATCAAGGCACCTCCAGCACCTTACCCCACGACCCCACCATCCCCCTCCCCTCCCCTCATCCCACAACCCCACCTCAAGCCGCCTCCCTCATCAAATCCTTCATCGTCGCAAACATAAAGTCGCGTATGCCCGTAACACCCTTTTCCTCCAACCACCTCAGCACCTCCACTCGATACGCCTTCCACGACAGCTCCATCCCGCCCGCCTTCGCCAGGCGATGCAGGCTGCGCTGCGAGACGGGGCCGGGAGCATGGCGCACCGCATCCGCGGCCAGGACGGCGCGCTGCTCAAGCCGCGCGAACGCCGCTGCCGCCGGCGCGCACGTCAGATGGTTTGCCGGCAGCGAGAAGTGCGCCGTCAGGGTGTACTCGGCCGGCTTGGGTGGCGGCGGCGTGGCGGGCGTCGGCGTCGTGCTGCTGCTATTGTTGGCGGCGGCTGCTGCCGCTGCGAGTGCAGGGACTGTTTCTAGCCGCGCGACGTAGGCGTTCAGCGCGTCGTGGAGGGGTGCGGGGCAGAGGCAGGCGAGCGCGTTGAGGTCGTGCGATGTTAGACCCCGGGAGCGCCAGAGCAGGTTGGCGACGTCCATGAGGTACCCGTTGAAAGCATTGGTGGTGGCACGCGGGAGCGTCACGCTGTGCATGTCGGCTTCGAAGGCGCGCTTGTAGGTGGTGAGGAGGGCGCAGACCTGGGAGAGGGTGGCAAGGGAGGGGTGGAAGAGGAGGTTGTAGATAGTGAGGGCGGGCGGAATGGTGAGCGGTGTGATAGGAGTGGAAAGGGTGGCGAGGGTGCTGTAGAATGTGAGGGTAGATGTAGCGGTGTTGGTCGTCAAGGGGACCGACGAGAGGATGGAGAGGATGGTTGTTGAGATGTGCGTTGTCAAATTGGCAAAGTTTTGGGATAGTGGTCCGCCTGGCTGAGGCTGTCCGGAGGCGTCTTTGCCATCGTTGTTGGCTGCATGCGCCCACTTTCGCGTGAGCTGTGTGTATAGATCGAGAAGGCGTTCGTATGCATCATCTGTACCACTCGATACAATGGCGATTTCTGCTGGTTTGAGATACGTGTCTCGGAAGCCTGCCAGGGTCAGTGTCTCGGCTTCACGTAAAATAACATAATATCTTACCGTCAAAGGTTTGTATGGGCAAGAAAGACAGAAGGCCAATGACGGCAGCGGAACAATCAGAGCCGTTCCAGACAGTGAGGTAGGACTTGAAGAATTCTTGGACAATCGGGAGGAGAATCTGAGGCGTCGGCTAGAGGACTATGGGCACAATATTGGTTCAACGTGACATACCTTTGTGGCTTTGGTGTAGCTGAGGAGCCCTTCCAAGAGCTCGTTGAGGTCGCTCGGAGCACCCGAGCCGTCCGCAGTGGCATCGAGTGCGTCACGAAGGAAGCACTCCAGCCAAAACTCGAGTCTCCTTGCAGCGACATCAGATGACTTGAGGATCAGGTACTTCTGCAGGAGCGGGTCCTTCAGTGAGGCCAGAATCTGGTTAGGCAGTTCGACCTTGTCCAGGCTCTTAATTAGATCGTCGGCAGTATCGAGCTCGTCGAGTGTGACAGACGTCTTTTCCACGTCAGCGATCCCCGCTCGTCCAAGCAGTAGTGACAGCGGGAGAGTGCAGTAGTACCTCATGCGCGCGCGACGTGTGTACCTCGGGGACAATCGACGCTTTGCTCCGCTTTGCCCCACGGCGTATCACCTTGAAGCCGTTTTGATGCGGTTTGACCCGCTCCGCCCTTTCCGCGTTCGCTTCCTGGATAGCGTGCAGCCTCTGCCGCCACTCATCTTGCGACGGCTACTCGATCAGCGACTTTGCATTAGATGTGGCGCGATCTTGCAGGAAGCTAGTGCACTTACCGTCGGGAGCGACGCCCGGCTAGTAGCCGCATTGCCAATGATGATGTCTGGATAGTAGTCTTTGTAGACCCGTAACAAACCGACTAGAGCGGGATCCTGGGCAGTCGCACGCACCAATTCCAGCCTACAGACTTCGGTCAGGGCCGGTAGAGGGCGAGAGCAATGACGGACGGCTTACAGCTGTTGAATGCGGAATGGTCTTACGTGTTTCCGTCTTGTGATCAAAGACAGCAGATGGCAGAGCGGCGTGCTGCTCGACGGTTAGTGATCGACAGCTCCCGAGCGCCACGGACGGGAGAGATACCGAAGTGCCAGCATGTCAAGCAGGTTGAAGATAAGGCCGTACAGCTTGGACAAGATGGTTGCATCTTCGAGGACGTCAAGGACGGCAATTAGCCACTTGACGAGGGCGGACTGGGTGGCGGACGAGGGCTTGGCTTGGCCCTGTCCGAGGCCGCATACGACCGTGGTGATGATCTCGGAGGATATCCTGTCGGCCGGGTAGAGATTCTTGACCAGATTGGTTTGGCTGGTTTGGTCAAGACGGGCCTTGCGCGTGACAATTGCGACGATGGCCTTGAGCTGGTCGCGGGCGAGGCCATTCTGGTAGGCGTGACTGCACACGGCATCGACATGGGCGGCGACGCTTTGGGGGCGCTGCTTCGGCGGCGTGCTAGAGGCTGAGACGGGAAATCAGCAGCTGACTCACATGCCCAGCGGGGATGGGACCACGGACCAATGCGCAGGGCATCGATTGCAGTGCTCAAGGAATCGGGCAGAGCGGGCATGACGACGACTGACCTGACCGGTGCCGGTTGCTGATGCTGCCTCTCCAAACGCGATGCTCGGGCGACGCGACCATTAGTCAGCCCCGCCCGCGACACCCGCCGCCGCCGCCGCCTCTGACTCTGACAGCATGTCTGCAGCAGTCACGGTGCATCGCGCACATGCAGAGGCTCACAGTTACACAGCAACCGCCGGGCTGTCAATATCGCCCTCTCTCTCGCCATGCTCCCCATGCTCCCCCCATGCTCCCCCCATGCTTGCAACATGCGAACCCGGCCGGCTCCTGCACCAGCTTCCCCTTTGAACCGCCTCTGTGCGACGGTGCCATGAGGTCGCCGCTGCGTGTGCTGAGGGAGCCTCCCGTCTCTACTGGCCCTCTACGTCTACGGCCGCACCGCTCGTACAACCTCCATGAGCCGTGCCACCCTCCGTATATTCCAAGCTCCGAAATTTGCGCCTGGCTATTAAAGAATCGTCGCTGCCATGGTCCCTTTTGCGTGCTTTTTTGTTCTTCAGACTGTCTCTCTGCAATTACCTGTCACATATATCCCCCATCCCCTCTCCTGATACGCGACCAGGCAGCAGCTCCCACCCACCACTTAACCTCTCATCCCTGCCATACTACACCACCCTTTTTCCTCCCAATCCTGCTCTGCCTCATCCACAATGGGCGAGCTAAAGCACCTCGCCCGGCGCCACCAATCCAAGACGCCTTCAGACTCCATCTCAAAGCTGCTGAAGCGTGCCTCGCTCAACGACGAGCATGCCACCACCGCCGCCACCACCACCAGCACTACCAGCACAGCACGCGAGCCCTCCTTCCTCCGGCGCTCTGCCCCTGCCCTCGCCGCCCTCCGGGCTCTCCACCCCCAAGGCATCCTCCTCCTCCTGACGCCCGCCGTGCCACCCCTCTCCTCCTCCTCCTCCTCCTCCTCCTCCTCCACCACCAGCAGTGGGAGCACGAGCAAGCAACAGCAAAATGAACCAATGGACCCCTTCGAGCCGCTCGGCCGTGCCCTAAGCCGGTACCATCGCCGCATCCGGCACGTGCCGTACGTGCCCACCGTGGGGCTCACCGAGACGCACCTGGCATTCCTAGCGCACGCAGCAGCAGTGGTGCTGGTGGTGAGCGCCGCACGCTCGGGCCCACGCTTCGCCGAGGCCGTGCTCGACGTCGCACGTCTCGAAAAGGACGTCCCGGCCGCGCTGGTCGTGGTGCGGGACGATCTCGGGCGAGCGTACGACTGTGATGATGATGACGACGACGACGACGAGGGTGACGACGGCGAGGAGGGCGACGTCGAGGGCGACGGCGGAGGCGGCCACGCGTTGTGGATGGGCCGTCAGGCTGGGGCTGTGAGAGGCGTCGACGTCGTGGTGGGCACGGCCAGCTATGCGCCGGGCCCGCTGGCTAGGGTGGCCGACATGGTGTTTGGCGGCGGCGGCGCGTGAGCGGGAGTGGCTGCGGCTCGGCGGCGAGTGGGAGAGATGGTTGTTTCTAGTTGAGCAGGAAGGGTCGGAAGAAGGCGTGTGGGGGCACGGCAGCGGGAGTTTCCATTTTCTCAGGTGTCTCGGTTCTTTCCTTGGTCCCCTTGGCGGGCCTTTCCAGCTCTTTCCTTGTATCATTCTCCCGGGCGGGCGGTATATACGTGTGTATTGCAGCAGCACTCAATCCAAGCGGTACATATTGCGGACACCCACGTGCCCGGGACGAGCTTGTGCGGAGAGCAGAGCGTGCTGTGCTCCCCCGGCACGCTGGAACCGAGCAGGCGGAGGCGGGCTGGGCAGGCATGCTGCAGGGCGTCAGTCAGGCCGGCAATGCCCACGCGCGCGGCAGGGGGAAACAGTCGCCATTGCTTCCATTCTACGAATACGGATGCAAGCCATACACATTATCATTACCGGGATGTCCAGCGCCGTCCGAACGGGCATGTGCTCCGACAACCACGACGACCTGTGCCACCCACAGGACGCGTCTGCTGCAGCACCGCCGAGCGCCATATGTCTTTTCTTTCCCTGACCCCCTGCGCTTCCCATGCACAAGGCGACAAGTAAACGCTATATTAAAAATTGCTTGCAACTTGGAACTCTTTTCCCCGAAAATAAACAAGCTCACCCTTCACCGGTAACTCGTGCCCATGGTTGCGAGCGTGAAAATGGAAGAAAAAGAAAGGTAGGTAGGTAGGTAGAAACAACAGGCAACGAATCATCATCATCATGCGGGCATCATGCCGGCCCCGTTGCCGGCAATGTGATCGGCGGTCGTCTTAACGGCGGCAACGGACGAGTCGACAAAGTCACGCTTGGCGATCGAGGAGAGGCCCGACGAGGGCTCGCCGGCAAGGTAGTAGGAGGCGCGGTTGACAATCATGGAGATGTGCTCGGGCAGGTAGAGCGAGGCGGCGATGACGATCATGCTGAGGAAGAGGAAGAGAAACGAGTCTGGGGAGGAGTCGGACGGTCAGCTGGTCAGACGCAGGCAAGGGTCGGGGGGCGCATACTGAAGATGAACTTCTCGGTGGGCGTGAGCATGTACAGCGAAAAGGTGACCTCGTACTGGTAGCGCTTGCGCTGCAACCAGCGCAGGACGGCCGTCGGGTAGAGCATGAGGGCGAGGATCAGCAGGGAGAAAGCGGCGGCTAGGAAGGCGGAGAAGATGGTCGAGACGTAGGTTGAGATGACTGCGCTTGTGTCGCCGGGCATGGGGCGGCGGCGGAGGAGGGTGTTGGAGGGTGGTACGGCCTTTATTGCCTTGGATCGTCGTCGGGAGAATGGGCTGGGTTGACGAGCAGCAGGTGTCAGTAGTCAGCCAAAGTGCTCGAAAAAAGGAGACGAGAGGGCCGTGGATTGGCCCTGGCCGCCAGGGTCTCGCTCTCCGCGCGCGTCATCCACGGCCAACACCAATAAGCCAATGTTTCCTGTGCGACTCGTCGCCCGCAGCTGGCCCACCCACGCCCGCGCCTTCGCGGCGACTGCCGTCCAAAGAGGCCCCAAGCCGCTGCCGCCTCGCCCCGCCATTGACGACAAGGACATCACCGAGGCCTTCCTCAAGGGCAGCGGCCCGGGTGGTCAGAAGATTGTGAGTCGCCGCCGCGAGCTAGGGCCCAAGTCTGACCGCTTGCAGAACAAAACCTCGTCGGCTGTCCAGCTGAAGCACCTGCCCACCGGCATCGTCATCAAATACCAGGGCACCCGCTCGCGCTCCCAAAATCGCAAGGTCGCCCGCCGCATGCTGCAAGAACGGCTGGAGGAGCTGGAGAAAGGTGACCAGAGCAGGTCTGCCATGAAACGCGCCGCTCAGTCCAAGAAGAAGGCTAGCAGCGCAAAGAAGTCTAGGCGGAAGTACAGGGCTTTAGAGGAGGCAAAGAAGGCTGCTACTGCTGACGGAGAGGAGGCAGACGAAGCCGAAGACGAAGAGTGGGAAGACGCCGAGGAGGAGGTGGAAGAGGAGGGTGAGCAATCGCCCAGACACAAGGCTGCGGAGCAAGATCTGAAAGATGATGCACGGGATGAAGCCAATAAGCCTTGAAAACAGGCAAATTTGCTCTGGTGTTCACATTGTCCTCTGAACACACACGCCCGCTTGCAAGGCCCTCTCCAGCCTCATTGACCAATGACGGAGCTTGTTGCAGCTTTCACAAAACAGGAAAGCACCATCACGACGTTGGCTTGATATGTCCAAGGTCACAACGGCGACAGACCCATTGAAGAAAACAATTGATGTTGGTCTCTGCATGCATCTGTTCTCTATTACAGAAGTCACTCTCGGTGTACAGAGATATCTCTCGGACAAGCCCAGCGAAAGGCCAACAAAGTTCAAAAGTCAACTGCAAGTCCAGATAGAGTAATATTAAATAGCTGTGCAATATGATATAAGTATATATGTTGTAAGTATACAAGAGCCACAGTTATATGGGAGTATCATGCATGTTGAAAATGCTTTGAAAAACAGCAGCAGCTCGGCTTCCAACATACCACAGACTACCTATCATCTTTGACTCCGATAGTCCTTTCCATCCTTGTCTCATGTTTATCGATTAGGTAGGGAATTAAGGAATCCACCCGGCCTTACTCATCACCTAGACTGTCTTGGTGAAAAAGAGAAGGCGCTGATATCCCAACCACTCATAAGCACGCATTCATATAGCCTTGATAAATTAGTGGTCACATTCCTGCAATAACAAAGTTAGAATATCCAGACACGGGTTGATGGGTTTGGTGCACTGCGGAAGCTAGTATACTAGTGCCCCAGAAATTTGGGATGTTCCCCTGGTGTCATCGATCAGTTACCAGCCCTAACGAAGAAACCACATCCCGATAACAAAAGAAACAACTTTAACGCTATAAGAGTGGGCTGAGTCGTCGGACAACACCTTACGTCTTGCAACATCAACAGGCATGTGACCGGCACGCGTACCAAGAGAGTGTGGTGTTTTCAATGGACTGTTATCGGCTGCCGCCAGATGATGCATGCATGGCGTAGAGGATCGTCAGGCTGTTTTGGGACGCGTGCTTCCAACAGCAGGGATCGTTGAGACAGTTTCCTGCAATCTTGAAGCCAGGCAGTTGCTCATCAGATCTTAGCGTGCAAACGACTGTGGAATCTGAGTTGTCCTGTGGCCCCAGATTTGTTCAGGATTTCCTGCATCGGGCATGTGAAAAAAGGGAGATGGAGATGCGTGCATCAGTTGCAGCAATCGAGACACAGTCATCACGCTCTCCTGTTGACCGGCAAGGCTGATGAAGCTGAAGATCCAGCACATTATTCGTGCGATTTCCAACATCCCCTGATTAGATAGATAAATCTCATACCGCGCGAACATCTCTTCATCTATCCAAGAAGGATGTGCAGATATCTCATGATCGAAGCTCCTTCGAGTGCAAATCCTTCGATGAACAAGGAAGAGGCTGCGTCAATGGCTGCGGACCAGCTCCCATGCAAAGAACGGAGGGACGGACTTTTCCTTTGCGTCAAGGATTCCACATCTCCACGCAGCGCTGGCAGTGGCAGCGCATTCATGCGTGTCTCATCATGCCGCGTTGCCGCACACATCATGCCGCACTGCCGATGGCGGAGCGTACCCCAGCTGCGTTGCCTGGTGGGGGGGCACACCCACCCCGCGATCGTGCTGGGTGGCTGGCTCACACAGACGACAAAGCATTCCTCAGGAACGGGCACACGGGCTGGGGGGCAAAGGCCATCGCTTCCGCAGCCGAGAACACGCTCTAGAAAGGTAGAAAAGGGAGCAAAGGCCCTCTGCATGATTCCTTCCCGCCACCGTGACGGGCACACGGGAGGCGGTTCTCAGATTATCGGGCCGCGGATCCTTGCTCACCACATGGCGTGGGCTCGCGCTAGAAGATTTGCCAAACGTTGGCGAGGGACCCGTCGATCTCGAAGGGCGAATCGCGCAGCAACACACAGATAAGATGAAAACCCCGCAGACTTTGCTGGCGCGCCGAGTGGGAACGTTCACGGGCTGACTCGCTATAGGCTACGGGCCAATGGCGGGTGATTCATATGGGGTGAAGGTAAGGAGAGGCACAGGTAATTCTCACGTGTCGGTTTCGTGTACGGAGTCGGCGCGCTGTTTGTTATAAGCGGAGACTCTTGGGGATGTTGATGAGAGTGGAATTGTTGAGGTTCCCCAGGCTCTCAACAAAGTGGTGCTCGTCGATCACTGCAGCTCCCCTTTCCGCCCCTCTCAGGGCTACAACGGCCACGATCAGTCTAGCGCCACCAGCCGGGGCCCGCAAGCGCGCAATGTGTTTCGCCGCTGAACGAGGGCGACCATGGGAAAGGGAAAAGCTGTGGCTTCATTGCTTGCGTCGGCGAGGGGGAGGCTCTGCGCACAGCACAGCACATGCTCAGCCCACGGCTTTTTTTTCACATGAAACTTTTTTTTTGATCTCCGCGCCAGCCCTCCACTCCGAGGCGGAGGGCAGACCCTGATGCACATGTGTCACGGCGTCGGGTCTACCCCACGGCGTGCAACCAGCCCAGCCAGTCCGGCCGCGCGGATATCAGATAGTGTGTGTGGCAAGCTGAGAGCCAGGCGGCGAGCTGTGCGGGATCGCCGAGGCGGAGAAAGGACTCGAGGAGAGCTTTGGCTTTTGAGAAAGGAAAACAGGTGATGGTGGATGGCGTTAGGGCCTCGCGCAGATCCAGCTCGAAACTCGGGCTCAATCGGCCAGCTGGTCTGGCACTCTGGCACTGCAAAAAATGGGACCCCTGAAATCTCGAACGCCGCCGCGCGCCTCGGCTAGCACTGCATGCTCGTCTGGGATAATATTTTCTAGCTGTGTGAGCTGGTCACCGCTCAAGCTTCCCCCGTACATAAGCCATTGACGGCCCCCGAGCTGCTGCCCCCGTCGTCCCCCTTCGCTTTCGTTCCGTTTCTCCTTTTGAGCTTCCGAGCTGTGCTGCTGGAGCTGCCAAGTTGGACTTGCCCCCAACGCTCCGCCAACCGAACGCCCAACAAACCACTCCAACAACCTCTTTCTTCACCTATCTGTCTTTCTCTGTCTCTGTCTCTGTCTCTGTCTCTGCGCAATAATGGCTTCCACCGCCCTTCCCCAGAACCCTGTCCTCAGGAGGAACATCACCGCCGACTCGTCCGTTTCCTCGGCCGTCGTTTCCCCCGCCGACTCTCCCGCCCAGTCTCCCTCGACCACGTCCCTGTCCTCGCTGGGCTCGGTTGAGGAGGTCAAGAACTCCCGCGGCAAGCTGCTCGACACGTACGGCAACGAGTTCGAGATCCCCGACTACACCATCAAGCAGATCTACGATGCCATCCCCAAGCACTGCTTCGAGCGCTCCGCCGTCCGCTCGCTGAGCTACGTCGCTCGCGATCTCATCGTCCTGGGCTCCGTCTTTTACGCCTGCCACACCTATGTGACGCCCGAGTACATCCCCTCGATGCCGGTCCGCGCTGTTCTGTGGGCCCTCTACACGGTCGTCCAGGGTCTGTTCGCTACCGGCATTTGGGTCCTCGCCCACGAGTGCGGTCACCAAGCTTTCTCGCCGTCCAAGGTCCTTAACGACACTGTCGGCTGGGTTCTCCACTCGGCTCTCCTGGTTCCCTACTTCTCCTGGAAGATCTCCCACGGCAAGCACCACAAGGCGACCGGTCACATGACCCGTGACATGGTGTTCATCCCGAAGACTCGCGAGGAGTACTCGTCCCGCGTCGGCCGTCTCGCTCACGAGCTCCACGAGTTGACTGAGGAGACCCCGATTGCCACTGCCATCCACATGGTCAGCCAGCAGCTTGGTGGCTGGTTGATGTACCTCACCACCAACGTTACCGGCCACAACCAGCACGAGCGCCAGAGGGAGGGCAAGGGCAAGGGCAAGAAGAACGGTTTCTGGACTGGTGTCAACCACTTCAACCCCAACTCCCCTCTGTACGAGCGCAAGGACGAGAACCTGATCATCCTGAGCGACATTGGTCTCGCCATCACTCTGGGTGTTTTGACCTACATCGGCAAGACTTACGGCTTCGCCAACCTCCTCGTTTGGTACATTCTTCCCTACCTCTGGGTCAACCACTGGCTCGGTAAGCTTTCTCCCCCTTTCCCTGTTGTTTCCTGCCGTGAGTCTAACAGAATGCAGTTGCCATTACCTTCCTCCAGCACACCGACCCCACTCTCCCTCACTACGATGCCGCAACCTGGAACTTCACCCGCGGTGCCGCTGCGACCATCGACCGTGAATTCGGCTTCATCGGCCGCCACATCCTTCACGGCATCATCGAGACGCACGTCCTGCACCACTACATCAGCACCATCCCCTTCTACAACGCCGACGAGGCCTCCGAGGCCATCAAGCCCGTCATGGGCAAGCACTACCGCGCTGACGTCAAGGACGGCTCGATCGGCTTCCTCAAGGCCATGTGGACCTCTGCTCGCATGTGCCAGTGGGTCGAGCCGTCGGCCGACGCGCAGGGCGAAGGCAAGGGCGTCATGTTCTTCCGCAACCGCAACGGCCTGGGCGTTCCTCCTACGAAAATCGAGGCCGCGAGCGCCAAGAACAACGGCGTCATCGTCGGTGCCGACGAATGATTAACGACCATCACCCCCAACTAAAAAATATCGGTGTTTTTTGAGTGTTTTCTTCGGTCTTTTATCTGTCCATCGGCATGGGAACTTGCTTAATGGCGGCGTTGTGGTTGTCGAAGGGGGGAGGAGGGAACGGAGGAGCTGGCCACCATCTATCAGGCATCAGGCAACGGCGTGAGGGCCGTCGACACCCGCCTCTTGCCTTGCTCCTCATCCCATCCTCGCTTGTCCGAGCGACGGTGCGACGCACTCGCGACGCAGGACGGCATTTCCCTGCACACAGCAGCGCTGCTTTCTTGGTTCTCTCTCTGTCTCTATCTCTCTCGTCTGCCGTTGATGTTCTTTTTTGAGAGCGTGTCTGTTTTTTTCAGCATCCGCACGTGGCCGGACCAGCGCTTTTGCTGGCACAACTAGACAATTAGATGAGAGACGTATTTGGAGGGGGAAGGCCGGGGGGGAGTTGTATACTCTTGCGGCGGCTGGGGGAGAAAAGCAAAGCAAAGCAATGAAATGCGAACGTTGAAAGATCAAGCTTGGTGCAACGTGTTTATGCCGTGTCGTGTCGTGTCGTGTTGTGTTTCCCGGACTTGGTGTAGTGAGTCAACTGCCATGCTAACTCTCTACCTACCTCACGTCTGACGCTTCTGTTGTCTCGCCCCTCGCAACTCTGACTGGACGAAGGAGGCATACCTACCTTGAACACCCACCTCACCCCACCACCACCAGTAGCACACCTATGCATCCCATCCCATCCCAAACGCACAGCGCAGCGCAGCCCACCACACTCCTCCCACCTCACCTTGCCACCCGACCGACCCAACCCGACTCAACTCAACCTCGGCAAGCCGACCGAGCACGCGAGCACGCGCGCGAGCCGAGTCCGACACCGAACACCCGTCCGCAGCCGCGTGCGGCGTAGGTAGGTATGACGCAGGCCCGCCCCGCAACGCGACCCAGCGCAGCGCGCTTCGGCCTCGACTGCGCAGTCGCAGCGATGGCTCGGTCGTGACGGAGGGAGCACGCGACGGCCGGGGCGGTGCGGGGGCGAGGCGGGGTCGGAGCCGGAGTTGGTCGGGTGTGTGTGGTAGGTAGTAAAGGTAGTGGTGTAGTGCAGGTTGTGTTAGTAGGGTGTGCGACGGTGGTGGTGGTTGTACGTAGTACGCAGCAGCAGCAGAGCAGCAGAGCAGCAGAGCAGAAGCAGAAGGAGCAGAAGGAGAAGGCGGAGGAGGCGGAAGTGCGCGGCAGCGGGATTGACGGCCTGCCTCCCGGGAGGGGTAGGTAGGCGTGGTAGGGTACCTAGGTACGTAACCCAGGTAAGGCGAAAGTGTGGGGTCAGGTGGGCACGTACGGGTACGGGTACGGGTAGGTTGGTAGGTAGGTAGGTATGCTTGACTAACTAGCTAACTAACTAACTAGGTACGCAACTAGGAGTGCTGTATCTACCTGTCACGAGGATGGATGGGACAGGGTGCGAGGAGGAATGATGGATGGATGGGTGGATGGATGTGGATGGATAGGACGAGGTCCCTGCGGAGTAGGTAGGTGTGAGATCTAGATTGGAGCTGTGGTGATTGGCTGCGTGCGTCGTGGTGGGTGTTTCAGGCACACGCTTTATTTTTTAGCTGTTACATGCTGTTGCAGTCTTACTGTATCTCCGCAATCCGTAACTAGGGTGTATAGCTGGTTAATGCGGGGAAGATGTACATAGGTCTGTGACAAGCGGACAGACGTCAGATCCAGCGCGCGCGCGTCGGGGTTGGTATTGACTGGCTTGGGTTGTGCAAGTTTTTTTTTTTTTTTTTTTTTTTTTTTTTTTTTTTTTTTTT